CTACGTATTAAAACTGTAGGGAATGTTGCTACAGTATATTTAAACAATCGTCTCCTAGTCCAAGTTCAAATACCGAGTAGCGTACCTTCTAAAGGCTTCGTAGGCTATGGTACAAGTAGCGTAGGCCTAGCTGATTTTGATAATCTTGGCATAAAATAGATTAAAGAAACCTAATTGCGAAATAGTTGAAGGAAAAAATAGTTAAATAGACAAAGAAAAAAAGAGGTGATCTACCTTTTTTTTCTTGTTTTTTTTTTGCTGATTTTGCTGATTTTTTTTATCTTCCTTTTATTATTTGAAGATAAACAACGTATTAAAATTTCACTTAATATACTTATTTTTAAAGTATGTTTGTCTTTCTACCTGATTTTTATAAAACAAAGCTCAATAAATATATAAATAATTTTTTTAAATGATTAAAAAGAAATACTGCGGTAAAGATAGAAAGCGATGATTAGAATTTTTATGATCTATTATTAATGATTTATCTACCATTTTATATTGTAAATGATAAATGAATATAAAGAGATTTTTGGATTAATTTTTAATAAATTCTAACGAAAATATTAATTATTATTTGCTAATAATTTTCTTTTCAAACGACATCTGTAGTGGGATTATGAGCATTGACTTTTTTTCACATTAGCAATCGATCATTCTAAACGTTCAAAAGTTCATACCGATTTAAAAAGGAAAGATGTTGGGGTGTCGATTAGTTCGATTTATTAATTGGCCACTAAATACTCAAGTATAGTAGATGGCGCTTGATTAGCCCTCTTTTATAATTTTATTCTTTTACTTATGAACAATTTGTTATCAGGATAACGATGCTCAGATTATCTAGAACACCAAGATTAAGTAGTAAGGCGAGAGCCGAGGCGGTTTTAAGAGAATATCCTAAGCAGCAATATTATAAATCATCATTCAGTCGTTATTTTATGGCGTCGAATTATAGGGACAGAATTAAAGTTAATGCTCAATTTAATGTTGTAAAGAAGATGAATGTTGCTGGTAGCCTTACCGACAGTAAGGATATGGAACAACTGTATCAACCAATGTGTTGGCAAAAAAGGATGAAAGCTACTCTTGAGAAAACCAAAAGCTCATCAAAACCGTCTAACTTCCTAAACGCAGATCAAGTATTAAAAGCTATTGATAAAACGAAACAGACACCAAGAAACGAAAAAATTAATATACTTATAAAGAGACAGGAAGAAATTGCGGAAGAAAGAAAAAAAAGAGTGGAAATGATTAGGAGTAGAAATACGGGAAGTTCTACGACTCCCCTACCTCCGCCACCTACCGCAGCAGTCTTGAGAACTTGAAAACTTCCAAGTAACGCTAAGAAAGATTAAAAATGTTTAAAAATACTATAGCATACTTTAATAGGTTTAATTAAGCATATTAATATTAATACTCTTTATATCTGTAAATAGTATCCTTGAATTAATAAATGATAAATGAACTTTTTATTCATATAGCAGTTTTATAATTAGCTAGTTTATTAATCACCAAATATAGTTCGAAGCAATCCATTTTATAATTCGCTATCCTATATCTAACATTTCACTCTTTTTCTCTCAGTTCATTTTTTCCTAATTTCATTTAAGCTCATTCTTAAATAGTCAATGAACACGTTTCAGCAAATATCCCTATAGAGAAAACTACTAATAGAATGAGTAATATTTTCATCTATTTCTATATATTAGTATATCTAATATACAGTATATATGCCCTACATATACTGTATATATACATAAAGACTAGCTTATTTTCGTACTGTCTGTAATCGAAGAACATGTCCCTTTACGAATAAACATATTAATTACTTGATAAATTTAAACTGGTTATATTTATAGTTAATTCTTTTTATCTGTATTTCTTGTTAAAAGAAAATTTCTTTGGAACACAGTTAGTCAATCCCTTTTCCTTTCTTTTGATATTAATTAATAGAGCTATTTAAATTATAGCTAACCAGTTTCGACAGTGAATGACCGGAAATATCACTTGAAGTGTTTCGAACGAATAAAATGTAAGCCTAGTTTTTAATCATTTGAAAGTATTTGATAAGTACAGGTGGCGCGTTTATAAGAAAATGATGTAAGTCACATATTATTACTACATAAAGAGTAAACATTTTCTATAAAAATCAATAGATTATATAAGAATCATTAAAACTAATATAAGATTAATCATTGACAAATAGGACACATAGAAAGATACTAATTATCTAGTTTATAATAATGTATATAATGATAAAATAAGGAAAAAGTACATATATAACTATATATGCGTAAAAAGGACTAATTGATACTAGAATTTTTTTTTCAATACTCCTATTAGTTCATCAATAATTCAGTTTTTTTAACAGATTTCAATAAATTCCTAGTTTTAAGATCTTCCTCTATCTCTTCCTCTAATCGTCTCTGTAATCAATTTAAAAATTCCTTTCAAAAAACTTCAGCTTTCATATTTTTTAATAGTAGAACTTCCTCTTTTACCTTTATCTTTATAAATATTTCATTTTGATTAAATATTTTTTTAAAATGATTTCTTTGTTATTATTTTATTAGATATCTTATCAACTCTTGCATAATAAACAATTATCGCCTAATTCTCCTTAATATTCTTTGACACGCGTACTTACATTTTTTATTGTTTACCTTTAGATTAAAAATCAAAAATGATAAAGAAATCAATTATAAAATAATTCTTTCCTTTAAAAAGTAAGCTATAATGATTTTTTTTAAGGCTTCAATAAATATTAATAAAGTTCATTATTTTTTGTAATTGACATTAAAAAATATGTCTTTTATATCTTTCTAAAAAAAATGACAATGTTTATTATTAGTTTTTTCTTCCTATAAATAAAATCTATCTTAAACTGCTTAAATACATTTTTTCATTCTTTTTTATTATTTTATGTGAAAAATAAAATATATATACTGTATATGCTGTATATAGGTATTATAAACTCTTCTACGTTTCTCAATATTATCAACACCGATTATATGGGGAAGGAAGAAAGGGAGATTAGCTTAGATTAATAACAGTAAAAGAAAAGCAAGTTTTTTTAGCTTACACGTAGATTATTTCCTAGAATGTTTTTTACATTAGATAGAAAAACATAGATAATGTAAACAAAAGAGGAAAACAGACAACAATAAGAATTTCATCTGTCTTAGTGGAAATATATTATGGTTTTAATTCTACGGTCTGACCTAAATATTTTTTCAATTTCGTAGTCACATTTAATTGATTAATATAGCCATCTACCGGATTTTCTCATATTTTTATTATATCAATCTATATCTTTTAAACTTTCTATAGAGATTGATGGCCAATTAATTAAAACTATTACTCTATTTCCTTTACTTCTGATAGAAAAAAAATATATATATACTGTATACTGTATATATACCGTATATATAGGCTTTAAGTAGAATTTAAAATTGTATTAAATAACTTGTTCGAGTCCTAGTTTTAGGATAATTAGCATTGTAAGCATTGTAAATGTTCTCTAAATTAAACTGCTAAACATGGTATGCAGTATGGCACTTTACATTGTTCAAAACTATTCAAAGTTATATAATATATATATGCATAGTTTAATTTAAAATAAATACAAAAGAAAGATTGTTTTTAGTATAAAATTACTCAAATTAAATCACAGTCTTTATATATAAACTTTAAAATACTAGCAGTTTTATCAAAAGTAGATTTTAGTACTTCCAGGTAAATTATTATAGGAAATAAATTAAAGAGAAAATGTTATTACGAACTCATTTCATTTTAAGCTTATCTTCTTCTTCCTTTCATTAAATAGTGGAGCTTGTCAACTTTGTTGAAAGTAAAGGAGAAACCTTTCAAATATCTCTGACTTTAAGATGGACTTAAGATTTTTCTATTTTCCCTTGAATTCTTGTAATAGTTTTCTCAGAAAGTTGAACTATATTATTAATTTAGTAAAAAAAACCAAGATCAAAAGAATTTCTATCAAGAGACTTAAAGAGGAATAGTGACTATTGCATTGTAATCTACCTCTGGAACATAACTTTTTGAAATTTTATATTATAGTATTTTAATACCGCCTCTATCCAAACGATAAATATTTTATTATCTTTAAAAGATTATATATTATGTAATAAATTATTGCATGAAAATGGTAACCATGAACGATAAAATAGGTTTTATGAATATTATTAAGAACAATTTGAAGCTTCGAAAAACATGGCGGCTGCCTAATTCTTTTCTGCGAGATTATCTTTAATAACTTTTGGAGTATTTCAAATATTAACGTTCTTTTGTAGCACCTGAAAACATTTGAAACAGCAAAGCCTCTTATATTCATAAAAAGGTATTTAATCTTTGATTAGTTTTTGCTAACTTTAAAATACAATATATAAATATTAAACTTTCTTTAACTTATGCTTGCACCAACACAGCTTCAAGATAGTTATACCAAAAATTATCATGTTTACACTTGAAGGAATTGCTTATAATTGTCTGATACGAAACTTTCAAACACTAATGGATGACTCCAAGTCGCGTAAAAGACTATTTTCCGCAACTATTCCTCCAATTATTGCCGAGAAAGTATTGCACCAAATAAATGAATATTACTTGGGTGTTCCACCAAATATTTTGAAACATTTTACAAAAAATAACACTATTTTAAAGGATATTGCAATAAACGGGAGACGAATAAAAGGGATCACTCTAATGCAATTTCTTAGAGGACATAATCTAAACAGTGCCGCCTTGATAAACTTCAATCTGATACGCGTTGAAAAGTGGATAAAATATTTAAAAGTATCAACTCTAAAACAACTTTCATTGGAGGGATCCTGCTTTCTGGACCGAATTGTTGTGCAAGAAGAGAATCATCATGAACAAGGAGGTGAAGAAACCAAGAGACTAAATATGGAATTACTCCAAACAAAGCCCCCTTCTTATAAGGGCTTAGGTTTCAAATGTTTGGTTCAACTTAGTCTGGCTAACACGGACATTAATGATGTTCACTTCCTCCACTTCACGAAAGATTGTCCACAGTTACGTCACCTTAATATTTCATCAACAAATATTACAGATTTACGACTTCTTGAGAAATTTCAAAATTTAGAATCTCTCGACTGTTCTTATCCAAATAGTACGAATGTCTACGACACTTATTTGGCCTTATTAAAACTAAAATCCCTAAAAGTATTGGATATATCAAAGTCAGACCGTATTGGTTATGGTGCACTGATTTTAAGATACAAAGGTCCTAATGAAAAAGGTTCGAGCACTTCCACAAAAACATCGAAGTCTAAAGAAAAGGATTGGCATCTATCTGACTTTTTAAATAATGCGATGTGGGAAAATATGACTCATTTTAATCTCTCTGGAAATTGGAGTAGACCAATCAAAAGCATCAGGCATGTTGATCATAAATTAAATGTTTTACTCTATCCCTTGTAAAACGTCCTAAGTCTTTCTTTCCTTCCCATAGCAATTTCATAAATAATCATAAAAAATTAGAATTCTTTGGATTAGATGGCTGCAGAGTTGATGAGAGAAAAGTAAATGCATTAATAAGAAATGGAAAAGTTCTTGAGCAACTGACAGTAAACTTTTACAATTATTAACCATTTAGTTCTACAGTTTCATTGCTTTATACTTTATAGAATTTCTCAAAAGATAAAATTGAAAATGCTATTATGAGAATGAAATGCCCTGAACTTCAGAACAGATATTCTGAATCGTTTGTAGAAAACTTAAAAATACCAAGAATATATGGTAATCTCAACTATGACAATATGATTAAAGATATCTTGCAGGAGAAGAAATTAGATATTTGCGAAGTGAGATAATTTTTTTCTCAAGCACAATCAGTTAATATAAATCATATTCTTATGTCTGCATTTGTAGGTTATGGCTCATCAATTAAATGCCATGAAACATACTGCTTTTCTATATCATGATGCAACGAAAATATTTGGCAGCTGCTTTCTTGTTATTGACAGCATTGATATCTCCGAATCAGAATATTTTCTTAGTATTCTAAAATCTTGTTCTCAGATATTCATAAATCACTCTAATAAAAGTTTTAGGGATAAAAATATACATCATCTATTAAATATTTTCACTAAATACTACAAATATATTCATATGGTATAAAGATGATATTATTGTTTGAAGTGCTAATACTCGAAAATTGTCTTTCAGATGTTTGACGTAGGTGATTTTTTCAGTGGACTCTTTGATGTAGAAAATGCAAATTCAAGCGATTCATTCGGAGGATCACTTGCCGAATTTCTTCATGTTTTAGATAAGGAAAAGGTATTAATTTTATTAACCGAATTGGCATCTTCATTAAAGTTGGCTTTGTCTGTAGCTGACTGAAGACAACTGGTCAGATCTATGTGACGATCTTACACGTATGTGTGATTGGACGTATAGTCACTATCATTCAGCTTTAGAGAAGGAGGTTTATGGTATCATAGAATATTGCGAGGACAAATTTTCTTGGGAATTTGATCATTACAACTTTTTTGAGCCTACCGAATCAGATGAGGACTATTACTAATAAACTCATTCTCACATTCTACCTTGAACACATAATTATATAATCTTTTTTTTTCCAAGATTTGTACTTGTTAAAAATGACATGTAAACTATTAGTTTATTTTCAAAATGATTTAAAACCTGTAAAACCATTATTTTTTTTTGAATAAATCCTTTCTGGAATATGATTGGCTCCGGGAAATAATAGTCTAATTATTCTTTAAAAATTCTTAAAATCAACCGTCATAAATATCTTATATACCTATAGAGGGCACTAATTGTGCCATTACTATAACCGCCATGAAAAGTTAATCTAATATGGAGGTCTCAATTGGAAGTATGTGAGATACTTTTAATTGTTTTCTACTAAAGATGTAAGTAATTAATATATATGTTAAAGGTAAAGCTATTTCATTTAAACAAAATATATATATTCACATAATTGAAAAGTGAAGAAAAAACTTAAGTAGATATAGCTTCAAATTCTTTAAAATGTATACTCACACGTATATATACTCACATATAAGATTTTGTTCTAGTACATTCTTTAACTTTTTTCATTCTCTCTACAAATATAGTTATTTAACGGAGACTACTGGAAAAGGTGAGAATATAAAGAAGAAAGAATTATCAAGAAAAGTTAATCTTTAGCTTTTATTGGAGTAATTTTTGAGTATATTCTCACCGCATTCCGGCTATTACATATTGGAACATTTTTGACGGTTGAACCAGTTATGGACGATTTGTGGAGTTTAGAAGATTTTGCACTTTTCTCTCTGGTAAAAAATTTTCAGAAAATTCTTAGAAATGAAAATCAGCGTCGGCTACTACTGAAATCAAGAATTCCAGTTATATTCGGTCAAAGAATATTCGACGAACTGAATGATTATCATTTTGGTATACCGGATGATATCCTATCAGTATTTACGGAGAAGATACTTCCTTTAAAAAATGCACATATGAATGGTAGACTAACTTCTCTAGTTGGAATTAAGCCGTTTCTATCTGGACAATTGCTATCCACTGTCACGATACAAGATCTGAAAAAAGAAGCTGTCAAAGATTGGATTATTTATTTGGATACTTCCAAATTAACTGAACTATCTTTAGAAGGTTGTCGATTTTACAGGAAAAAACACAAGCAAAAGACCAAGAAAACTGGCATTAAAAAAGAATACCAGACAAAAGAACGAAAAGAGAATAGGAAAATTTCTGCTGCCAAGTTTAACAATTTTCCCCCATTCAATAACATAATCAAATTGGATCTATCACATTCGGATATAAATGATGCTATCTTCGTAAATTTTACCAAAGGAATGGACAAGCTAGAAATTCTAAATATATCTCACACAAGCATAACTAACTTGTGTCTTCTCCACAAATTTTCAAATTTAGAATATTTAGATTGCTCTTTCCCGAAAAATAAGGAAGTATACAGCACCTATTTGGCATTACTATTGATCAGAAAGCTGAAGTATTTGGATATCTCAAAGTCTAGAAAATTCAAGGATAGTAATACTTATATGAAATATCCTTCGGTAGAAGAATTGCTAAAAATGCCGGGTGGCAACGAAATACCAACCGACATAAACGTACCAGATATCTTTTTTACTAAAGTACATTGGCGAACGTATGATTTTCTAGAATATGCAGAATGGCCTGATTTACTTGTTTTTGATATGACTGGCCACTGGGATTATGTATCTCAAAGTGTTAAGTAAGCAATTATATCACATTTGCACTTTTAATTAATATAATTATGTAAGCATTTCTTTCTTGTTTAACAGCAAATTCATCCAATTTCACTCAAAACTAGTTTATCTCGGATTGGGCTATTATGATCTTATGTGCCTAAATTCCTTGGCAACCAAAGACTCTCGTGTTGAAGATTTAACAGTTAGGACTTTATTTTTACCTATTAGCAGTATAAAAACTTATTTAACTCAACTTTTCATCTAAATTCCTTACTAGAATCTCTCACATTACGATAAAGTTATTGGTTCAACTGGTAAACTGAATCCTAAAATGAAGAAAAGATATCGTAGACCATCTCATATGTACTTTTTTCTGGATAGTAACCCAAGTGACGATGAGGATGATGAGAACACTGAATCTTTCAATCATTTTGAAGATAATTTTGAAAATGTATCGAAAAATTCAATTAATAATTTCAAAGAGAGACTAAAGGGTAAAGAAGAGTTATTGTGCGAGGTTGCTTTTTAATTTTACTTGCTGATTAAACGCTATCTAAATTCTTTGCAAACAGACACTAATTAATAGACTTGATTGGATTAGGCGAACGGTTACTGAAGAACTTAAAACCAAAAGAGAACTGGGTCTATGGTGTATGGTAATCAGTTGCTTGGATATAAAGAAATCGAAAGATTTCTTATATATCATAAAATCATGTGCCAGAATTTACTTGCATAATAGAGAATCGAATCACTGGGGTATTTTTATTCAATATTTTATAGAATTGTTGGGTAGATACCTTGCGTATTTCAGAATGGTATAATTTTAATAATTAAGATATTTAAACTTAACCTTACTTGTTACTCTTTCATAGATATGCAATATTACTGATATCTATGAGCTGATTTTTGACAAAGGGAGTAATTACAGCGATTCATTTTATGCGGGGGTCTTGAAAAATTTTCTTAGGACCCTCGACATTGAAAACGTTTGTATCTTTCTTTAAATTAAACCTGAAGTTTTGAGCACTTATTGAAAAGCAAACACTTTTTCTTATTATTTCAGCTACCAAAGGGAGAACTGATAGCGCTTTGTAAAGGTATCAATAAAACAGGTAGATGGTGGACGAATACCGAACAGAGTCACGATTTGGAGTTTTTAGTAAACAAAATTATCACTACTTGTAGCAGCAAACTACAATAATTGTTTATTACGTTATTATTTGAGTTTTTTTTGACAACCAAGTTAACATAACATATTTTACATACAAAAATTATTCAATATATGCTAAATTGTAATTCTTTTCGAGTATTACAAATGGCTATGTTGTTATATATCATTGATTAAAAAAAGATTTTCTAACCAATTTCATTTGCTAACAATAATTCTGTTATACTTTCAAAGGGCTTCTGTAAAAGCTTATTTATAGCAAAACGTTTTTTGATATTATATTAATAAACACTTGTTCACATGTTTGAAAACCAATCTTATATAATTACATAAAAAAATTCTGTAAAGCTGTCTAAGATGGTAATTTAAACCAAGAAATAACATTAAGGTCTAGTGTTGCAACAACTGACTATTGCATATTTTTCGACTGGTTTGATAAAATCATAAAATCAGTTGCCTGTCCCGTTAATCAGTCAGTCAGTTATCATTAAATGTATGATATACAAACACTGTATTACAAATGTACAAATTATGATTGATTTAAGAAAAACTGTTTAAATTAAAGATTAAAAATATAAGGCAGTATTTTATTTAAAAGCACTTTAGCAGTGTATATCTATAAGATTAACTATTCTTAAATATTAATTCGATTCGTCAGAACATTCAATAGATTTATCCGAATCGGAATTATTTAAAGATGACGAATCAATATTAAATATTTCCCTAAATTTATTAAACTTTTCTAAATTAACTTCAATATGAATATTTTTCTCAAGTTTTCTTCTTCCTCGATCTAAAATGATGAAATTTTCTTGCGACAGCTGGAAGTAGTAAAACAAGAACATTAATCATATGTAAAATAATGAAATATATTAAACTGACATTTTCCAGATCTAGTCTTCCTAGGAATTGTTTCAAGTATATCCCATATGTATTTTTAGTAAGATAATCATATTCATCGTAATAATCTACTTTTGAAATATGAAACATCTTCCGATAAATAAGATTAGTATTAGTTACCTTGACAAATAGAAGTAGGTGTGATTAAATGATTGATTTAAAAGCATTTACAATTATATAATTCAAATAAACAAACTTTAATAAAGTATTTATGATATTTCTCAAATAATTGTAGAAATCCATAATCCAATGGACTATTCGGAAATAATTCATTTTGTAAGAAACTTTCACCTATTAATTCTATTATTTCTAGGAAATAATCAGATTTTTCTAAATCCATACTTAGAGCTTTCAAACAAAAATCTCCAAGTTCAAAATCCTGAGTATAAAAAGTTGATTTTTCAAAGAATAACTGTTCAAGTAAACTCTAAAGAGGAAAAATTGAATTATAAATTAAGGATGATATTAATAAATAGAGACCATTTCAATTTGATTACTATTCTTCTTTTTAATATAATTATCCTGATAGATTTTAACCTTTCCAAAGAAATTATCTAAAAACATTTCGAAATGTTCATAATCATCCGGATCATCAAAACCATAATCGAAAGAGTCTTCGTTCTGATGGAAGTGTTCATAAATTATTGACAAAGACATATCGTTTCTGCAATGATTCTCCTCATATTTACGAATATCCTGAATCGAATGAACGAATGGAAAAGTTTTTGTTTTAATAAAGTAGGCCAAGCCGTTCGTTAAGACAAAAACAATTACTTACAAGTAAATTTTCTCTGTTTATATCAAAAGTTGATGCAGATTTTTTGGTTGAAGAGAATCCAATGAATGTTAAATTTTTGTGATTTTTAATGAATATCCTAGGATAAAGAAGATAGTTTGTTTGTTTGTCTTTCAATAATAGGAATTATTAAATATTTCAATATATTTTTACTCTATACTAGTTGGCGAAAGTTTCCATTTTCCTATAAAATATATAAACGTTAGATCGTTCCATTCGGCCATCTCGTAGAATAGCGACATATCCCAAACATTTTTTATTCTAAATCGACTAGGTACTTCTAAATAGGCTTTTATTTCTTCTTCATTTAGGAAATTTCTGATGAACGAAGGAATTTGAAATGTCCAACTAGAAACGTTGTACAATTGTCTTTGAGAACCAAATTTAATATATTTTAATTTATTTAAACAATGAAGATGTATATAATTTTGATAAGATTCAATTGATAAATCGGAACAATCCAAATATTGCAAGTTTTCTAATCGTTTTAATAGTCTAACATCAGTAATATTTGTTTCCGAAATATTAACGTTTCTCAATTGCAAAGCATCTCTAGTAATAATGAAAAATAGATTATCATCTATATTACTACCTAACATATTTAATTCTGTTAAATTCTTCAATAAAACCTTATTTAATTCCGTATTATCGATAGATTTATAAATTTTACTCTTCTTTTCGTATTTACACCTGTGAATTGATAATACTTTTAATATTTCACAATCCAAATAATTCAATAATTCTAAGATGGTCATAGATTGAAAATAATCAATGCAAAGATTTTGAATTTTGTGATACTTTAAAAATTCCAAACATTTATTATTCTTTATATTCTGATCACCAAATCTTATTTTACATAATTGATGACTTTTAAGGTGAAAAAAATTCAAAAAATTCTCAGGTATCCCACCATAAAAACTATTCAATTTATTAAATAATCTTTCGCATATTATTGGAGGAATTTTATTTTCCTTAAAGAACCAAAGAAATAAAGGATTCTCTTTCAATTTATTAAAATTTATTAATATATAGTAGAAAGCCTGTTCTTCCAATTTTGATATTGGTACCATTCCAATTACAAATTATATACAGGTGGCGTTACAGAGCAAAAAAAAATAAGGCCAAAATTTATATTGAAGTACAATACGTTATCTAAAAGTTTCAGAGGGTAAAAATTGGTTATTTGAGTAGTATTGCGGAAATACGAAAACAATAACGAATAAGTGTTCTATTTACATTCTATTTACATTCTTTTTTTTTCTAAAAGAATACTACTTTTATCAGTTTGGTTTGTCAAGAAATTATTAATTATAATATCTAAACCATATTTGGAAACTAAAAAAAACCAATAGAAATCAAGTTAAAAGTGCTAATTGGACGAAATTTTCCTCCGTTTTAATTTTCTTATATAATGGAATGATGTAAGAAATAAATTATGCATAAAATATATCCAATAGGAGACATTCGACATTTCATTTTACAGGCTTGCTGAATATTATTCTAGTTTCTCAAAGCGCTTGATTAACAAACTATGCAATGGCAAGTGTATTCTGTTTCCTTTTTTTATTTCTTTACATTCTAAAATAAGGCCTATTGTAAGATTGTTTTGTTTTCTCTTTTGTTTATTTTTCCAAGCGATCTTTGATTATAAAGTCGATTTTAATTAATACACTGATGAACAAAAATACACCTCTCTCTACAGTCTATCATTCCCTTTATCTTCCCCCCGTCGTATACAATTTTACCTGTAAACATCAATACCAAATATGGTAATTAATATATTAAGTCTTTTGTGAGATATGAACTGGAAGCAATACAATAGGGGAGAGAGAGAGAGAGAGAAGAATAAATTTTTACATAGCAACAGTAAATCGACATGTATTCATATAAACACAGAGCGGAATAGAGCGGCCTGTAATAGTTGCCATGGATGAAAGGGCACATTTATCGACAACCTTTGAATCCGGGAACTTTGAATATTTCAGCTTATTCATACAAACAATATTTATATTTGAACTGGTGTGAACTCCACTGACGTCATAATCGATTCATTTCCAGTATAGTTTCCTTCCTTATAGACAACACACCAAGATAATGGCCTTTATAATACGGATATTAACTTGCATCGTCGTTTTCTCAGGTAAAGAGAGAATTACCTTCTCAGCGCCATTGATATTTTTTTATTATAAATGGCGTTTATATATCCCGTACAAGCATGATTCAAGTACGTAAAATAATCCATATTAAATGTGTATTTCAGCTATTATAACGACTGTTTCTACTGACTGCTTGAAACTAGTTGGTGAATCATCAACAAAAACTTATAAAGAAAAAATAAATTTGAAAATATTTCAAGATCAATGTGTTGAAATATCAAGTTATTATAGGACAAGTGATTACAATCTCAAAATAGGATTCCAATTGTATTCGCCTGATATGAGGTGCAATCAAATAGTAAGAGTCCGCTCAAGTTCGAGTTCAGATAAAGAGTATTCAGGACGTACAATTAAGTTCTACAAGACTATTGACAGCAACAAAGTGAATATCTATATTCGTGGCTCTTCTTCTTGTGAATATTCAACGTTGGGGATAACATATAGACAATTTAAAACTGATCCCATTCATTCAACAGGAATAGCTGTAAGATTAGCTGGAGGATTAATGAGTTCAACCGCTTTTATAATATTTGTAATTGGTATAGCTTGTTGTGCTGTAAGGAGAAGGAATAGATTGAATAATAACATTATAGTGACTCGTCCTACGGCTATCCGAACAACTACGATAAGTACGCCGAGTCAACCAAGTATCGTGGTCAATCAGCCGCCTCCTCTTCCGTATCCGCAGCAAATACTTGATGCTCCACCTTCTTATGAACAAACCATACAATCACCTCCGTATCCAAGTAATGGAGCTGCTCCTCCATCGTATTCAGAGGATTTTCAAAAGAGGCAGGTGCTTCCTTAAGCAATTGTAAGAGTTGACCGTTGCATTTGTTTTATACCTGTTAAATAGGTATCCATGTACTGTGGACCAAGATTTTTAAAAGAGAAACTTTCAATAAATCTTTCTCTGCAGAAAATACTCGAGTGTTTTGTGTATCAGATTTAAAGAACCAATCAAATTTGAATATTTTTATAACTTTTAAGCATTAATAATTTTTTTAATAATTGTTTTTTCGATACTCATCAACTTTACCTTTTTTATATAAATACAATATAATATATATATATATATAAGTGTTTTATAATGTTATGTTATTTTATGTTTTTGAAGTCATCCAGAAGTGAATTAGCAGACAACGTTTCTGTTACAATTAGTTTTTACTTTCCAGAAGAAATTGATAAGTTGAATAACAATATTTTAACAATATATAACAAACTATTTACGAATCTTAAATTGTATTTTTTGTAGTTCAGTTTCTAAGAACAACCTTTTAATTCCATAATTAATCATTAGAATTTCAAAACATATAAATACTAATTAGTATAAATATAAATGTCATGTTCATTTTAAACTGAAATTTTTGACGAGAGCAACAAAATTGAGATAATAGGACAAACTTTGAAAACATACTAACACATTAGTAGAATATAGATAATAATAATAAAAATCATAGAAAACGCCCAACCAATCTCTCTTTTCATATTTTCTCCTTTGAAAAGTAATTTTGAAATAAGAAAAGAGAGTAGAGAATGAAGAAATATTATGAATCATACTCTCATTTATAAACGGATAAATGGCAAAAAACTTGAACAGTAGTAATAACTAAATTACTTTCGATATAGACTTATTTGATCCTTACAAACTCCTCTTCTCTTTTAAACATACGTCAGTAATTTACTCAATTACTATGGAGCTTTCTTTTGGACAATATTGATCTATCGGATAAAAAAAGAGAATAGAGAAATAAATTATTTGAAACAATTTTATAATCTATTGTAAATAATTACTTCATTTAATATAACCCACGATGTTCCATTACTATGAGTCATCAGACGCATTGTATGTATTTTAGGTACACCCGAATTTAAAACAGCAGATGCCTCTCCACCAAGAGAAAAGTTTGCAACGATGAGGTAGTTGTCCGATGTCTTTGGATATTTTAGAGCCGGATTTATAACTGATATATCAAATGAAAACATTTCAATAAAACATAAAACAGAAATATATATATATATATAGATATAGTATAGAGATTATTAATCTAATTAATTATTATACTACTATAGATTATTAAAATAATTTATAAACCTCCACTTTCAGGCAATAGTTCGATCGTAGTGTTAAAAAATTTATCACCAGGATGTTCAGAATTGCCACTTCTGAATAAAAATCTGTAATAAAATAGTTAAAATACTTTATATCCATACCGTCTATTTGTATATTTATATATTAATCCTATTACCTTTCGATAAATATAGGAGGAGTAAATTTAATTGTAATATAATCTCCGGCAAATGGAGTAAACGCCCAAAAGAAAGTTTCTCCTATATACGATCTTTCTATTGAATACTTTTGATAGACTTTTAAAGATGTTGATAATTCAGCATGGGGATTTCGATGACCTTTATGTAATTGAGGTTTTCCAAAGTCTTTATCCTTCAGCTTTTGTACCTTTCCCTTGAGCGATGAATGCGTTCCAATATGTTGAAATAGAGATGGTTTATATCGTCTACGAATTTGCTCTATGTCTTTACGACAGCGTTTCTATAAGAGAAAGAAGAAAAACGATTATATATATATATATAAATGTCATTTTGTCAAAACTCACTGCATCTTTCTCTGGATTGCAAACTTTAACAGATAACAAATGGTCTAGTAGCCAATCAATAGGCTTATCTTTGTAAAACATTATAAAAAATTCCACAACCAGGGGTATATCTGTTGACTTGAATAATTTTCCTATAAATCCTAGATAAGAAAACTCTAACATGACCCATTCAGGAGGTGTTTTCTGATTAATTGCAAAGCTTTTTATTAAGGATAAATAGCTATATTTAGTTATTATATCGTCCTCAAGCTGTGTTTATAAAAGAGGTAAAGAAGATATATAAATAATAGATTATTTTACTAAATTAACCTGTATATAATACGATGCTTTGTTCCTTGCATAAAGCATAAGGAAAGAAAAATCTAAATTTTGTTTGGTTCGCCATTTAACTCTCTCTTTAGAATCACCAAAAGTCTCTTGTAAAGTATTTAAATTAGGGTAAAATTCTGAAGGTGGGGCAATAACTTCTATCAATCCTTTATCAACAGCAGCAGGAAAGTGCTCTTGTACACTTGCTGCGACTTCTTTCACATATTTCAAGTCCCATGGCTCAGCAACGAAAACTATAAATAAACAATCATCCTGCTCTTCCTCATTGGAATTTTCTAAAAGAGAGGACAGAGTTCGAATTAGATAACTCTCCCTCTCTCTCTTTATCGTAGGTATCCCGGCTACTATAGACACTAATTGGAAAAGAAAATAGTTTCGCTTTTCGAAAAGAAAAAGATTAATTACAGACCTGATTGTCTATTTTTAGACAATGTAAAACTAGGTCTAAGTGCCTGAGGTTTACCAATTATATGCGGTAAATAGTGATAGATACCAGGGTGTTGGACATCATTTGTAGATATTGCAGATATATTTGAAAGAAATTGTTGCAGTTTAGCCGGGACATTGACGCCATTGCTGTAAAGATTTAAAATATTAAAAAGAAGATAGTATATAAAAATAGATAATAATAAGATCGGCAGACAGAGTGTTAAAAGTTCACTATTATCTAACTAATAACTATGTACTAATCCATATAGGTTATATGAAATATGAATACATCAAAGATTGCTTTTTATGATTTTCTTATAGAAGCTTGTGTTAAAAAGTGCTCAAGTATTATAAATAAAAATAGGTTAAATATTTTGCAGTTGTTGATAAAAAACTAGAGCTTTTCTATTATATTTTCATGTACTTTTTTGTAAGTTTAAATGGAAAATTTATTAAAAACATATGTGAAAGTTTTATTCAATACATCAAATATTAACGTTGAATGTGTTATAAAAGAATTTAATTGATTTATTTATGGAGAAAAGAAAATGAACTACCTTTCGTATTGATGATTAACTCTGGTAAGAATAATAGTATATTTTCTTTTAATATCAATAATAACTACATTTGTAGAAATATATATATGAATATATATCTTATAGAAATAAAGGAAAACGAGAATAGTCTATGATCAAACCTGTCCTTTCATCTATAAAATGATTTTGTTGGACCAAACGAATACATTACTATATTTACCTATAATTAAGCTTCAGATTAGCTTTTAGCAGCAACTGTAATTGTTCCTTTAATAAACGTACATCGTTCCAATGGTCCCTACTCAAACCTTCTGTTTCTACTACTTTTAATCTTAATTGATTAATTTTTCTCTGAATTGGATCGGATTCATCATCCTCTACAAATTTTTAAAATATCTTTAGTTCAAATCGTTTAAAATGATTTAAAATACCAACCGCTCACTTTTGATACTTTTGTGAAGAAAAACACGGCTATTGCTATCACGAACAGAAATATTAAACACGTAGCATCTTTTGTTGTGAATCTCATCGATAAGACGATATGTTCTTTTTTCGCCTGCAGATCGAAATATTCCTTAAATTTTTCAGATTTGAAACATTCGAAATTTGTATGTTCGCTTTACACGTTCAATCACAAAATTCCCTTCATCAATAAGCTATATCTCTATTCAGAAGCTTAGCTAAAACAGACATTAAATTAAATGCGGTCTTACTGGAATCAGGCCTACGCCTTTATTAATTCAGAATTCATGACAAAACTGACTTTGTGCTTATGAAAACTGGTAAAAAAACTGGCAAAAAACACACACAACCAGTTTTCTCTTCGGAAAGTGAAAGCGCGCCAAATTTAATCTTGTGAATGAATTTAACATTATATTTTTATTATTCAGAATATTCTCAATAAGAATACAATTCAAATAACCATTGAAAAAATTCTAACTATTTGGAAATGGCTTAGAAGCAAAAAAAATAAACGAAAAAAAAAAAAAGGAAATTTCACACACAGTTTGTTGTCGTTGAAGAGGAATAATAATTATTTACATCGGGCATTGTCTCTTTACATTCTATATCCAAATCTGTTATTGGCATTGGTGGTTTCTTCTCTTTTAACCCTCCTTTTGCCGACAATTTTTTAACTTTTGCAGTTGTTTTCTCATCATCATTCGCTTGTTTCTTTTTTCTTGGAGTTTTCTTCGTTTTAGGTGATTGAACATTCAAGTTCAGATCTAATGTCTGAACTGCAACCTGAGGATCGTCCTGCTTTTTTTGCTTCTTCTTTCGAAAAGCCTTCTTCTCCTGATTAGGGGATGCATCCGATTGAGATGATTGAGAACCATTTGGAAGAGGGCCTTTTTCGGTAGACGTATCGGCCGTAGTAGTTTCCTTCTTTTTTCTCTTTCTAGGCTTCTTTTCAGGAGTTGTCTGAACATTATTAGGTAAACCTAGACTGCTTGGCGGCTCCAAAAATTGTGTTGTTGCCTTTACCTTCTTTGGAGAGGTGGATCTTTTGCGTTTCGGGGACGGTTGACTTTCAGAATTATCTGGCTCTGTCCCTCCTTCCTTATCTGCTTTCTTGGCTCTCTTTCGCTTTCGTTTAACCTTACCTTCGGGAGACGATAGAAGGGGCTGTTGAGTTGGAGATGGCGGTTCATTGCATGAAAGTCTTTGTACAGGCAATAATATTGGCGGTTTATCCATACATAGAGGTACTGGATTTGGAGTAAGGCCAGAATCCTTAGCCTTCTCATTATATATTTCAACTAGACATTTCTTCATATCCTCACAGCAATCGACATTCCGGTGGGAATTTGATGTTAAATTACTTTTATTTGAAACTGCCACTTGACTAAAGCCCAAAATATTTCTGACTTCTTCATCGGCTAAGACAAGTTTTAATGTAGCATCCGCCTCTTCTTCACCTTTGGCAACAACATTTAAAATTTCAAATGATGGATTGATCTTTTGTAGATTATGTTCTAAAATGTCATCGCGAGTAATTTCAATTATGACAGCATCTTGCAACTCCTCATGGAACACTTGGGTTTCTGTTTTATTTGGATAATGCAGTCGCATGATATCGTCCAATAAGAAAAATTCGCAAGCGCTTTCGTCCGGACTCGTCTTCAATCTGTACAATGGTATGTCACCAAAGTCAAAAGCTATTTCTTGTAAATGATCCGTATCCTGTGGTACTTCATCAAAGATTTTTACAGTCTCCAAGTCATCTAAAAGGTCACTTGTACTGGAAAATTTCCAGACTTCGGTCGTTGTACCCTTTATGTCAGAAATATAATCGTTAAGGAATTTTTTCATTTGGTCAGTCTTTGCTAGCGAAAGAGGTGTCCTTCCGGAGTACGTTGGAAAGTTAAAATCGGCACCATAAGCAAGAAGTAGCCTGACTAACTGAATATGACCAGCATCAATCGCTTCGTGTAGAGGTCGTGTTCCATCGTTACAAGTGACGTTAGCATTGGCTCCTGCTTGGAGGAGTAGGTGTCCAATTTTATGATTGCCGTTAGTAGCAACTTCATGAAGCGGAGTGTAACCAGCGTGGTCTTTAGCATGTACAACGGAAGAGTCTCTGGTTTTCACTAGCCAACTAGCCGCTTCGTATAGACCAAGACGGCAGCTTTTATGCAGCATTGTTTCACCCGTTTCTCTATGTACAACGAGTCGTCGAAGTTCTGCTGGACCTTCCCGTAAAGCTGCATTTTTACGAAGGTTCACAGTTGGGGTATTCGGATCAGAAGTAGGCTGTTCGGCAGCCTTCTTGAGACTCCGTCGTTTTTTCTTTGTTTCCATTATATAACGTAATTTCCTGTTTTTCTTTCTATGGCCGTATTCGTCTTCGTCATCCTCATCGTCACTGAAAGCAAATTGAGTGGCTATCTCTAAACCCTCACCAAAATCAAAGTCGTCGTAGAAGCGTCTGGTCGGTGCACTACGTCGGGAGGTTCGTCGATTTTGCGTGGGAGTTTCTTCAGTCAGCTCCTCCGTGTCTTCGGGTTTACCGGTTTCGTCGTCACCTGGATCGTCGCAATATTTAAATTGGGCGGCCTTTCTCTGAGATTTTCGTCTGGCGTGCTTAGAACGCCTTTCTTCGTCCTTTTCTAATTCGGCCTCATAGAGGGCGTTCTTATGGTGGGCAGGAGCTCTTTTTCTCGTCCTTTTAACTTGTTCTTCTTCGTTGCTTTCCTTTCTTTTCCTCTTTTTTCTAGGTGCAACTTCGTCGTCAGATTGTTTAGCTGCCGGCGAACTATCTTTTGCTTTCAGAGTTTGCTTTCGGCGGCGCTTTTCTTCGGTAGTTTGTTTTGATACAACGTCGGACGGCAACTGAATTATGGCAATAGGAACACCAGATACTGCTGCTTTTAGAGCACTTTTCTGAAATATGATAATCGCTTTATAACATCTACTAAAAATTCTTATAGAACGACAAAATCGCAGCCAAATTAAAACAAGTGCGCCCGACGATTATCGTAGAGAATTTTATCGATTGCGATATAAAGCAGCCAACAGACTCATAGACACTATTTTGTACTAAATATCGCCATTTGCAATCGTTTTCTCGAATTTTATAATTGTTTACTATATTAAAACCTCTTAAGCAAACCTGTTCTACGAATAAAGAACATTGGAGCGTTTCTGTGCAATTCATCTAGCAGCCTTAACGGAAAAACATGCTAGTTCAATAATATATAATAAAAACAACACTAGCCCCATCTATCGTATGGACGAAATGATTAATATTCCTGCTTTTTGTAGTTGTACGTTTAACACGTCTTACGGCAAAGAGTAGAGAATTTCTATATATATATATAATTTATATATATGTGTATATATATTTATATATATATATACATATATGTGTATAAATATATCCTAGACGTATAAGATTTTATACTCGTCTACTACAAAAATACGCAAATTGTTTTGAGGTGTAGTTTATTATCTAGCTAAATTTCTCTTACCTGATTAGACTGAGAGCCGTCCTCTGTCGATTCAGCGACTTCTTTACTCGATGACTGTAACAAGTCCTGCTTGATCTTTTCGATATTATTTCCGACAGGAAGTATATAACGTGGTAAACCCTTTGACGAAGGTGCTACTGAACCAATCGGGATGATATTTGTAGTTGAAACAAAATGAAGAATATTTGGAGGGAAGGTTGACTTGTCCGACGTTCCGGAAACACCGCCTTGAGATGTTGAACTCTTCTTTAGCAATGAACATTTATTTTGAACCTTTTGCAAAGGGGCTAAGTTAGCTAATATTTGCTGTCCAGTAATCATAGTAGTTCCATCAGTAGTAGAAGTTGGGATAGCCTTTGCTAATTGTGCATACAATACAGTTGGTTGTTGATCTTTAGGATCTGCTGAGGTTCGACCAAGAATTGGAATCGAATTTTTCAGCAACTGTCCTCCAGATTGGAGAGCGGCATGAATTTGTAGATGCCCCTGCTCCTGTTTAGAAGGCGTGGAAGTATCTCCGTCACCGGAAGCGTCTGAAGTCGACGGTTTGTCTGCCGACATAACTTCTATCTGTGCTGAAAGATTGGATAATGAATAACTCGAACACTTATTCATAAACTTTGTTTCATCCTAAAATGTCATTTATTCAAGGCGATTGGTGAACACCGTATAATACAAAAATCGAGCAGCAACACCAGAAACGAAACGCAGAATGACTGCGCATGCGCGTGGCAGCGGCCTCTCATTTACTTTTGGAAAATCGCTGAAACCAACGATAAATTAGTTGCTACGCAAAATAAATCTAGTGAACGTTCATCTTTAGTAACTCAAATTTACGACTGAACCTAACGGGATCGCTTTACACATAATTTTTAGCGAAATTCGAACGAAATTTACACAGCGCACGAGCGGATGCAGGCCGATTCGGGTTGTAAAAATATGCGTTACGATGACAATCGATGTTGGAAACGATGCCAATACTTGAATAGGTATCTCTTATAACCTCTAAGATGTAAAGTTACTGGGGGCGTCTATAAAATTCGAAGATTAAAAGTTGTCAACAGTTTAACTATGAACGCGTAACTATCAAACAAATGTTCGAAAAATAAACAAGTCCAGCAAAGTCAGTTGGGATGAAAGTTACTTTTCCTTATTTTATCTTGAATGAAATTTAAAATTCATATAGATATTACCTTGATTTTCGTGAAGCCAGGGAAGGATAGTTGACGTAGATGTCTGTTTTAGCCAGGTATCCTATTCTACATTGAATTTTAGACCCTCATTTTCGATTGGAAAACGAATATATTGCAAAACTAGCGCCATCTACACAATAATGAAGCTCTTAATTTTTAATAAGTATTGTCCATAGATAAGTTATTTAAATGAATGTAGTTTTTTTAACAGATATCGAAAAATATTCAGTTAATTTTTTTCTATATTTTAATATAATAATAATACATATTTTATGCTTAAAAACTCTAATTCTATTTGTCAAAAGCACATTGTTAAGATTCAGTAAAAATTGACCTTGTCGTTAAACTTAACAGCTTTCATCAAGGTATTTATAGGAAATGTAAACGATACTCGAAAATATGTATTAGAATAACACGATTTTTCTAAAACCTTATTTCTTCCTTAATCTAGTTTCTTTTTCAATTAATTAAGATACATTTAAAAGAAGAAGAAGAAGAAAGCAACCCTTTCAATATTTTTTTATTTAGAAAATATTTAAGATTGACAGTTCTATATATTTTAATATTATTCAAACAGAAACAGAGAAGATTGACGAGGGGGAGGAGGGGGAGAGAAAGAAAGGCAGAAGGGACTGTAAAACAAGGGGAAAAGGGCGAAAAGAGGGAGGATTATACGTTATTTAAAAAAGACCCGTCAAAGGCAATGGTCCCTGAGGTATGATGATTAGAAATCTGATCATAATTACAAAGGATAAAGGAGTAAAAAAACAATATTGTAAAAAATTGAATATTTTTTTTCTCTCTTCTGACACTACTCAATAGAGGGGAGTGTGGTGAAGGAGGATAACGATGACGACGGCGACTACAACGATGACGGTGACGACGACCGTGACGAGACAATAGGCCAGGAAGAGGAGCGCATTAAATATAGTTATAAAAAACAACAACAAAACAGAGCTCAACAAGATATTTAATAAACATTTTACATTTCGTATACATTTTATTATTGTTTATTAAAACGAAAGAAGAAAATCATCTTTTAATCGATTTAATAGTTTTATATTATATGTAATTAAACTTATATATTTATACAAACTGTTTAAATTCATTATCCTTTAAACTCTTCCTTCCTTCTATTTCTTTAAATAAAAACAAAAACAAAAAAAAGTTCTCCGTTTCTTTAACTGAATACCAAACAAACAACAAATGTATAAAATACAGCAGCCGAACGATCACGTGACCGTATTAAAAAGAAAAAAAAGATACCTCTTGTTAGAATTTACATTGAACATTGATTATTTGTTACAAAGTTGATATGAAAAGAAAATAACAATCAAAATAATAATAATAACTATGATAAAAATCACAATAACAGCGATTCGTTTAGATTTGAAAATGCTTAAAGATATAAAACCTGTTTTTGTATGTCACATCTTATTTTCATAAGTTTTATGAATAAATATATAGAAAGTTAATTGATCAGGTATATTTCTCTCTAAAAGGCTACGATAATCTATTATTGTATACCTTTTTTAAAGCTTTGAATTAAAGTATCAATCCAAACACAAAGCTGTCCCGCCAATTGTGGACACCGTAACATTGACTGGAGATATATCCTCATAACCTTGACACTGGCCTCACCGGTCATTTACTCTTTTAATTTTTTTCCACGTTTTAAGCAAAACCTATTGTAGAATTTGTTTTTGAAAAGATTCAATGACTTTTAGAGACAATGTTTAATAGATTCCAGTTTAGAACGCAAAGGGGCAGACAAACTTTCGTTTACTTGGGTACTTTCATCAGCATGTCAATATTCTTTAGCCCACAATTATATTATTGGGGAATTAAACCTACTTTGGATTGGTTTAAATCAGTACAAAAGCCAAGTAAGTAAAACAATATAAATAATAATAATCATAAAAAATCGCTTACTGATGAATAATTAAAGACAATCATAATTTTCTAGGCAAAAGTATTGAAAATCAAAAGGAGTAGACTGGCTAATACGTTAAAAATTGTTAAATTATCAACTAACTGAAGGATATTAGGCAAGAGAATAGGAGAAGAAAACTGCTCCGTTCGAATTATAAATATTCCGACAGAAACATTATTTAAAAAGTATAAAAACGACGATAAAGGACGAAATGAAGTCGATAAAAGAGTTTCAAATGTGTAACCTTTGTAATTTGTTAATTTTTGTTATTGTTTGCATAAATTATGAAATCTAAGACACTTAAATAATAGTTATCTCACTTGGAATATAAAGTACCGCTCTTTTTTTAAACTGACACACCTCCACCGTGTCGCAGTAGACTCTTCCTACGCGCTTCCGGTGTAAATAAGCTCTAGGAAGAGAACATAGAAACTAGCTTAGATGGCTTTGATGGATGACCGTGCGTTTCTTGTATCTCACGTTCGTAATTCCTTTATTACGGGCGATGATACTAGTATGAGTGAATTGGTATTGGATGTTGACGAATCTAGCGGCGAACGGCATTCAAGGTTGTCGACAAACGATTCCAAAAGACCTAATACATGGCACATTACAAGAGGAGATACAAGTGACACCGATTCTTGTTGTGAATTGGATACTGAATTACCAAATTCCTATGACATCGTCCCTGACATGGACTTTGGTACTTATTAAATATCATTTACTATCTAATCGTAAATATTTGTTGACTTCTTGTAGCATCTCATCGAAGACGTTCAAATACCGCTCAAAGATTAGAAATACTCCAAAGGGAAAAAGTTAGACAGAGTAAAATAAAACATGTGGTCTGGAAAGACGTTACAACTCGTAAGTAAAATGTACCAATAAGCTATTTAATTGAAAGAAAAAGAGAAAACTTCAAAAGTCATGCAAAAGATCAATTAATTATTTTTATTGTATTTTATAATAGCACCTGATCCAACCTTATTCGAGAGAAAACCCATTAAAATTCAAGAAACTGGTAACAGAATTTCACTATTAACTAAGTTACTGGCAGAAGCGGGAGATGGCAGAACCAATCACTTTTCTGACTATGCTAAATATAATGGCAAAATGGCTCCGGCTGGTACTGGTACAAAAACAATTGAAATATATTTTACAATGACAACGGATAATCTAAGATTAATGAATATCTGTATTATTGCCAATGCAACTGTTCAAAATTTAATTGGATTGTCTTGCTACTTATATTCTCAATCAAATAAGCAACCTCAATTAAAGTAAATTTATAAAATTTTCTTCACCGTCTGACATTTTTAACTCAACTAATTGTAATTACAAAAATGCAGGGATTCTATCGATCGCTATAGTTTACATATTGTTGACGATGATGGGGAAGTAGAAACGGATTTTCCTTCTTTGGAAAATAAGGAACCTATCAGTAAATTTGGATTTAATAAATTGGCTCTTGTCGAAAACAGTCACGAAGTTATCGAAGACGAATCAGTTTTTATAACAATGTAGGTTTATTATAGAAGAGTTTAAATAATATATTAAAAAAATAAGTACTAAAGAACGCAGAATAGAATAATTTAAGTATATTTGTTTCTAGAAATATGCCCGGAAGAGGATTATCTCGTTTTTCAGTCAGCCCTAAGCAGAGTCTACGTGAAATACTAGAAAAAGTAATTGAACGGAGGAGACTTTTAACCGTTAAAGGTTTAGATTACAAGTTCGAAAAACAAGACGATCCTGGGGTTACGCTCAATATTGATTCACAAGTCTGTAACTTGGACACAACAGAGTTGTGTTTGATTCGTGATAACAGCGTTAGGGGAGATATTATTCAAGATGGAGAGATGTCAACTGTGAATTTAAATCCCGATTCCTATAGAAGCTATCAAGTGTCAATGGTAAATAAACTTAGCTGGCATACACCATATCAACTAGGCATCTCAGGTGAAAAGATAGAAATCGACCCAGTTGGGAATGGTGGACGCATGTTTCGAACGGCAAGTAAGGCAGTATCTCACGAAATACGAAACGTTAAAGCCTGCTATTTAGCCGAAAATAAGTCGAGTCGAGTAATAATTCGTTTAGAGTGTATAACAAATCAAGAGAAGCATATAGACTATAATTTTGAATGCGATCCGGAAACAGCTGGTGATATCATAAACCAGGTGAATAATATATTGGAAATCAGAGGATTAGGCCAAAATTGGGATTCAATGATGAAAGGAAGAGCAAAAAAGTTAAAAAAGCGTAATACTTTACCAACTTTGTTCAGTACATTCTAAAATGTTGTTACACTTAGCCTTAATAAATTTTTAGCCCAGAAAAAAAAACAATTTTGTTATACGTATCGTCGTTTATTCGTCTTTTTTCGGAATAAAAGGAAAAATTAAAAAAAAAAAAAAAGAAAAGAAACAAGGCTATGGTGGCAGAACGCAAACGCTTGTAAGCATCAACTTTGCATATAATAGAGATAGAGAACGAGAATTAGAGACTTTTAACACCAATCCTCATCGTCAGATTCAGAATGGGCGTTAACAGTTGAAATAATGAAGTGAGTAGGCGACGGCGACAAGCGCGGAAAGTTCATAGAATTGGGCGACAAAACCAATCGTTGAGGCTGAGGATCAAGACGTAGCGTTGTAGGTTTGGCCAGAGGCGGTACTGCAGGAAGACGTCTGCGATTTAAATCGCCAGGTGATGGCGATCGAGAACGATCTGTCAGGTTCGTAGTGCCTCGGTATTCATCGCTTATAATTTCCCGGCTTAACGATGCCGACATTGTTGGAGAAGTCATGCTTGCATGTTGTCGCGGGTCGTCGCGTCCTGTTAAGTTTAATGTGTTGTAAATGAAAGTCATATGCATTAGAATAATAGATGAAAGCCGCTCCCCTAACAAACACCATCACCACAGCTTTTACTTTTTTTACCTGCTTTATATACCGTTTATATAGTATATAAGTAAAAAGCTTCTTTATATATAAAATTCTGTTGATGTTAGGAAGTAGAGGGAAGGGAAGGAAATGGGATTAGATTACGGGAAGAGACTTATAGATACGAACCCTTAGGTTTATTATAACGACCTCGTCTATCGGCAGATGCTATATTATGTGCTTGATCGACAATATCGGATACGGCGGAAGAAAATCCGATGTCGCGGGGAGAGGCAGATCGAGATGGAGGAAGTGGAGGTGGTGGATGATTAATATTCGGCGGTATAGGATGAGCTTGATGCTGATGATAGTTGCTAGGAGAAGGGTGTTGCTGATGATATTGCTGCTTTTGCTGTAACGACAGGATGTTATTTAGAGCCGATGACGCTGATTTCGTTATATTTGAGAACATGGATCCTATTCCGCCTAGCGCCACCGGAGGAGCCACAGTGTTTGTTACGCGAATCCTTTGAACGTTGTCGTTCAATTCGTTTCGCGTAAATCCTACTGGAGGGGCATGTGTTGAATTAGCGATCGGTATTTCTGATCGTAAGACGGCAGTCCTTCTTTGACCCTAATTTATTTACATTATACTCAATTAGAAGATTATAGATATCTTTTTGTAATCTCACTAGAGGAATCTAACTGTTAGGGTGAAAAGCTTTAGCACTCTGTGATTATGCACGATTGTCTTATGTAAATATATTTTTTTTTTCTCAGTTTAATATTCCTTTTTTTTTACTAACCGTTCATGCTCGTTATAGCTATCTAAAGCTATAAAAACTGTAAACTAAAGGCCTACAAAATAAAAGATAATAGATACGTAATTTGCCTCTACTGTCCCGTGAACGGGCTAATAAAGGAGATCTGAAATCAAAGAATTGAGTTTTAAAGAACAAATAAAAAGCGTTAGTCGATAATGCTTTATATCTAAGGCTGCCCATTAATAATGCTGCAAAATGCGTTTTTTAATTATGATAACTAATAAAAAATAACTACAAGAAGTCGGAAAAGAAATGAAATTGGCTCTCTTCTACATTTTCTCTTCCCGTCACGCAAATTTCAATTATTAAAAATGGCTGGTTTAAATAAGAGAAAAAAGATGGCTTTACCAAAAAATTAGAGAAAATAAGTGAATCGCGTGAAGAGAAAAAGGAAAACGTGCGAAATTATTCTGATAATGTCTAAATGTGCGCATGCGTCAAACTTACACGTTCTTCATGAAGTCTACCCCTATTGGATACGTCCCTCATTTCATAGCCTTCACGCTAAAATGGAAAAGGTTAAAATTAGAAAAACAGAATTCTTTCAACCCAGGGAGAATTATTTTAACCTTGTATGTAACTCCTTCGTCAACCTTCCGTCTCTGAGCAGAGCTGTTACGACGCAGAAAAAAGAATGAAGACCGTCTATTCATACTGTACAGGAAATTTATGACATGCATCAAAAATTTGCCGACAACATTCATCTTTTTTTTTTTTGCTAATTGTAAATTTTTAAAACTAGACAAGAAAAGATAATTTAATACAAGACAACAAAAAGTGAAAGGATACTTCTAAATTATGGGGCTATTTATAATCATAAACGTCTATATATATATATATATTAGTCTATATATAAATATATATATATATATTCAAATATGAATAAATTATACGCACAAAGCATAACTAAATTTATATACAGATATTAAATATAAATATTTATAGAATATAAGGAAGACCAACTTTTCAGCCCGATAGCCATTTTCGATGTCCGAGTGGGTTGAGTCTAAACTTTGATTGGATCGGGACAAAGAAGTCTTCATAACTCCCATTAGCCGATTTACGAATGATGGTGGTCTCTGTTTGTCAATAAAAGTCAATTAAGAACGGAAACATATATATATAAAAGCTAAAAAATATATAAACAATTCTTTCACCAAGAGAATATATTATAAGTGTATATTTAAAAATATTTCCAAATAATAGAATATTGATATAAATATGGAGCAAAGAATAATAACTAAAAATAAAGCCCTATGCAACGAAATCAGGGCAAAAACGAATAAATTATGTATATTATCATGTATAAATATGGCGACGAATAATTAAAAGAAAAAAAGTAGCATATGGTCTATTAAATATATTGGGATCTGGGTTTAATTGCACTACCTCTTCGTGCAAAATCGTACTATTTGTTGTCGTTGAATCGCAAAAGCTAGATTGTCTGCTCTGTGTCGAGTACAAATTATCTAAGACAAAAAGAAAAGAATGGGCAATGGGGTTAAGGATCGTCGACCGGAGAATAAACGTGCTCGCCATACGCGCAATAACCTCGGCCATAATTGCTGAGATAGTAAAGAATTAAAGACTTTTTTAAATAAAAGAAGCCAAAAGAGAAAGAGAGAGACAGAAAAGCCAGCATGAGGAAACAGTTAGCTAGTTTTGATAATTCCTGTTAACTGTATATGATGTGTACAGCACTTTTTTTTAATAAGCAAGATGTAGGCAGATGAAAGAGATTTAAAGGAAGGATGCGGGGAAAATCTAGTAGATAGGTGGGTGGTTAAAGGAAAGGTGCATGCAAAATCGCAGTTTTTTAAAGGATAAAAATATGAAAATATTGAAAAGATTAGAAAAAGAAAGGCTTGCCTCGGTTTCGGCAGAAGGGGAAGTTTCCTGCTGTGAAATTTTGTTTACTTTTAAGTTAAAGTGACAGGAAAGGAGGAAAAGGTTGAAACTGCAAGGTTTTGGGAGCTCTCCTAGTTAATATTATAAATTTGACTTACCGTTCCCTTAGCTTGATTTTGTTTATTAACTTTCCAATTTTCTACTATTAATAAACCAGCATAAATTTTTCCAACAGTCATTTTCTGCTGAGATAGCTCCTCATTTAGAGGCACGAGCAGACAAAGCATCTTCTTGGCTTGTATTGGCCACAATCGGGGAATTGTTTCACGCAACTCTTCATCTTTACGGTCCATTTCCTTACCTGGACCCATTTTAATGCTTAAAGATTCACGAATAAGAGCAAAGAGAGTAGTAGTAAAATGAACAGTGCCATCTTCTGCCACTGGCATGTTCATCCGTATTAATTTTCTATAGGCTAACCGATAAGGACATTTTTTACCAAAACCTACAGGCGGTTCCATATTCCGAAGCATATCATACATGAGAGTATAATGGATTCGTCCACAAGCAGCCGGATCCTTTTCCGCCCAAACTCTTATGTATTCGTCCAGATGATGAGGACCAAGAATAGATGAATCCCTCGTCAAGTAATCAAAATTATCCATAATAACCGCTACGAACAAATTGAGCATAAGGAAAGAGCAAAGAAAGATAAACGTAATGAAGTATGGCACAGCTATATCCAGACCGCAGGTCATGGTAGAAGTTTGGCAGGCAGAATCAGTGCAAGTTATATTTTTTATCGCCTTCTCATCACACGGCTTCCCGGACATGCAAGATAACATAATCTGTTGCCAATTTTCTCCGGTTGCACAACGGAATAGAAGTATTACAGATTGGAAAAAAGTTCGAAAATTATTATGGCGATTTATCTGAGTACTAGAGTTCAGGTCGATATTGCCAAAAACTTGCATTCCGATAATGGCGTAGATAAAGAAAAGCATCGCTATTAGCAAACAAACATAAGGCAAGGCTTTAAATGATTGAACAAACGTCCATAGCAGAATTCGGATAGTGTAGCCTTGACGCAGTAACTTAATTAGTCTGGCTGCTCGGAACAGTCGAAGAAATCCAAGAGAGATGAATTTACTCTGTTAAGGAGGAAAAACAATGGTACCCTCGTTAATAATAAATGAAATTATATAGAATGGAATAAAATAAATAATTGTATGGATCTTATGCAAGCAACTCAAGTTAGTGTCTTTTCTAAATTCTGTCCTATATACAGTTACTGTCATGATTACGTAATTACGTAATATGTTTTTATTTAATGCCACTGCATTAAACTAAAATATAATAATGTAATATAACTAATGCATCGACAAAATTTTTTCAGTAAACAAAGACTGAACAAAAAAGTTCTACTATAAGATACGCGTCCCTCTCCACTGGCCAGGAACCGAACCAATAAATACAAACCAGATACATTAAGAAGCCATCATTGGACTCTTTGCCCAACATTCCTGCATTCTATAACAACATTCGAGTGACTTATAGCAAAGGAAAATGATGAAATCAATAAGATCAAGTATCTAAAACTACTGGTAAAACAAGACGGAAGCGTTTCAAATGGCCACGTTTATACCTGTTTCCCATCAGGTGAACCTTCCGACGGGAACTGGAAATTTATATACCAGTCAGACAAAAACAACTCAAATTCACTATACTAGAAAATTGTTGTTGCTTTTTATTATTATTATTATTTGTTCACTAATATATAACCATCAATACTGTTTAACTATATTAACAAAACTAATTTGAGGATAAATGCCTCATTGTGTGTTAGTAGAGACTTTAATTACAGTGCAAGATTATTTTCAACCTAAAAATAACGTATCGAATATTCAAGGCGATCTAAAAAAGTCATCACCACTTTAATCAGTGAGCAATAACATTTAATTTGTCGAATAATATGTAACTTTATCAACTGCAACAATATTTTTCACAATGATACACTTAATAACTTACTGCAACATTCGGCTGGAGAAAGAAACGTACTCTTGAGAGAAGTTTTATAATAATAACAATAAATAATCATAATAACAATATTAACTTGTTAAAATATAATAATAATCATAATAATCAGATTACTGTAAAGCTACCCGATATATAATATAGTAATTTTTTACAATGATTAAAACATAATTGAATAACTAAATATTAAAAAAAGTGAAAGGAGAGGGAAAATAATTTCTTATCGTTTTATTTTTTTGCTTTGTTTTTGTTTCTTTAAAAAAAAACACTATTCATCTCTGCTTTATTGCAGAATTAAAGAGTTAAGGAGATAAAAAAAGAAAACAATAGAAAAAAAAAAAAGTAATTTTTTTCTTTTCAATAAAACATATATAAATATACAGTATATAAATAATTCAAAGAATCTATAATATTTCTATATGTTTATTTCTTTTCTTTTTTATATATTTTAAGAGTTTATAAATTATTTAGAAAATTTGTAATTAGAAAAGAGATATATTGATATACTTAGTTGTAATTATTTACCTGTAATTCGGTTACTAGTACATCAGTAATGCTTCCTATCACTGTAATAAAATCGAACACGTTCCAAGAATCGCGGAAGTAATTCTGAAATTGGTAAAACTCATCTTAATATTATTAGTTGTATGATGAATAAATAACACTAACAAAATTTAACCCAAGTCTTATTAAAAATATATGCTATATATATACTGTATATAAATAGGATATAATCCGTTATTAAAAGAGATAAGGTAAAGATTAAGGATTATATTTCTTCATTTTCCAAAGATAAAGTTTTTATCATCTATTTATTTTAAAATACAAAAAAAGAAGCTGATAAATAACTAAGGAGTATATTAAAAAAGTGCAATTCCCACTTCCACTCTCCTTCTCTCTCTATCTCTCTCTCTAACTCTCTCTAGCTTTCTCTTTCTCTGTTCTAAACCAAAAATTAATTCTTTTTTGAAATTTGATTATACTCTCCCTCCTTTATTTTCTAAACCCAAATGGAATAAAAGTAAAATATGAATCGCATTATTATAATTGACTTTGAAACTATTTAGTTCGTTCTGGTCTATTGAATTAATGACTATTTTTTTTAAATAACACGAAAGAAAATCTCTATTTGCATTAATTATCCCATTAAAACTCATATTTCATTCAGATATCTATTATATTCAATTAGATATTGCTTCCTCTATTGCAGAGGACTATTAAGTTGGGAATTTTGTCTTTATCTCAGTCCAGTTTTTTTCCTGAATCTGGGTATTAAAAATTTACCATCTTATCCATTTTGTATGTTAAGTCTACCTTACCTTTGTATAATAAGTTGATCAAGGTAAAATTCTAAACCTCTTTTGATATATATATATATTGTATATCTATGGCTGCAATACATAAATCCGGTAAAAAAAGAGGAGTGATGTTCTCAATAGAAAAGCATTCTTTCTAACGCTATTAAATATTGATTAAAAGTTGACACAGTACTAATATTTCTCATTTCCTTATTCGAGTACAGGAAAGTATATTTATAAGTATATATATATCTCCTGACATCCTGAACTCTTGTACTATGTGTAACAACCTCATCTCTTAAAAATTTATATATAGTATATATAGCAATATTATACACAAACACTTAATTCATGTCAATACTTAAAAACTATTACTTAAGGATGAAATACGGAATCATTTTACTAAATAGTGACAGAGTAAGAATCATATGCACTAAATAGTTATACATTGAAATGAAGAAATGCAAAAGGATAAAGGAAGCAACACAAAAAAGTTGACGTATATTAAGTGAAAAGAAAAACTGTATATATATATATAAATAATATTCATATTTGTTAAAAAAATGCTATAGAAATTAGAATATTATTAATATAATAATAATAATAATAATAATGAAATATTAACTAAATAACAGCTAGTAACAACAGAATCGTCCACAAGGGATAGCATATGCCTAAATATAAAATAAAATTATAAATAGGACATGAGTGTTATCCCTCCTGAACGCTAGAAGTTTAACCGCCACCTTAGGTCCGAACGCGATAATCTTCAATACACATTCGATAGAAAAAAGTATAGTGAAAGCCATATTTAGGTAACCAAGTATGCTGTTATAGCGTAATAAATCATCCGTCTCCTGTTTATAATACTGAAAACCAAGAAAAGCAGATAGAAACACTCGTGATCCTCTCCAACAATATTTGTCTATTAATATTGTTTTTGTTGAATATAATAAATAAATAATTGATTGAATTCAAGTTTTTTTTTGCATAACACGCGCAAAAAAATTGTGCAGATGGAGAAGAGAAGAACTCAGTAAATCAAAAATTCTAAGACTAAGAATAATCCTAATAACAATAAGATCATATATACTAATATATATATATATATATGGACATTTGTACTAAAAAATGCGAAGGAAATCCGCCACCTTGCCATTTTACTCGTCTTACCCTAATGCCGAATGCCATCATTTTGAAGATACATTCGATGGTGAAAAGTACCGTAAAGGCTATATTCAAATAACGGAGAACTTTGCTGTACGTATCTGATTGTCCATCCACCTGCACTTACATTTTGGGATAATCGGTTTGCATGGTATATGTTTGCATAATAGCATTATGTTAAGTGACAGGATATATAAATTTATGTCAAATCAATAATATAAGTGTAAAATAACCGTACATACCTTCATCATGAGAATTATGGTATTTAACGCAATCATAACCATAATAAAGTACTCAAAAGGTGCCGAGACAACTATTCGCCAAATCCGATATTTAACTGATTGTTTGTTCTTGGGCATATAACGGCAAAGAGGACGGGCGTTAATGGCGAAATCGATACATTGTTTCTGTAAAACGTCTTATTGATTTTTCTGTCCTTGGTAAATTAAACATGTTGCGTATTACCTGGTTTTTATCAAGATCTTGATCGACCAGTTCATTTTCACCTTGTTCTTGGAATGTAATGATAATCAAAGCGACGAATATGTTAATAAAGAAGAAAGGAAAGACTATAAAGTAGACCACGTAGAAAATTGCCATTTCCATTCGATATCCGGGTGACGGACCCCGGTTCTCGTATGTAGAATCCATTGAGTGCTTTAAAACAGCAGGCCAACCTTCACCAGTTTGCACCGTGAAAAGAGTCAGCATAGCAGCAAGAACATTGTCGTAATGAAAATCCCATCTATTCCATTTTCTATCATCTACACTCGGTATATTTTTATTCTTGTCATAAACAAAATATTGTCCTTGACATTCTGTCTTGGTATTTTTTGAAGCATCCGTACAATAGAAGAATCTCCCTTTGAAAAGTTGTACGGCAATAACAGCAAAGATGAATTGAAATAAAAGGTAGACAATCATTATATTTAAAACATTCTTCAAAGAATTAACTACACAATCGAAAACGGCCTGCAAGGGGTAGTTAAGTATTAGAATATTTCATTGTTCCGTTACCCAGAAACTTTCTGGCAAACCTTTAGTTTAGGGACCCTATTAATTGTCTTTAAAGGTCGAAGTACCCTAAGGACTCTCAACGACTTAATGGTATTCAAATTCTTTCCGGCACTTGTGCTATCCCTGTAATAAGCAGAAAATGATACGAATATTAGTTTAAGTTGAGAATCTTTTTCCCTTCTCAAGTATTATCACTCTCTCGTTCTCATTAGTATTTATGCCTTGCCCAAACCGGAAATGAATAAAAAAAAATAAAAGAAACAACGAATCAAAAACGAAAAAGCTTTATACTTGCAAAGTGTCAATAATATATTAATACATTAATTTTGAGAGTTTTATCACTTTTCCTTTCAGAAAAAAAACATTTAACACTTACGTAAAGATGAAGGCTACCAAGGCGCAAATTACTACAGTGGCATCCAATATATTCCATAGATCACGGCAATAGGAGCCCGGATGGAAAATTACGCCCAAATCGACCACCTATAAGAAATACCACCACCAGGTGCAAAGTGTAAGAATCATTGTTTATTCTTTTGTTCTTTTTTTTTGTTCGATAATTTTCGCGCGCAAAAAAAAAAAAACCAATGTATCGGTTTTTTTGTCGTGTTATGTTTATTTTTAATTTTTATTTATAATTTAAACAAAAAGAAAAAAAAAGAAAAGAATTGAAGGTGACATGCTGGGCTTGTGCTAAATATTGGCGGTAGCGAACAAAAGAACGACAAAACTCATGCAAATTGGAGATACATAAAAAAAATTAATAACTTACACAAAAGCGTACGCTGTAAGGGCACACACAACGACGGTAGCGTCGAGAACATTCCACAAGTCTCTGAAGTAAGACCCTGGATGAATGATCATTCCAAGGTCTATGTTCTGTTCAATTGAGTGATAGGTGATATAGGAGATTAAAATAAAAAAAATTGTAAAATAAAAATGAAGCTTTTCTTTTGTTTGTTTGTTTGTTCTTTCCTTCTTTTGTTTTTTAAAAATATAACAAATTAAAATATTCAACAGCAAAAAAAAACTAAGGAGGAGGAGGAGGGAGAGTAAAAAAAATATTTAAAATGAAGAAAGATAGCAAATATAAGGAAATGGAGTAGAAAAAAGATGAATAATTAGAAACGGCGCAAAAGTTCTTTGTACTTCTTTGATTAAGTATAGAAAAAAAATTTTATTTTTTTTTTTCTACAAACCTTCAAGATCATCTCTACTGTAAAGACTCCAGTAAATACATAATCGAAGTAATTTAATATTTTATTTCTATAAGACTTCTCATCTACTGGATCTTCTGCTGCAAGTGCAATGGAAGACGCACAAATAACGATCATGATGAATAGATCGAAGTAGCGTAAGTTAACCACAAAGTGGCAAAAGCGTCGAATACTATATATGTATGAGAAAAAAATTGAAATTAATAGGATTAATTAAACTAAAGGTGGCACTACTCCCCGCCCATTGGGAATATCACTATGCATTTTAATTAGCACTTACGGATTAGTTGGCCCGAAGATAAACATGGAGGAATAAGGCAGCATAGGTTTCGGACCAGTAAACGTTTGTTCTCCCTCGCCTTCTTTTTCGCTTCCGTCGCTACCATCGTCTTGAGAGAGGGAAAGAAAAAAAATTGGTACCCGGCCGACGACAAGTTAAAAAAATCTCTTACAGTTGCAAGAGTAAAAAAAACACACGCAGGAAAAAAAATACTCACCGCTCTCAGCGTCTTCTCTGGCTTCAGTCTCACTTTTTCCAGAGGCTTTCGCTTTGTCAATGTTACTCTTATTATTTGACGCCTGATCAGTACTGAAAGAGATGCTGTCATTGAACCGACGCTTAGCTTTCGAATCGTGCAAAAAAAGTAAAGTATTTTTACAAATATAACCTAATACCCCAATAAATTGGTTAATAAAATTAGAGTTTGTAGGCCTACAAACGTGCCTATACTAATTAATTTCTTCACCATTACGCCACATAATTTCCCTTGAAACAAGCCAATTCAATATAGCGTTGAGCTGAAACGTTTCCGATTAACGCCATTAACGTTTTACTCTTTTTTCTACTTTCTAATCTACGTGGCTGTAATTTTTTTCCAGACAAACTACGCCTAAAGAGTTCAATAAAGGAGAACAATATAGAACAATCATTATCCTAGCCGCCTACAGATATACAATGTATACAATATACACTGTAAAAAATATAATACGCTGTATATGTGGATATTATAATAAGCGTAGGAATACGTATAGTTAGATATAAAATATATATACCTATTGACATATACATATATATATATAATAAACAATATAGTGTTGCGATCTTTAGATATGACGGTCTATCTATCTGTCTGTCTGTCTGTCTCTCCGTCTCTCTCCCTCTCTCTCTCTCTCTCTCTGCATATATTTATTTTTATTTATTCATATTTAAGTAAAGTTTGTGTATAAACTACTCATTCTAATAAGTATATATCTATTTATTAAAGTTATATATATATACAGCAATCCAGCATATAGTGTAGGTATACGAGTGTATATTTATATATATATATATATATATATATATTCTAATATATATATGCGAGTGTATGCTGTTCCCAGTGAATTCGATTAGGATTGTTCGAAATCGATATATATGTTATACAGCCGTGCATCTATAAGAATTTTTTTTTATAATATACGATATAGAAATTTAACACGCAGCGTTCATCAATTGAAAAAAATTGATAACTCACTAATTAAAGTTCCCAGTCTTAGGGTCTTTATTGTTCTGCGGTGACGGTGGACAAATGTTCACCATAGGAGCTCCTCCTGCTCCAATTCTCATATGTGCTGGAGGAAAACTAGTTGGGAATTGCTCCCTCATATCCAGTTGCGATTGTTCTTCTTTATTATTCTGATTTAAAAAACCGGAAATTAGTCGGTTAGGAAAGCTTTTGTACAAAGAACAAAAGGATAGATTCAGCCATTAGATGAAGAGTTTTAAAAAATTGCTAATTGGCTAAAAAAGAAGAGAACTCGTTAAAGCATGCGAACCGCCAGCGTTGAAAAGAGGAAAAAAAGTAGAAAATAAAGTAATTATTAATCGGATGTGCATTAATCAAAGCGTACTTCGACCTGTGCAACGTGAGAATGACTGTCAAATTGTTGGGCAACTTCGTCTTTCACCTCCTGCCGTCTCTAAAAAACACGACATAACCACTACTACAACTTTTGTTGGAAGGGGTAGGGAGATAATGATTTTGTTATATTGAATGATTATGATTAAGGGCTGATATGCCATGCTAATCTACAATGATTTTAAGCCCATATAAACAAACCTTTTCTTCTTCTTCATCAGCTTCCTCTTCGGCAGCGGTTAATTCCTGAGCATTTGCCAAGTTATCGACGGCGATAGCCAAGAAAACGTTGAGCAGTGTGTAGTTGCCAAATAATACGAGAACGATGAAATATGAGCAATAGACCATTCCTCCACCATGAATTCCTCCCTGAGACTGTATGCCGTTGTACATAACTTCGTTCCAATCTTCTCCAGTTAGTATTTGGAAGACTGTTAACAAGGCTATAGGGAACGTATCGAAGTTACTAGAGGGTCTGCCTCCTGGAAAATTCCATTCTCCTCCAAATAGCTGCATCCCGAGTAGAGCGAATATAAGAATAAACAAGAAGAGAAGGAACAAGAGCGATACGATGGATCGCATGGAATTGAGCAATGATACAACGAGGTTCCTCAATGATGCCCAATACCTAATGCGAATTAGGAGAAAAAAATAATCGATTATACAAATTCGTTGCACGTTATTGCTAAACACACGCAATATTAATAGGGAAATATACGACGCATTGTAATAAGCGTTGTATAGGATGTTTACTTATTCGATCGCTTAAACGATGCGTCGTTTCTTTTTTTATAGAAGAAAAAAATAAAAATAAAAAATTATAGAAGGTTTTTAAGTCACAACAACAACCTGGTAACTTTGAATATTCTTAGTAATCTGAGGGAGCGAAGGACACTAATCCCGAAAGAAGTTGAGTTGAACTGGTTGTAGATAACTTCGATGATCGAACCGAATATTACCTGAAAACCGTGCTAATTTACAGACAACACTAAAGGGAAAATAAACCGTAGATTGTTTTTTATTTCATATTTTTTTTAAAGGGAAAGAGGCATCAATATGGTAATAGAGATTAGGGATTCTAATACAGTTAAGGGACTGTAAGTAAGGGAAGGTAGGTGCGCAATTCGCTAACGATGACGAAGATCAATTCGTTCTGTTATTTACAAAAGCTCCCGTCATCTTTAGACGTCCCTCTTGCTCTCTCTCTCTCTCTCTCTCTCTCAGGCTTTCTGTCTTTCTTTTTTTCTCTCTCTCATTCACTCACTCACCCAGTCACTCACTTACTCAGTCACTCATTCTCTTTCTCTCTTTCCCTCTCCCTCTCTCTCTCTCTAATGGTATTTGCCTTTTTCTCTTTCAATAGAGAAATTATCATTTATGTGAAATTTTTGAAAACACGGCAAAAAAATAAGTAACAATGTATGTTGTTGGTTTTGTTTACATGCAGAAAAGGGATAAAATAATGAAAGAAAGAAGACAAAGTTAAGAAGAAGATTGAAAAAAATAGCAATTATAGTAATAATAATAATTCATGCACAACACTTTGTCTGTGCACGCACCTCGTCACTTTGAATATCCTGAGAAGCCGTAAAGCGCGTAGCACCGACACGCCGAATGACGTGTCCGAGCGGAATTCCGACCAGATCACTTCGAATACACTGCCCACGATGACCTAACGCGGTGCATATTTAATAATACGAATGTTTTTTGTTTGTTTGTTTGTTTGTTTTTGCTTAAGGAGCGATAGAAAAAGGAGAAGAAGCATTTTAACCGTCACCGTTAGAAAAAGGTGATGAATGGTTGCAAAAAACCCTACATTTTTAGTATTATTGTTAGATATAGGCGTTGTTAAATAATGCAACATTTACTAGCGCATCGACGGACTATATTTTCACCATGGTAACGGTCCCAATGCGCAAAACGTTTGCCCGAATAGGCCAGATTTTTTTTCTATTACAACTTCTCTACTGAATATATATATATATATATACTTACCACACAGTCGAAGATATTGAACGAAGACTGAAAGTACATATGAAAACCAAGGCCGTACATTTTGAATATCACCTCAAATATGAAAAGACTGAGGAACACAAACTCTGCAAAGTCTGCAACGCGATATTTATGAATGAAAATTAGTTGAGAGTAAATCATTCTTTCCTTACATAGAAATTTTGTTAGCCATTCCGGTTGTCCGTAATGTTCGACTGCTACGCAAAATGTATTGAGAAAGACCAGCACTATAACCAACCAATAAAACGTTTGGCACTTAACGATCCGTCGAATCGTAAATCTGTTAATAGTTTCCGATTAATTCGTTATCTAATCAAGGGGAATAAAAAGAAGAAAAATGTAAGAGCAGATCTTTCGTCATACCTAAACGATTTCTCAGCTCTCCAACATCTAGCGCAGCTTCCCTTATTCTGCTTAGATTTAACCCCGTAGCCAGGGCGAGAAAACGGACTACCACCCATGTCAGCAAACAATTCCTCGTCGTAGTCATCGGCTTCTAAGTCATCTGTATCTTTACCCTCTTTAATCCGTTTCATTTTTCTCGTAGCTGCTCTCCTTCGAGCTGTCAACGGAAAGATCAATTACTCACCCACAACATTAAAAACAGTCAGTATGAACTGGGTGGAATATAAAGGGGTCATCAGATGACGACGTTAAAAGCGTTAAATTTTCACCACCACGTGACCATGGCGTGCAGTGATTCATAAACGGTATACTGTATACTATATGCATGTTTTACAAGTAATTGTGCTTGACCACTATATATTACGGGCGGTTCAAGGAGGACCGTTTAACAATTTGCTATAGTAAAGCCGGCGAGGCTTTTTATCATAAAAAGTAGATATCAAGGACCAATCGAGTGAGAATTGTTTAAAAATTCGACTTAAGTGAAAATTGAAATATTAAAAAAGTAGTTTTTATATAAAGAAACATAAATATATATTAGTATATTATATAAGCCATGTGTATATTTATATACAGTATATATAGTGTAGATATAGTAAATTGAATGATTCATATTTTCTCTATGATTAAAATTCAGTATAATTCTATTCAAATTCAAAAGAAATCGGTTTTACTTTATTCTATATATACTTAGTCATATACAGCATACTTAATTTGTATGCATATATAGATATCTGTATATAAATATAAACTGCATATGCGTTTCTGTATATATTAATATTATCAGAATCGATTTGTCCTCGTATAACTTATCTTCCAGACTTTATTCCTTTTACATGACGTACTCTACATTCTATTCGGAGAAATCTACAATACTAGCCTTTACCTCTCTTTAAGCCACCAAATAAACCTTTTTCTATAATTGCGAATGAAAAGAATAGATTTAGAACGATTGTGCACACAACAATAACTATTAACATCATGTACAAAGCAAATTTTTTAATTGTTGTTATTATATTATTAGAAGATCTTTATTCATTTTAGAAGCCTCTTTGTGAGAGGTTGAAAGAAAGAGTTAATGGGAACGATAGTGGGAAGGGAAAGCATTGAACCAATATAGTTAAGAAGAATTTAAATAGTAAGGGCGAGGAGAGGGAAGCAGAAGCGTAAGAAAACGATAATGATGATGAAGAAGAAGAAAAAGAAGAGGCTTAATTATTGGGAGAAAACGATTAATGATGGAAATATAAAGGCAGCGAAACAGAAAAAAAAAAGAGGGAAAGAAGGAGAAGAATCAGCAATAGTAGCAGCAAAAACGGCAGCAGTAATAGCAGACGATGAGAAAGATTTTAAAAAGAATGAAGTAAAAAAAGAGAAAAAAAAGAAAGAAAGAAAAAAAAGATGTATGAGAATACGACTTGTATGATAAAAAAAAAGATAGAAATAAAATATTCGCTTATTTGAAATACCTTCCATTATTTTCGCCTTATCCTCCTCGCTTGTCCGTTCTTCATTCAATATGACTTCCTCTGAGAATCGAAATGTCAAATGAGAAGGAGATAATTAGCCGAAGCTTTTTTCTATAATGAAACGCACCTGCTTTGCAGATCCATTCTAAATAACCATTTAGTTCTCGTTCAGTTTGCTGTTGCTTGCGTAATTTCAGAAAAGCTCGACGATTTTCGACACGCTCTCTTTCCTTAGCGAATTCCCTGTACGGAATTGTATTGATTTTTTTAGTTACGCGTCGCGAATATATCGTGTAGCGCATTAACTATGGAGAAACCGCCTTTTTTTTTTCCTCTTTCTAAAAAGATGAAAAATAAATGGAATAGGAATTGCCATCTTGTAGTTCGGAAATGTAAGTTAAGTGTATAAGGAGATCTTTTGTTATTCGCTGGAGGTTGCGGCATTGTATTGGCGCAGTGCAGTTGGCACAAACAAATCAATGAATGCGGCAGCTGAGTGTAGTTTTGCAGTTGGCCTATTTCGCAAGAGCGACACTCACCCACTTAAAACACCGAGAACGAGATTAAGCATGAAGAATGATCCAAGAATAATCAGGGGGAAAAAGTAAATCCAAGTAAAGTTCGGTCCTACGGCATCATTCGTATAATAGAGAACGGAAGTCCAACCCTCCATAGTAATGCACTGAAAAACGGTCAACATAGCGAATCCTATATTATCGAATGACGTTATTCCGTAATTTGGCCCTTCCCAATAAGATCGACATCTCGATCCTTCCGGACAAACAAAACCAGTTACAGACTTCTCTTTGCTGCTCGTCGATTGCATACAAGGTGTAACATTCTCTTCGCCCGCCAAATCAAATTCATCTTCCATATGAGTGTTCGATGTATTTTCATATCTGCAGGCCGTGTGAAAAGCACCGCTGTAAAACTCTAGGCCTATGATAGCGAAGATGACGATGGCGAAGAGCACCAAGAGGGCGATTTGAGCCAGCGGCGCCATAGCTCGGATGATCGATTTGAGCACAACTTGAAGACCTGTTTAAAGATGCGTATAATTAAAGTGGAGAAAAATATGGCCCATATAAAGAGAATGAAGAACTTTAAACAAAGAAAGCACACAAGGTTCATTTGATAGGAAAACAGAAATTTTCCATCACCCGATAACAACAGCGACATGCACGAAAAGTTATTAAATTCCGCTCGTATTTCTATTTCTTAGATAGATGAATTTATTGCATGCTTTAAACCACAAAATGCTGTCATTTCTAATCATTTTTTTTTCTCTCCCTTCCGTCTTTCATTCTCGTGTTGTTTTTATGTTTTAAAATCCTTAATAAAAGTATAAAGACAAAACTAGTATTGTATCAATAACCCGCTAGATATATTTATACACTTGATAACCATTACAAAAGAAGATTGTTACATAAAAAAAAATACGGAATCTTTAAATGAAACAAAAAAAAAGAAGAAAAAGAATGAAAAGAGACAAGAGAATTCGAAAGAAATAGAATTAATGCATATAATACAATTTTGTTTTTTTTTTTATTTGTTTGTACAAGATCATTTAGAGAAGGAGGGAGAGAGATTGTAAAGATATTTCTTTTTTATTCATTTGTTTTTATTTTTTTAAAAAAAAAATAAAAAAAGACTTTCACCCCTTCATGCAATTCCCTTTTGATTTATAAAGGTACCAACTGGGTATCCCAGACACCAGCTTGAGGGGTCTGAGGACTCGAATAGCTCGGAGTATTCTTAAATTAAATTTTTTACTATCGCTATCCAAAACAATAGTGACTAACCTAAAAGGGAAAATGAAAGGGGTAATGGTTGTGGAAGGTTAAAATACTAAACATAAAAGGGTGTATAATAGATACACGCGTATGAATAAGAATACAAAGTTATAAAAATAATAATAATAATCATCATCATTATAAAAAAATATCCGTGAAGACGTAGGTTGGAACTAGGGCTAAAGGTGTGGGTGGTGATGGGGGAGGGAAAAGGGGTTATAAAAACACAAGTGGAAAAAAAAACTGTATAGGACGACGTCGACCACTGGATTGCTTACTTTCGAAGCCTGTCACCAGTTTGAGAGGCCTTAATACTCTGATAGCCCGCAGAGCAGCCTGATCAAACCTCGGAATGAAGAGGGAACACAGCCTGAAAACGTAGGAAGAATTTATACGTTATAGAATCGTTAGCACTTTTTTTTTCATCGTATCGATCATTGGTCGTCGGCTGACAGTTTGCTCTTTTCTCGATAAGGAGGTAAAAGTTTACTTGACATATTTTATTATTAACAATAATAGTAATAATAATAAGACCGCTATCATAATTATTATTCTTCCTATAATAAAAGGCTAGAGCATGCGAAAAAGAATTTTAACTCACCCGGTTACTACTACTATAAAATCCATTATATTCCAAACGTTCCTAAGATAAGCTCCTTTATGCAATACGAATCCTAAAGCAACTATCTTCAGTAAAGCTTCCACGCAAAAAATTCCTAGAAAGTACACTTCAGTTTCCTCCTGCAGAAATTAGAAGGTACGTAAATAGAGGGAGGAGAAAGAGAAACGTGTCAAAGAGCGTACCAATTGTATGGCAAGAACGGTCTTGTCCCCTTTCGGCAAATGTTCTTCGAGAGCCAAAACGATACAATTGGCGATGATTGTAAGTAGCACCATATATTCGAAAGGCTTACACCGAAGTTAAGGTTAATTACAATAGAAAAATCGTAGTAAAATACTACATTGAGAGTATATATACAGTAAATTATGTATACATTTTATGAATAGTCTATATAGTCCAACTATAAAAAATGAAAATTATGTCTAGAAACGTAAGCGTTCGTAAGCGTCTAAATGTTCGTCTACAAACGGCCATGCATCTACGAATGTTTGTACACAAAATCACCAGACACACAATATTATAAATGAAATATTAGAATGAAAACACGCTTTGTGCATCAAACGCATGTCATCAAATATATATAAACGTATATTGTAGGGGTCTAGGAGCAAAAAGAGAAAAAAACAGGATAGATAAGAATAAATAGGCCAATAGAATGGGCGATGGTATGAATATTTTAAAAAGAAGGCTGAAACTGCTAGCGTTCGATCGATATCGGACGGCGAGCGCTCTGCAGAACTTAAGCTTCTTTTTATTTTGAAAAACGTTTAACGGATAACCGCGGAGAGTAATTAGAACGTTATGCGAGAGGCAAGCCAATCGATATACACTGCAACAGGTGCGCGTTTGAAAATGACACGTTCTGGAATGCATGAATTACCCAAAACTATATCCACATATATGTGCACATGCCGTATCTATACATGAATGTTCTGGCTATAAATATATACAAAGCTTGTATAAATTGAATATATATATATATATATATACACTTAGTACATAACTGTATATACATATTAACCTTTCCGCTCCTCATATACACTAAACGTAAGTAGATATATATATATATATATATATATATGTATATATGTATATACGTATATATTTATACATATGTCTATATATATATATATATATATATATATATACATCCACACTCATACTTAGTAACTGCTGTGTATAAATATGTAAATTATATAAAAGCGAACAACTGAACAAAAAGGATATCCCCATTCGATAATGGTCTTGGCGTATTTGCGGATAAAGTTGTCCTCGGAGAAAATGAAGAGCGAGCGAGCATTCGACAGGCCGATACCGGGAAGAGAAAAAGCATTTGCTCGTCGAGCAACATTTCGAAGAGACGTTTCGGCCGAGGCGGATGCTGCCGGACCTCTTCCTGTCGATTCTTCTGTTGCGGCAGCTGTTAAGTTGGCCATCCTGTATATAAGATCGGAGTCAGGGCGTCATTTTGACGCCATTTTTCTCAACGTTCTGTACATCGCAAAACGCGCGTACGCACGCACTCGTAGCACTGTCTAACGAATACTGCGCCGCCGCTGTCCTATCGTCATTGGCTTGCGCATGCGCAAGCCAAACTTATTAGGCCTGTATGGCTTTTTCGTGAGTAAGGGATGTGTCGATTGTTCGAAATGAGGTGGACGGCTTCACTGAATAATTGGCTATTTGCATACTAGGCTATAATATCTTGAAATGACAAGTTTCGTTAGATTTACGCAAAATGTAAATTTGAAAAGACGCCCAGACCCCCTTCAGCTGTTGTTCCATGCTTTTACAAAGCGAATATACTGATCGATAAAAAAAAATTGCGCGTCTAAACAACTAACCTACCCTCTCTAAACTGTCAGCGTCATCTGACGCACTTATATGGTTAAAACCTAACTTTTATTTTTTTTTTAGTTAATACAGGTGCTCCTTTTGAAGAAAACTATAAACTCTAGGTGTCACTAGTAGTCGAGCGGTGTCGCAGTTGTTATTCCATGAGTTTTTAATAAGGTAGATTATTTAAATGGTAAATACATGCATCGATGAAACTGCTTAGCAATTCGTAGAAAAAAGGTTGAAAACTTAGGGGGAAAGAAAGCCCTGAGGTCATGGGAGCTGCGACAACGTCATTGTGTTGCCGTAGACCAGAAAGCTACGGTAACAAATTGCAGCCGTGGGCGTCTAGGCCCTTTTTAACGCACCTTATCAAGGCGTTGCGAGGAGGCGAATTTCGTTGTCGACATTTCTCTAATTCGCCACCTATAATTTCTTTTGTACCTACTCACTCGGGATAATGTTTAACCGTCTTCATTTTCGTCTGAACTTCCACACATGTTCGTAGGTCAGACGTATCCACCGCTCTCCTTCTTGATACAGGCGGAGGGTGGCTGGCGGCACTGTCCTCTTCGGGTTGCGCATAGCGGTTATTACGACGGCTGTCCCTGTTGGCTGAACGAGGAACATTATAAACTAACAGTGACAAAACTTGTGACACTCATCTATTGGTTGTAAATACAGCGTCACTAACGGAAATTGACGCTCTCGCAAGCAAAGTAAACGTCCTCACAAACGCATGCACGGAACGCTGTACTTCACTTAAAGAGTTAAAATGAACAAATTCCATCTGTTTTATCGATGAGGCGGCGTTTCTCCAAGGAATCGATCTTAGAAAGTTAAAGTTTACACGCCTATTCCGTTACCATCGGACGTCGACGTCAATTCTCACAAGTCGTCAAAATGATTTGTTTAAATAAAAGCAACTCTCTTTCAAAGAACAACCTGTAGTTTTTTTTTTTTAAACTCATGATACAAATGATTAATATTTTTAGCCTTATTAAAAAATAAAAACAAAACGCTTCCATATTTTCTCATTTCCTACGTGACTATCATCTTTGAAAGCGAAACCGAGTTAATAGGCGTATAGTGAATCGCGTTATAAAAAGGCTAAGGACTCGCAAACTTTGACAGAACAAGAGGAAAAACACAGGAAAGGAGAGAGGAAAAGGAACAGGAAGAATAAAGAAAGAGTCAGATAGAATATAGAGACAAACAATTAGAAAAAGAGAATTAGAGCAGAAATAGAAAGAGACATGGTGAGAGAAGAGGTTTCCTTTTTGGCCTTCTCTTTCTAATTCCGTGTTGACTGTACTGTCACGTTGGGAAAAAGCATCTTTGCATATTTCAGAGGGGTTACCTCCGTAAATTGGAATCATACAAAAACAGTTCGCGGTAGATACCTGTTGGTAGCATCTTCACAACGTCCGATAGCGATTGACGCGATCGGCGTTCGGTGAGCGTCATTTTGTCAAGTCGGACGCCATCGAAGCGACGTTTGAACGCCTCCCGTTCCGCCCAAGCGCCATCTGGACGAGATTTGATTGCATTTCGAATTTATTCCTCATTCATCAACACACGATCGGGGCACTTCCTTATATACAGACCGCCTTACGTGTAGTCATAAAATATTCATATAGGCTAGATTCAGATGAAATACGCCACCTGGCGACTGTCTGTTCCAGGTAAGGCAAATCGGATTGCGCAAAACGCGCCGGCAACGTAGCGCGTCTATATTTCGCATTATAAAAGCCTCTAATGCGTTTTATTTGTCGACTGCCGGAGCAGTGAGAGAAAATAGTATAGAGAGTGCACGGTCAGTGAGGCGTGCGTAAGACGAGTCTTTTCTCTTTTTTTTTTCTCGTTTTCTCTTTAATCCGTTCTCTCTCTCGCACACTCATTTACTCGGTCCCTCTTTCTTCCTTTCCCCCTCTCTCTCTCTCTCTCGCCTCTCGCTCTCTCTCTCTCTCTTTGACTATTTCTTCTATTCTCTCTCCTTCTCATTCGCTCTTTATTTTCTTTTTTTTTTTACCGACTTCCCACTCTGTTTTTTCTCCCTTTTTTCTCTCAGTCACTTAGTCTCTTTCGCAGCTACCGTTTTCCTGTTACCACCTTAACGCTCTGTTTGTTTCCCTTCTCTTATTATTCTTGTTACTTACGTACTTATATACATACATGTACAAATGCGTGTAAATTTACTTAGCCATAGAAACACACAGACATACACTCACTTCTCTCTTTCAATCATTCTATCCCTGTACTAGATATTTATTAGGATATATATGATGTGTATAGACGTCGACGAAAAAGTGACGATGATTGAATTTTTTATCGATTCGGCCTGCTTTATTGCTCTTCGGAAAAAAAACCCAAGCTGCGGCGGGCGTTTCTTTCAATTTCCAATTACATAATGCACAGACGTTAGTGTAAAAGTGACGTATGTAGAGAAAGGATGCAGGTGGTAACTGACGTCGAACGATTATAACTATAGTAAACGTCAGCAAAAATAGTCGGCTTCCAACTTTTCTAATCAGCGTTCGCATTTGATCAATGGCAGTTGAGAAATGAATAATCCATAGACGCTTTACACCATTTATTTTTTTGCGAGTTGAAACTCGCATTTAAAATAATCTTTTTAACCTTACCTGTGTTGATAAGTTCGTCGTCGTCCTCCTCTTCTTCTTCTCCTTCCAGCTCACTCCTCTTCATATCTGTCCGACGCCCAGTACATCGTCTATATAATTTGCTGGCGTCGACAGTTAGGACACCTGGCGGTGAATTTTCAAAGACCAGTCTTTTGTGCTGATTTCGTTTTAGCTTTCGGCGTTTGAGAATCCCTTATTTCTACTTTACTTCTTTACATATTAAAAACATATATGATGATGTGCATAACGATTGTATATCAGCTTATAGAAATTTATGTGAAAAAGACATGCGCACATTTTGTTGGAGGGAAAACCTCGAACAAAAGGAATCTTAGACGAGCTCGACTCGACGGTATTGTACGTAGGTAATTACAGAGTATTTAGACGCTCTTCGAGCACGCATCTTTCTGGCCAAGCGTTTGCCCGAATGGAATAACAGAAAAATAAATGCATATACGCGATGGACCGATATTTTTTATAATTACAAGCCGCCGGCTCTTACGGGTGGAATGGCGACATTTTCACCCGTTCGACGTCTAGCGGAGAGAAGGTCGAAGACGGTACTAATTACGTCCGCTCATCTTCGCATTGATAATCCCATATATGCCGCGTTTGTACAGGCTTCCCACACAGATGCACAGACGCACACATACATACATGTATATACATACAATTATATATAAATTTAAATATATATAAATCTATATATACAGTATATATATATATATATGTATGTGTGTGTATGTGTGTGTGTGATATTTATATTTATATATATATTAGTATATCTATATATCTGTCTATATATATATACAAACATATATAGATATATACACAGAAGCACACGGCAACGCAATTAAAACGCAAACAAGAACGCCGCTCAATTATTGGTCGTTGGTTTCATCCTACTTTGCCCCCTCTATCTCTCTTTTCGCAAGCTTTTCAGTCTCTTTTTTATTCATTTGTCTCCCACTTTCCTTTCGCTTTCTCTTCCGTTTTATTACTTCGTTTTCCGTATGTCTGCCATTTCGTACAATTCTTATTTAAGCGCTGAGTTGCTAGTTATAACTGGAGGCGGTACCAAATGCATTTGAAAAGGAGGAAGAAAGAAAGGGCTACGGTGACGCTCAAGTAAAGGCCGATTGGCAAAAAGAGAAGGAACAGAAACAACGTCTAATTGGAAAAGCACGCAAAAGGCAGTAGAAAAATTTCTTTTTTTACTTTTATCGACATATTTCACAAGTCAGCGCCATCTAGTCGTAATAATCGCCTGGGACCGTCGCATCAGCCGTTACGGTTTATTATTTATTTACGACAACGGAAAAATAATTATCAAATGTCGACTAAAGTGTAGAAGTCTATATGAGTGGATGTTGACCAGCGGATGACTATGGCAAGGTTGATGCTCTAGACATCTGCAAAGCAATGTTCTGATGTTGGAGAGGTTGAGTATGCGAGAGGGAGGAAGCCGGGAAAGTCGAGTTTTTACTAATCGCTTTAGAGAATTCCACTAGTAAATCGCGAATGATCTGAATGCTCTGAATGTGAGTCTGGGTTATCGTGGTGTAGTTATTCAGGGAGACTGATTGTAGGGACTGCTGGCTTTTCTGTACATCTACCAATTCGTTCAGATTAAACGGCGCGTGACGTTGGCTGTCGGTCGCTTCCTGACACACTTCCGCCGCTAGTTTTAAATTGTACTCCAATTGATCCAGTAGGCCATAAGCATTCCCTATTTCTTTGGAAAGAGCTTGGGAGGCAGCTTGATCAGCCGGCTGTTTACAGTCCTCAGCTTTCTTATGACCCTCTATGAAATCGGCTATTTGAGTGAACAAATTCTGAAATAGGTTATATAAATATATCACTTAATCATTTTATATTCACCGTACCACTTACCGAGATGCTTGTCTTTAATTCTGGAAGAGTAGATTTGAAAAAATGAATTGGATCAATTTCCTGATTTTGAGATGAATTTGCCGACATAACTGATATATTTCTAAAAACAATACAGGTCAATAGACAATGCAATAACGTAAACGATAAATCTCAATCAGCGATATTGCGGGATTATTACTTCAATATCGATATCGACGATTTATCGTATTTCGCAGTGTCCGTATAGAGCACTCCGGCGCATGCGCACTTATCAAGGACACTGTACGCTAAAAAGTTAATTCGGGACTTGTTTCCTTTTCTATTAGATCTTCTTTTAAAATCATAGTTTAGATTAAATAACACAGAAAGTTTCTTTCTTAGAAATATGATAGTGTAAGCTTCTTAGATATTTATAATAATCTGTAACAACAAGGCGATAAGTGGATAGATTGTTAGTTACCTCCTGTTGCGATTAAATTCGTAAACAACGCACTATATCACGTAATTGTTAGGTTTATGTTATTTTGTAGTCTCTTTAGGGCTTTAGTAATTTGAACTTTCGTATAAAATATCTGTTAATTATCACGATGTTTTCAAGAACTCGTTGTAATTTTACATTCGAAGGAAATCTTAAAAGAAACTAATGAAAAAAATAGACTGAATAATAATATTAATGTTAAGCCTGTAATAACAATTGACCAATCGCTCAATACTGCAAAAGAAGCTTATTTCAAAACATCCTCCTACAATATGATTTTTTTAGATGGCATATTGAGTAAAGAACAAGCCTAATCAGAAAAAATACTACGTGGTAGTTTCTCTCTTTGTAAGACTACCGCATTGCCTATTTCTGCATTATATCCACGTCCATTTGATTATACTAGTGAATCACAGGAGATAAAAGACACTGCTTATAACCAATAATCTAATATCCATGAGAAAGTATGTATCTTCATGTTCTATGTAGACGTCAGGTTTATAATCTTCTTAACTAACAAGTACCAGGGTAAAATCGCTTAAGAGAATAGTAATCCTACTTTGTATCTATGAATTCGGCTTAAACAGCCTCTATCAAAATCTTTATCAAGTCTTTATCTGTAAGGTCCATTGCAATTGCTAAAAGACAACAGGGCAATTTCTATCTTTCGTAGACTTAGTTTAGCTTTCGTATAGATTTCGGTAAATAACATTTCCGTAAAAATGTATCAATGCTTTGCCTTCCATCCCCCATTCTCCCTCTCTCCCCTTTTCCCCAGCTCCCTTTACTTATAAAACATTAATCGTTATAAAAGTAAATATATAACTGCAAGCATATTCTCTCTGTCTATCTATCTGTCGCTTTCCCTTTACTTCTCTTTCTCTCCCACTGTCTCTTTCCCTTTGCCTCTCTTTATCACTTTATCCTCTCCTACGGCTTTTTAGGAGAACAGAAATTATTATTGGGAATAATTATTATTGGAAATAATTTCTGTTGACATTTTGCATCACTATTAATCGTCACCAAGCTTCTTATTACTTTTCATAAAAGAGGGAAAAGCGTGTTAGGCATACGGGGTTGCGTTCTTTTTCTCCCCCCGCCCTCCTCTCCCCTTTTTTTTTGTTGTTTATTACCCTTATCCCCCCTCCCTTCTTTTCCCTTCCCTTTCTTTTTTTTCCTCTTTTATTTTCCTTTATCATAGGGTCAGTAAGTGGGCTGACGTCACCGTGAGCATTTAGTTTAATTACTTTTGCATATATAACGTTCATATTAAGTAGCGACGGGTCACGATTGTCGTGTGAGATCGTGTTGAAATGCCGACAATATTGACTTTTACTATAAACTTAGTTTAGCTGCTAAAACGCTGGTGAATAATTCATCCCGGTAGAATTAATTAGGTAATCTCATAAGCTTGTTGTATTTTTGCGACGTTTGCGAATATAGAATGAGAGATTCGTCTAAACCTGAAATGCGACGGGAATTGTTAAATATTGTTCTTTTCTAATCAGTTGATGAATCTTCCAAGTGTGGAAAATAAACGGATGGCGTGGGAGCAAATTCTCTTTTTTCTTCCGGTAAATCATCGACTACTTGATAGCAGGAAACTGTACCGCTTGTTGTTCCACTAACGATGAGCATGGGCTTGGAATGGGGACTTTGTTCTTCCGGAATAAACCTGTTGAAAAGTGATCTTTATGCATTAATCGTCCATTAATAAATGAATCGACTGCCTACTTGATATCTTCCGGGTCGACGTCAGCAGTCGCTCGATTCTCATACAAATTCAACCACGATCGACCTTGCCCTCCAGCGTAATGAATACTTTCAAAGTTAGACGCGAGCTGACGGTCGAAAGAATAGATCAAAATCACGCCGGGCCGTTCGTTAGCGACGAACAATAGAGTCTTTTTGAATGCCCTGCCCACGTCGACGTTCTCTGTTTCCGGCCCTTTCTTTGCAGACCTGGAACCGGCCGCGCCCTCTGGGGTTTTGTCAATGTCTTTGCCGTTAGATCCAAGCACGTATGGAATATGCTTATGAATGTTTTTTTCAATGTCATCACCAGAATCGTATATCAATGACAAATCTGACGCCCGACGGATAGAGTAGCTTCTGGCCCCGTAGGCGTGCAGAGTTTCGTGCAGTCCATTTTCATCTAGACCGTCAATCGAACTCACTCGTAGCCGACCGATTCTCTCATCGTCATTTAGACGCTCTCTCAGTTCATCATTTATAGCGTTTTCTGGAAAGGAGAAAAATCGAACATAATTTTTTTTTAAAAAAAAAAGGAAAGAAGAACGAAAGATAAAAAAAATCTTCTTAATTTTAAAAAAAAGAACGAGACTAAATAATTCAATGCGAAAAAAATTGTATACACACTTTCTATTAGTTCAGCAATGCTAACACCATCTGTGAAATTGAGTTTCTCGTATTCCTTCTCTTCACCTTCGTTTGCGGTCAAAATGTATTCTTTTCCTTCAAATTCGAAATATTTTATCGTATCTGGCTGATAAAGGCTATGTAATGGCAAGTCGCTTAGATGATTGCTTCCATCTAACGAAATACTCAAGTTTGACCAACTTTTGCTGCCTAATCCGTACAGCTCTAAGATTTCCGCTTTTTCCACATCCATAACCGCAACGGCATTATTTTCTTGTAGACTGATGTAAGCCGTTTTTCCGTCTTTATTCAAGGCTATATACTCAGGCTCCAAATCCTGGGCAAACGTGGAGCCATTTTTCCTATAAACCCAACGTACGCCTTTGGAAACGTAGTAATCAGCTCTGTTGTTTTAATAAAGGGTTAGTTTGATTAAATTCTACGCTAATTATTATTTAAAGGTAATTTTCAATTTACAGATCATTAAATTTTGAGAAATTAGCTCTCTTTAGCTCGTATTGGCCACCGTCAATTCGAACAACAGCAATGGAGCCTTCCGGATCAACAAACTGGCCATTTATTACACGCATTTCGCCTTCGACAGCAACTACTAATCTCTTACAATCAGGCGTCCACTGTAACATATCTGGGACAGCACCTACAGTTACTTCAACCGATAACGCAAGGTCACCAGTTTTAGCAATGTCATAAACAAAAACCTTTCCATCTATAGGATCCACTTTATTGTCCCATGTGACGGCCAATTTGTCGTCACACACTTCGACGTCCGTCAATTCTCCACCGGCCACACGAGTATAGTGGGTAACGGTTGGCGAGTATGGGTTGGAAATATCGATGGAATGTATTAAGTCGTTTCCTATTAGTTTGATTTTTTCGCAATGAAATTCACTTATACCCGGTGCTCTATTACGAAATTAAAACTCACCAACTGTAAAAAGCGCCTTGCTTTTGGCGTGATATGAGCTCTGCTCTGCCACGTCTCGATTATATTCGTACTTCAGGGGTTCGTAGGAATAAGGAAGGTAGATTGTCGATAATTTCTCTAATCTTATTACACCTGACACTACGCCTAATATCAGAGAAAAAATGAACACTTTGAAAGTCATGATGCTCTTTCTTAATGCGCATTCATGACTGATTAACTCTCGCATTTTATAGTCACTAACAGCGCCCTTTAACCCCCATTCTAGCCATAAGTGAAGCACGACTAGGCTGATAATTCGTTACTGGTCATTGTGTATCTATCATAAGTGATATGAAGGACCGTTATCAATTAGAGATAGTATTCTAACTGCAGAACGGTTTAAAGTTTATTCTGTTATATGTATACTGCAACGATCGCAACCACACATGGAAAAGAACAATAATAAACAAAGACACGATCTTGAAGCAGATAAATATACACATGCATATATATATATAATATATAAATTACATTATTATTTATATATTAATATATATACGAATATATTTTATTTTACATATTTGAATGTTCTTAGCTACATATATATATGTTCTGTATATATATATATATATATATTATACATATGTTGATCTGTACATGTTCAGGTGACTTTTCGTAACAAAAAAAGAGCAGACCAGTTTTTTTTGTATGTAAATTTTGACCAATTTTCCTTAAATATTCAACACATACATATACTTATATATAGCTTTACGCACATATACACATATATATGCATATATAAATATATATATATTTATATATGTGCTACATATATTTATATATATATATGTGTATAAAAAAATATAACTGTATACATATTGATATAAATATATATATTTATGTACACATAAAAATAAACATATAAATATATGTAGCACATTATGTATTCATATATTTATACATTTATAATATTGGATGTGTAGAAAGTAAGCTTATCACACAATTTCGATTCGTGAGAAATATGAAGACTAAACCGGCGACCCAGTCGTAGGATAAACAATAAAAAAAATGCACGAAATTTTCTACGCATGTACAACATACGCATTCTCGTCATAGTGACGCTTCGAAATGCGCCATCATATCGCTTTGCGCACTCATATCAATTTGATTTGTCATCTGCAATAAAAAATACAATAAGTAAAATGTGACTCGAACATTTTAAATGAAGCTTACAGCTTTACGCCTCCGCCTTTCCTCTTCACGCAATTTTTCCCGATCAATTATCGCAGAATTTGACGGTGACGGAACATTCGAAGTGGAATTCGATTGGAGGGTGGAAGAATGGGCAACAGCTTTTTCCAAGGCCGCTTCCTCTTCAGCCTGTTTTTTCTTGTCAAGCATTTGTTTTTCTCTCTCTTTGGACAATTTTTCTTGTTGCAAGCGTCGAATCTCTTCTTGCTGCTTTTGGGCATTTTCTCTATCTTTTTTCTCTTTAAACGCTTTCTTAAATCGACTAAAATCGTTCATTATATTAGGTTTTTTAGTATTGTCGGTTGAAGATGTCATTTTTGCAAGAGCTGCTAAACCTTTCGGCTTTCCTTCGGTTGTTGTGTCCTCATCATCGCTTTCACTGCTGCTGGATGCCATAATCGATTTATGCTGTTTTTCAACAACAGTCGGTTGTGCCAGCATGTCACTCAGAGTCGCTGATGAGGTCTTGGGGGCAATAGTTCCGTTTGATGATTCTGGTATTACAGTTTTTAACAGTTCTGTAGTAGATGTGGGTTCAACGGTTGGCTCTTTTATTGGTGGATCACGATTCACTTTATTCGGTGATATAGTGATTTTCTAAATAAAATACAATAATTCTGTACATTCCAGCTTACATTTTATTAAGTCCTATAAGATATCTTTTATATATGCATCTCAATTTTACAATCATCATTGTTTGAAATTAGTTACAAGTTATAGCAATTTAATAGAAATGAGTTCGATTACGGAAAAATGTTTACCTGTCCGGAAGTAGAAACGTGGACTTGGTTCTCAACTCTAGTAGACTTTTTCTTGGCGTCACCTGTGGAAATGGACAATACGCATGCACAAAGGAAATTTAAAAAAACTCGTGTGTGTTGCGAGGTAGCGCTATGGAAAATCACGTGTACACGTTGGTTCGTCAATAAATAATTATTTTATTATTGGCTTTTCTCAAAACAAAGAAATAACACCAGATCAGTCATGTCGATCGTCTAGAAATCACATTAATAATTCTTTCACACACAATTCTAATAAAAAACTATTTACAAAACTAAACAAATTCTTTTAAAAAAAGAAACACAGTTTCAACAATGGCTATTAAGATTTTTAAAGAAAAGGCGAATAATTGAAGAATGATAAATGATATATTTACAAGAATGGGGCGGAGGGCCACGAGCGCAGACTGTGTTCCAAGGCCCGAGCTCAATGACCCCCCTTTTGCGTCCCCCCTCATCTTAACATTAAATTAATGTAAGCACGGCCTCGCAACACACTCTGCGCTCATATATCAAAATACGTCGTCATCCACCGTTAACAAAAAAATATATAGCAAACAATCTTCCCTCTTAGTAGTTTGCTTTAAAAACTTAATTTTTTTGACTAGTCTAACCTGACTCTGAATCGCTCGAGTCACTCGAGGACGACGACGAACTTCCACTGCTACTATCTGATTCTGATGAACTACTGCTGCTTTCAGTTAATCGTGAAGCTTCGGCATCTACAACAAAGTAAATAAGTAAAACAAAATGTAAAAAAGTTCTGCTAATTTACCTTTTTTGTTTGTTGATTTTTTGGTGGTAGGAATTTTGTTGTTGTCCGCAGGTGCACTATTTTCAATATCTTTCTTTTTCTCTGCCAGTTCTTTATTTTTGCCAGTCGGTTTTCGGGCTATAAAAATAATCATTTATCATATAATTCATTTACCAATTTTTTTAAAACTTACTCCATTGTTTACGAGGTTTCTTTTTCAAACAAGATAGAACATAAGCTTCCAGCTCTCTTAGAGTAGATGGCTTCAGGGTTTCGAAGTCAATTTCTATCTCATCCGGATTAGAATCGCGCAATGAGGGCTCGCGCTCTTGAATGATATGAACAACACGTCCCAGTTTATCTCCTGGTAATTTATTTATATCTAATGACAACTGCCTTTTTTCATCATAAGACATGGGCTTTGCATTATCCTCATCGTCACTGTCGAAAAGGGATGTTGCGTTCTTGTTCTTGACCTTTGAAACTGGTTGTCTTGGTTTTTTGGGCTGTCGAGGCCTCTTTACTTTATCTTTCCTAACGCCTTTTCCACCAGCACCTGTACCCGGTTTAGTTTCGGTTTGGGATGCCGATGGTAAGGAATTCATTAATGGCGTCATTGCCACTGTATTTGTATTCACCGTACTGGAAGGAACCGATGCTATGGGTGGCGCAGGTAACCCTGGGGTTGGATGGACGGCTGGAGTGGCAGATGAGGTAGGAATTGGCGTTAAGAATGAAACATCAGAGTGAATAGGTTTACGAGCTTTAGATCCTTCTTTAAAAGAAGTATTTGGACGCTTCTTGCCATTTTTGCGACGTTTCTTTTTCTCTCTACTTGTATTTACCATCTTAATCACCTGTTCGCTTAGCTGTCGTAATTGTTCAGCCATGGCAACTAATTTCTTGGCCCTCTCTTCCTCCTCTTGTTCTGAATCGGAGGAACCCGTACTGAGTTCCGAATTTGATACGTTTGTTACACTGGGTGCTATACTTTCTGTATCTGTTGGAACTTCTTCAGGCATCTTAGAAAACTTCGCCTCAAAAACATCCTGCAGTTTGTGTCCCATCACGGCCACTTCGCTGGCCTGTGGATTATATCTATAACAATTATGAAATACTAAGCGGACGTCTTCTGCGAATTCTTGAGCATTAGCATATTCTCGGTTCTCTAGCTTCGTCTTGATAGTTCCCAAGTCCATAGGTTTCTTTATGATGTCGTGGTAATCGTGTAAGCCCAGTAATTTAGCGTCAACTGGTTTGTAGAACGGCCAGCCGTATGCAGAATGCTTTTTCGAAAATAGCTCTTTTACGACGCCTTGACAGAACTTTAATTGTTCACTTAATTTTTCTCGTTTATACTTGGATGAGTGCTGAGCTTGATCGTCTGGGAGATCTTTTCTGGGACGCTTGATTGGTCTCGTGCTTTCTCTTCGCGTGCCCCCAACGGGACCAGGAGCGATAGAACGGGGGTCTGGATCGTTGAGTTTATCGAAATTCGGATCGAAAATTGATTCGTCCGGCTTTCGTTTTAATGATCTTGGACAAGGTGTATTAGTACTATCGACATCTATCGGTGTTGTCGTAGGAGTGGGAGCTTGTGCTGGAGGAGGTTGCACAGGAATAGGAGCCGGAGGTGGAATCTGTGGCACTGGTACGGGCGTTGAAGGCAAACTGTCAGGTGCTTGACCGTTAACAGCGGTGCTAATCACCCCTGATGGAACTGGTAGGGGGAGTGGGTTTTTAACCACGGAATTTTTCGAAGACGGTTTCTTTCTTTTATGCTGCACTGGCAACTCTACTTCTTCATTTGGCATCTGTGCTATTTTACTTAAGAATAGTTTTTCTAAAGTTTGTGCCATAACTGTAATATCTTCTCCTGGTTTATTATACACATAACAATTAGTGAACATTCTGTTGAAGTCCTCGATGCAATCTTTTGCTGAATGGTAGTAGTTCGTCTCCAACCGTCGCTTGATAGTTCCCAAGTCCATCGGCACTCGTATTATCTTATGATAGTCCTGAAAGTAGCATCGAAAATACAAAAAATAAACTGAACACGTCCTAATAAACAAAATAAAGCTCACAGGCAATTTGAGTTTACTGGCGTCAACGGGCTGATGGAAAGGCCAAGCAAATTGGTGTTTCCATACAGCCTTCATAACTGTTTTGAGCAAGTATTGAAGTTGATTCGTCAAACGTCCAGGAGTTCGATTTGTCTGTTGAGATGAAGCACCTACATCCGTCAACGGAGATGAGTTCGAACGATCTGGGGCACGATTCGCCGAGGCAGTTGCTGACCCGGGATCAGTAACAGGTGAGGGATTTGAGTGAAAGGGTGTCGCATCAGCCTCACTTTTGACGTTTATTCCAACCGGACTAGCGCCGTTAGTATTTCCGTCTACAGGATCCATTCTTTACCCAAGATTATCCGAAAGCTGCCTGTACCGTTGAGCAGCTGTGTTTTACAGCGCTTACCTGTAGGTCAGAATAAAAATTATAAATTGAAATAGTAAAGCGGGAAATCCCTATGACTCATACTACGCGTATACTATATTATACGATATTCTACAATATCTAACTAATTTTCATAAACAAGTATACGTTATCGATAAGCTAACAAATTTGCTACAGCAAAAATTGCATTGAAATCCAGTTTACTCCATTTACGCTGGTGAGCGTTAAATGGCAGCCATTTTGCTTGTTCTACTCTACCAACAAAAAATATCAGATTCTTAAATAGATCCGCTTTCCAACTTACAAATTTTTCGTTCTTCAGGACCGCGGCAATTTTAAAGTGTAGATGGTACACTTTATTAGGCGTAAATCACCGAATATAGTGAGAAAATATTGTTAATACGCAGAGTAACATGGCCGTGCGGCAGTGGCCAGTAGGCGATTTGTAGGATGTGTTTTAGCGCGGCGTTGCTGAGCGTTTAGGAAAAATGTTGACAAAGTACCATAGAAAAATCATTGGACGACCCTGGTTCGATCCTAGCAGTGCGGATTCTTCTTCCAATCCGTCTCACTGATTCGGATATATTCACAACCAGGCTCGAAAACAAAACACAGTTCGGCAGCGTAATACTCAATCCTCGTATAACAACACCGGCTATTGGCTATTGTTTGTCACGTGATCGAAGCCTTCCTTTGCTACACTTTCTTTAACCGGGCAAATGAGCTTGATAAAACTTCGGATCCCAACTACTCCCTTTAGTATCTTTTATTGATAAAGTACAGATAGAAAAATGGATTCAAAATGTAGTTTTGGAGTGAGAATAGCCGTTTTTCCAACTTGCCAAAACGATTTAGTATACTTTAATGGCGAATTATGTAAAGCGTTTTCTGATTGGTTGACCACTTAGACGTGTGCATAAATTATAACTATAACCTTATTTCTATTTTACGTTATTAGCTAAATTAATTGTTAAAATGAGTGTATAAACAATATTATTTGATAAATGATTTTACATTTTTTTGACATAATTAAGTGCGGCGCTAAAATAACGAAGTCTAAACGTACGAAAATTACTCCTCTTGGGTACGAAAATTTCAAGTAATAAGGAGTTACTTTAGTAGTAAAAAAATACTAGCATTCTCATACACCAGCCTATTGTTAGAAAGCATAATATTGGTTAAAAGAAAAGATTTATAAGATCAAAAAAAAAATTATAAAGCTCACAGCTTTAAGTATATATTAGCCAATCAGCATTCTTTTCTGATTATCATATGTTTAAAAAAATGCATGTTATGTCAAACAGCTATCGAAACTATTAATTGTACAGAAAAAATAGTTAAGGGAATTATGCCATTGTGAATCGATAGTTAATATTACCAATCAATTGAGTAAACCCCGACCCGGTATTCCGGATTCGACGCATGCGCATTAAACGCGAAGCGGCCGAGCCGAAATTACTTTTTCTGGAACTGTTAGATTATTTCAAGATCGGAGTAAAGAGAAGGTATTTTACGGTTAATATTGTACCTTAACAAACTGTCGACCGAAATGCAAAAACAACGACTTTGTAGTTTGTGGTATATTTGTCGATGAGGCAATTTCCTCTCTAAATATTTTTATTACTCTAGACTAGCCGCTTTATTCACATCTACGCATGATTTACACTTCTTTCAATTGTTTCAATGCCTCAAGAATCGATAGAACGGACTAATATGCTCACCAATATTCTATTTCGATAGTTAGTTGCTAACTTCTATTAAGAGCTTATAAATTCCCTCCAATACAACATATATTGCTATTGAAATAGGCCAAATAAAAACTGAATTGTGCTCTAAAAAAATCATGATCATGCAGTATCCTGGCAATACGCATGCGCAAAATGCAGGAAATACAATATAATCGAAGATTATATGTTTTAAATATAGCTTATTGAAATATTATTCATATAGTGCGTTTTTTATCCTCCGATCGTTTTCGCTATGCAAATTTTTGGCGAAATATGTTTAATAGATTTTATGTTATCGGCAGATTGATATGTCTGAAGAAGAGAAACCTACCGATACTGGAGAAAGCGAAGCAAAACCGCCAGAAACTTCTCCTGGTGCAAGTACGACAAGTGCTATTTCGACGATAACAACAACTACAACAACAACAACTGCTACACCAACTGTACCCTCGTCCACAGCCTCAACTTCAAAAGCGTCTGGACCTCAGGTAAATCGTAATTGGGCGTATTAAACGGTTTGAGTTAATCACGTCGTCTCGTCTCCTTTTCAGAAGCCAAATTATATATTGAAGTTTACGTTGGCAGGACACACTAAAGCGGTGTCGTCTGTGAAATTCAGTCCGAATGGTGAATGGCTGGCGAGCTCATGTGAGTAGTTTAAATCAGTCTCAATATAAACAACTTTCTAACTACTCAAACTGTTGTAGCTGCCGATAAACTTATTAAAATTTGGGGAGCTCACGATGGAAAGTTCGAAAAGACACTCTCGGGCCATCGATTGGTAAATGCAATCATTAAAAATATATACATCAAGGATAAAAAAATATTGCTATTGTAGGGAATATCAGATGTTGCGTGGTCGTCAGACAGCAAATTACTCGTTAGCGCATCAGACGATAAAACTTTGAAAATTTGGGATCACGCTTCAGTAAGTAAACCCTCAAGGAAGCGAACTTTGATGAATTTCTTATATTGTTACAGAATAAATGCATAAAAACTCTGAAGGGTCACAGTAACTACGTATTTTGCTGTAATTTTAATCCACAATCAAATCTAATAGTTTCTGGATCGGTTAGTATTAAAAAGTATTATTATTAGAACCCAATTCACTTATTCACGCTTGAAACAGTTTGATGAAAGTGTTCGAATTTGGGAAGTGAAATCAGGAAAGTGCTTAAAACAGTTACCGGCTCATTCGGATCCAGTTACAGCAGTTCATTTTAACAGAGACGGTTCGTTAATTGTATCGAGTTCATATGACGGACTATGGTAAGGATTTCTCATTTAAACTGATTGGGAAAAAATTGTTATCTTATTGCTGTTTATTATTTTACTTTTTAGTCGCATTTGGGACACAGCAAGCGGGCAATGTCTAAAAACGTTAATTGATGACGATAATCCACCAGTTTCATTTGTTAAATTTTCACCTAATGGAAAGTATATATTAGCCGCTACCCTCGACAATACTCTTAAATTGTGGGATTATTCAAAAGGAAAATGTTTGAAGACGTATACGGGTCATAAAAATGAAAAATATTGTATATTTGCTAATTTCTCAGTCACGGGCGGTAAATGGATAGTTTCTGGATCAGAGGATAATCACGTTTACATTTGGAATTTACAGACAAAAGAAGTTGTTCAAAAGTTACAGGGACATTCAGATACAGTGCTTTGTACTGCCTGTCATCCCAGCGAGAATATCATTGCATCCGCATCTCTAGAGCAGGATAAAACAATTAAATTATGGAGAAGTGATGTTTAAAGACATTAAATCTATATTTCTATCATTAATTTCGATTCATATCATTGTATTATAGAGCATATTACTTTTATGGAGCTTTTTCAATAAATAAAGAAAATCAAAGAATATTTTCCTTAGAAATATTACCTATAAACTATTGAAGCATCAAACGTAAATAACAAAGGAAATCATGTGTACCACCTTCAAAAGGTCTCCAGTTGCTTGCAATCTGCAAATGCAACGGCTTTAAAACAATCTGTAATATTAAAGCAGGCAGTAAGAGGCAAATTTATAATAAGAAAACAAAGTATCTTTCTCCGGGTTTTAGAGTACAGACGCCACCTACAGGAAACGAATAGAGTATCCTGAACGCATTAAGAAACAAAAACCTGTCAAGTTGAAAAAAAAAGTATTATCAAATGATGCTGCAGTACAATGGCTTCCTTTTCAATGTGGTAACAATATTCCTCATTGAAATAATAAGGTGTAAATACGTCCTTTGAACGAAACGTTGTTTTCTCGTTGAAAAACGAGAAACAGTAAGTATTTAGAATTTTATATGTCCTTGATTTAAATATTTACAGAGACGCCAGGTACAATTACAGTATATATACACAGTATTTTATTTTATAAACTAAAAGCTTGACGTTTATTATACATCTTGTTTGATTTTATCTGACAAACAATGTTGAAATAAGTAAAAACTGTGTTATCAAATATCAGTATATATAAATATATACAGTACATGTAATGATAATCACCCGTATACTTATCAACTAACATTGCATACCTGTAAACTACATTGTATAAATCTGTACATTTGTTATGTTGTGTCTATTTTATTTATATATATATGAAACATAATCCTTGAACTAGGTATGCAGATGGCGCTAGCCATCAAAAGAGGGATATCTTTTCCTATGAATTTTCAGTTGTCTGCATGATTAATCGAAAGCACATGGGAAACAAGCAAAAAAATTTTATTATTATTATCATTTTTAAAGTGTAAAATTCTTTGGCCAAACACATTTCGATGAAACCGTTTTATAGACGAAGGCGACTTCCTCTCCATATTTTTCTATTCGAGCCTTAATATCCGTTAATACGAAATGACTTTTTAGTTTATCCTCTAGAAAATATTTACTTTGCTTTGAAATTTATAATTAAACTAAACCAGACTTTCTTTTTTAGCTTACCGACTCCTCTAACGACTGCATAAAGACCGTAGTCATTCGAATCTGATATCCTTAATCTATGGGCCAGCATGTTCGTTGCTTCGCGAACCGTCATCTTCGGACGAACTGGTATGGGTTTGATGATAAAGCTATTTCTTACTTTATCGATAACGGCAATTTGTAAAACTCCTTCGAACTTTGAGTACAAGTCCTGTTTGGTTTTGATTTTGGTGTTTTTTTTATCAGCTTTAGTTGATTATTATTGATAAAATGAGAGAAAATCATGGAAAACGTACGGTTAATTCCTCCTTTGCCGCTTCTTTACCAAAAATATAAGGTAAGTACTTGAGAACGTGCAGGGCTGATCCTAAGGTTGATAAATAGTAACCAGATTCGCCACACGTTGAAGCAGGTTGAAGTAAAGCCCACATGTAATTAATCTCTATCTGTAATAAATCACTGAATTAAATTAAAAGGGAATAAAGTTGGGAAAACTATTTGAACTCTACCTCATCCGTATAGACTCCAAGTCGAGAAAAGACAAAAATTAATGATGATAAGAAGACTAAGAATAGTAACAAATTGATAATTAAGAATTGTTAATGAATAGGAAGTTAGAAAAATGATAGTATATTTAATTACAAACCGTTGCTTATTGATCGATTATTCAATAAATCTATTCTTATAGAACTCAATGTTTGTATTTTCGAGAGGGCGCCAATTAAATTTTCTAATTTTTTTAACGGAGATGAGGCCTTTCTCATATTGACAAGAAAATGTTCTATAATTCCCATCATGGTATCATTTAGTCTACTTTCCATTTGCGCCTATTTTTATAATGAGAATGTTACAGTAGTTTGGTTTATTTTTAAATGGAGAGGGAAAAAAAGAAGAAAGTATAAAGTTAAAAACATTTACCGGTAAGCCCAGTTGCTCGGCGGACGTTGATTTAGCGCACTTAAGTCCCTCTCTTAATAATTCTATGTCTTTTTGTTGATGGTTCATAAATTTTTCAAAAACCAAATCCTTTAGGTCATTTACAACTAGTTCGTTTAAAGTATATTCGTATATGGCATTCAAATTGAGAAAAGTACCAGGTTCCAGCTAAATATAGTAAATAGTAGGAAGAGGAAGTGAAGAAAAGTAGAAAAGGAAAGAGAAGAAATGAAAAAAAGTAGAAAAATATAGTCAATTATTTTGATATAAAAATAAAATACTTTTAAAGCGTAACTATCGATCACGTGACGAATATTTTCTTCGGGTGAATGCAAGAGATAATTTTTCATACCGTCCATAAATTGTCGAATCTAATTGAAATGAAATATATTCATTTTCTTGATGAATAATTCAGTTGTTAAAAGTTAGATTAATTTACGTTTCTGGTAATTGAGTAGGGATCAGTTTGCTTGGAATTCTTTGTACATTTTAAGAATTCGATTATACTTCTTCCAAAAGTTGAAGTATCACTTTTCATGTTAACAACGAATTCGTATATTTCCCAAGCAGGACTCCTTTGACCATCTCCATTAAATTGAGGAATGTCTAAAGTTTCAGGGCCTTTACAATATGCAAATTAATTAAAGGTAATGTAATATTTATTTTTCATTATATTTAGAGTATTTTAATGAATTGATAACTTACAGAGAAATGCTAAATCTTGTTCTACTTTAGTATTATCGCTGAATTCTTCATACGATGTAGCATCGTTTAGAAACGGATGAACATATTCCACGGCGGAAGTATCCGGAACTTCGGAATCGTCGACGCTCATTTGAGCGGAATCGCTAGCTACACGAAGGGCAAACCATACATCACTATGCCATGGGGTACTAAATTCAGTGACATCCGAATAACGATCCGTATCGACTGGTTTGACCTTGGCCTTTGAATCATTAACATTATCATAGAACGACCTTCTCCTAAACACGTTTGTTTCTATTTGGACGTCGCTGAATTTCTCTGATTTTGTATTCGAATCGTATACAATCGATGAGTGACGGGACGATTCGTTAGGTCTAGGGTGATTGATTGGACGTGGTTTAGGACGTCTCTTAACGTCGTTAGGAAGTGGAGGAGGTGCACACGACATTTGTATATTAGGACAAAAAGTTAACCAAAAATCTGGAAAAAAGTAAAAATCAAACAGTGGAAAAGTAGAAACACAACTGGAAAACTTTTATTCAACTATTGCAGATTTTTTTTTAATAGAATTGCAATCATCAAACGTACTCTTTCCAAGTTTATTTAGCTCTCGTAATCCGTTTGCAGAAGCTGTACTCCATATAGGTGTAGGCAACTTTAACAAAGTTTCTAATCCGTATGAGTGAGTTGAATATCGCTCAAGAAGATGGATTATTGTGGGGGAAACAAATTTAGATTCTGCCAAGTAGATACCGTCTGGAGATTCTTCAATTCTATAATGATGCAGTATATTCTCTCCGATATGAACGGATAATACAAGCTTTTGATTTTCAACTGTTGAATCACTAGTGACTCGTACTATGAAATTCTGTGGAGCAGGCAAAAAATAAGAAGAATGTTTTACAATAAAAAAAAAACTGCATAGACGTAAAACTGTATAGTTTGAAAATTGTAGAGGAAACACAAGTGTGTATTTGTACGCTGCCTTGTTATCTATATAGCATGTAAGCCTATAAAGAAATACCAGCGCCGCCTTCAAGGAACGGTATTTAATTATATAGGACTATAAAAAAGATACTATAGTAAGATTATCGTATAAAAATCGTATACAAACCCCGGGATTTGTATCCCTTAAAAGTTCGTTCACTTCCTGCCTATCGACTTTCAGGAACCATATATCACGAGTAGATTGTAACCGCTGGCTTAAAGAAATATTTTCGGGGAAATCGGAGTCGTTCACCTTCAAATTCGATCTGTAAGCGCGTAAAGTCGAGAGAATAAGTAGGTACGTTTCCTCCCTTATCTCTCGTTCTACTTTTACAAGCGATATGGAAAATATCACTTACCTTTGTTCATCATTTTCGCGCATTTCCGTTGTAGATAATAATGTATCAGCTCGACGGGCGTCAATTAGAATACCGTCTAAATCACCTGCAATATTGGTGAGAAGCTAGGAAAAAACAGTGACTAATAAGTATTAGATGAGTAGATGGTTTATCCGTGAAACGCGAAACCGTCTAGTTAAAATTTAACCTCAGAACTCGTGTTTAAGTTAGTTTACAATAAAAAAAAACTAGTTGAAAGAGAGAAAACAATCCCATTTAAAGGAAACTAAATACTTTAAAATACAAGGAAAGAGAGAAGAAAAGATGAAGAAAAAACTAGGGAAAATAGTATTCAATGATGGGGAGTTAAATAGAATAAAAGATAAATAAGGGGAAAGGAAATGAATAGAAATAGGATTTATAGTTAAGCAACGGGGATCTAAACGTAAAAAAAAGCTATTGGCGTGCTAAACAAAAGATTGTAGACAGGAACTATGCGATAATATTTTATTCAGTAGAATTGATTATGCCAAATGTTTTATCTATCGTATAGCAATCAAGACGATTCTAATATAAATCCACTTCATTTCCAATTTCACGAATGAATAATTCTAACTAGTCGACGCTAGAATTTAATACGGGATGACCAGAAAGAGAGTTAATAATTATTACTACTACTTTGATATCTATAGACATAAAGGGTCCAAAAATATAAGATACTTATATAGGGATGTATATAAAATAATTACTTTTTCTCTCCGGATTATTATACTATTATTATCAATAAGTTAATTAATTATACGGATAGAAATTCGCTTATTAGGCGGGACTATAACAAAGCTATCTAAATATCAGATAATACGTATAAAAGAGGAAATTTGTTCAGTGCTATATCCTTTAATGGCAACGCCATCTACAGTTTAACATATGAATTAATTATTCTAGAATAATCTAAAAAAAGGCTTTTTTCAAATTTATTACCAGCTCTAAATGAAATAAACTATGTTAATGCAATAAAAAGGCTATGAAAAATCGTATTTATGCGAAATGCATGCATATATATTTATATATATATTTATATATTTATATCGGTGTAGGTCTTCTCTCTTTCCTATTACTTTTTGTATTTTTCAATACCCCCTACCCTCCTCCCTCACTCCCCAATCCACCCACTCCCTTCCCCTATCTCTTATTCTTTGTTCCGATACATATATCTTTCCAATTAAAACAGATAAAGTTATAATGATCAATTATAAATATAGAAAAGACAAAGAAATAAGCTTAATTGTAATATACATAGTGTATATATATACATTAGTATATACACACACTACTGTATAATTTAATCCTTGTCTCTTTTACCAACATAAATCACGAAATTGTTTATATTTTCATTGTATATATACAGTATATACATTATACAAGCTTATTCCGCTCTTTCGTTCCTTTTTTTAGTACACTGACTGTCAAGAATTGCATGTAAAAAGACTAAATAAATAAATAAAAAGGCCTTTTTTCTTAGTTTAACATGCTTATAAAATGTAAAAATATAACTATTCTCATGCCATTTTTTTTAAGTTTTCATGAATATATATATATATATATATGGTATATATATTCTATATAAACCATATACCTGATCAATTATTGTCCATTCTCTGCCTACGAATGGCATTTTCTACTTGACGGTCAGAGACGAACTGCAATAACAGTCCACTCTCATCATGATTCGATCGATAGTCAAACAACAACTGTTTCCGAAAGACTATACTGTCCAGGCCTTGTTATCATAACAAGGACAACGAAGAATTATCAACTATTTAACAAACAATTAAACCAATCAAAAACACTATTAACTATACCTGTATAATTTCGTCATATACTTTATTAAATTTCGCTTTTTCAATTGGATCCATGTAAGGAATGTATGAATTATTATTCATTATGCTAAATATTTTGCTCTTTTTCTCTCAGTCTACTTATCTCGGCTACTATATATCAACAAATATTATAGCGGCGATATCTCGTACGTTAAAGGGTGATAAGAAAAAAATAATTACGCCTATTTGTTAGCAATTGGACTTTTATCCTACTTAATTTAGGCACAAAAAGAAAATAGCTGAATGTATAAATAAATAAATAAGTAAATAAATGATGAATGGTTTGATAAAGATAGATTGAAAGAATTAAGACAGTTAAAAGAATTAAAAGAGACGAAGATGTATATAGACAATATATAGAATAAATATATCGCTTAGGAAGAAAAAAAGAAAGAAAGAAATAGAGTCAGAGAGAGAGAGAGAGAAAAAAAGAATCTACAAACAAATGTGCTATTTTTTTTATACAATCAATGTTAAATGTTAAAATCAGCACTTAAGGCTTAAAACTGAAATTAGAGCCGATGTACAGTGTATATTTTAAGCTCGCCTTTAGAAACATTGGGAAACTTTAATAGATGCTAATTGAATTACGAAATCCTTGAAGGCAATAAACCCGATGGAAAGAAGTTGTTAATCGGTAGATGGCGTTCTTGTAGTAATAGTGACGCTTTTAATCGATACGAAACATCTATTAATTAAGCAAAAATACGCCAGACATGGCAGAAGGCTTATAACTATTGGAGAATAAATAATAGAAAAAGGACGAAAAACGAACGAACAAGAGACGAGAAAATGTCAACGGGTCGTGTAATGCAATTGGAACGTCGCCGATTCGTCATATAAACTAGGCTAAAAGTACATGAAATAGATAGATAGTCCATCCGAATTAACTAGACTATTTACCCCTATATCCGAAATCGATATCTATCAAACGTTTTCGATTATTAAGCGAGTATTTCCCGTTTGTAATCTTATTATTTTGTTAAGGCGCGAAAAAAAATCCAAGTAAAACTCCTATTCCTGGAATTTGGCGTCTCTCATTTACTATCAATAAAAACAAACATGATTTTCATGGAAATTTACTAAAACGGGTATAGTAAAAGTACGACCAAGAAATATAAAAAGATAACACGTGTGTCGTTTCGTTTTCAATTATTCGTCCCAGATGGCTATGTGGGGCTGCGGGTGCGATTCGTTGCGGTAACCGCATTGCAGTGCCGCAGATTGCGGACAGGGATGTTGCCACGCGCGAGAGAGATGATAAAAAAAATAGGTGACAGGTGATCAGCATCCGCTGTTGATGCGACAGCCGAGTTTAAATTACGTTTATGTAGGTTGTATTCAGATAATTCCTGTTCTCCCCTATCCCTCATCTTTTTAAATACAACTTTTAAATGGTTTTCAAATTAATAGTCATTGAAAAGAGTTTTTTTTTGTTTCTTTTTTTTTCAAATTTCACGTCTGTTAAAGTTTATATGTGATCATATTCTTACATCCTCTTTAACGGGTGACGAAAGCTAAACGACCTTGTTAAAAGACTTGTAAAAAATTTTATACCCTCGATCATTGGTCTTACCTTCAGAAGCCTATAGAGCGCACTCTTTTAGCTTGTCAAAAAAGAAAGTAAAAGATTTATTTTCGTATCATTGCTTAGAAGTTAACAGGATAAATGAAATGTAGAGAATATTGAGTGTATTTTTTTAGTTGTACCCAAAAAAAATGAATTCTTCTCTCTCTCTCTCTTAGTTTCTTTTAATGTATCCAAGTCTATAAATTTTCTCCCTTCTCTTCTCTCTATCTCTTTTTCTGTCCACCGTCTTTTCCCTCTCTCTCTCTCTCTCTATCTATTCTTTTAAAAAGAAGAGTGAAATTATTAATGAAATTTTAATAAGATATACTAGAATGTTTATAGGCCATTCTCCATTGTTATTTGAAAGAGTGCAGTAAAAAAAAGTACTTTCATCTGTAAATTATATTTATATTGATAAATTTGCACACCTAGTAGTCTCGGCCTTGCTTCAGTTATTTATCGATGTAAATTCGCTAAGGATCGGCAATCACTAAACCGATAAGTTTGGCATTGTTTACAAAATGGTTTGATATAGTAATTCATACTAGAAAGGCACAAAAAAAAGAAATCCCATCAACTAGACTTTTTGGCGGTAAAATTATGTTCCATTCGAATGATGCAAAATTTCACTTACATACCAACACTTTATTTCATTATACATATAAAAATACCGATTAGGCCTTTAGATTTTGCTGATACTACCTAGTTTTTAAGTAAAAAATTCGAAATAATAACAATATACTACCAAGAATATAAATGACATGTAAATTAAAATATTCCCAATAGAGACTGCCGAAATCCAGCATTGGCTATTTGTAAGAATTAATTTACAAGAATTTTTTCCCAAATAACTTTTAGTATATTATTTAAAAGCCTTTTGATTAGGACACCCTGTAATTGTTAAAGATAATTTTGCTAACTTATTTGATGGGAAAACACGAGTCTACATCAAATAGGCCTATCAAATATACGCCTGCACTTTTTCCGCAATGCGTTACCGCAATGGCGAATTTTTCAGCCAATCAGCGAGCTTTCGTTTAAAATCGAACCGCCACGTCGCGCCAGTACCAATTTTTTAAATAATATAGTTCCACACTTTTCTTTATATAATTCTTTTAAAAATAGATATTTTTCACCATTATCAAAAGGTATAGGTAGAAAAGTTATTTTTACATATTAAGTAACCTCTGTATAAGCAGTATTGGCTGTAACGTTGAATTTGATACCGATGCGTATGAATATATGTCCTTAGCCGGACCGAAAGCCGCACTTTCCGGACTACTTGCCAAGGCCCCGCGCATACTCGCATTAGACGTGCTCATCTCGTGTTCTCCGCATAAACCTTCGCATATTCCAAAAAATGGTAAGTTCTTAACTTAGTAAGAGATGTTGAAACACTTTGAAAAATTTTGGAGTATGAGACACAGCCGGTATCGCTCATAGGTCTAACGACCAAGGAGTGTTGAATATTGTATTCCGATACCAATGTACTATACTGTCAAAAGCGAAAATTATGTTTCAATTAAGTACGTAAAATATTGAAAAGCTGCGAAAAGTAGCCGCGCCTAGAATGATAAATTGATTTTAGGTATTAAGAAAGTCAATACCTGAATAAATTGAAGCGAGAATAAATTTTTAAACGAGAGTATGAATACTCTTCTCATGACGTCATAGTGTACATAATAGAATTCTTATTCAGTCTCTTTTTCTCAAAACAGGCCGATCAACTCACCGAAGAACAAATTGCCGGTAAGCGAATCGATGTAGTATCCGTGGTGACTGCATAATGTATAAAATATTCTATTTGCAGAATTCAAAGAGGCTTTCTCCCTCTTCGATAAGGATGGTGATGGAACGATCACGACGAAGGAATTGGGAACGGTTATGAGATCTCTCGGACAAAATCCGACTGAAGCCGAACTGCAGGATATGATAAACGAAGTTGATGCTGATGGAAACGGCACTATCGACTTCCCTGAATTCCTGACTATGATGGCCAGAAAGATGAAAGATACTGATAGTGAGGAAGAAATCCGAGAGGCTTTCAGGGTCTTCGATAAGGATGGCAATGGCTTCATCTCAGCTGCCGAATTACGTCATGTTATGACCAACTTGGGTGAGAAGCTAACCGACGAGGAGGTAGATGAAATGATCCGTGAGGCAGATATTGACGGTGATGGTCAAGTAAACTATGAAGGTTTGTCTTTTTATAACATTATGTTTCTTTTATATTTTTTTTCAAAAAATTTACAACAAAATTTCAAAAACGCACTTTTTTTATAATATTTATATCGTAAAAACAAGATTATTCACACAGTTGTGAAAATTTTTGTTACTTTTTTATTTTAAAAAGGAGGCTTTACATGTCGAAATTTTTTTACCATGTATATTTTTTGTGAATTTCAGAATTTGTAAATATGATGATGTCGAAATAAGCTGAAGAGGACAATATTGAAATAAGCCATTCCTATTTTCAAATGTTAGTAAGACTTGCTGAGCACAAATTTTGCACGTGCCTGCTAAACAATTAAATGATGTTCCTCACTTTCAACAAATGACGACGGTGTTAGAATAGTTGATCTATTGATATTAAAACGCTTAAACTCTCCGTTTCTCATTACTAACTAACATGTTTTCTGTTCTATCCTCTTTTTATCGGTCATGTTTTTAAGAACCGGTACAGGTGTGTAAGAATACCACTAACGCCATCTTTTTTCTGTTTCAGAATTCGTAACGATGATGACGTCCAAGTAAGCGGGGCGCTGCACTCTCATTCTTTGTAGATCTGTCTCCTGCATTGCGGAAGAAAAGCGTTTTATTTTTAACGTACAATGTCTGCAACGTATGGAGTCGTTCGTCGGAGCTACAGCGTCCTTATTCGTTGGATCTACGACGAAGCTTTCGCGCCATTATATAATAGTTCTATTTCTTTTTTGTAAGAAAAACGTTAAACTAATCATTGCTCCGCTTTTCTTTCATGTATGAATTATAATCTATATCTTTGTCTGTAAAATATCACATACTTTCCAACAAGATTTTCATGTTGATTGTTCAAAAAAAAAAAAAATATGGCTTATAACACACTTCAGTAGTAGGATTTGAGTTTTGCGACAGTAGAAAATAGAATCTAATTAACCTACTTAGGCGTCGGTCGAGAGAAATTGCGCAACTAATCGAATCGGGAAAAATCGAAAATTTTAGCGCGCGTTTCGACAGTGCTGCCACCCAATGGCGGAATAATGGCGTCATCGGCGGCTGCGTGCTTTCTATGCCGGTCGGTTAAAGGCGATTTTTTGGCTACAATTACTTCATGTTACGCCCTGAAAAATTGTCAAACGCTGTCGTAAATTGTTGGCGAAGGTAATCGTATAAAGTTTGTCGTCGAAAGAGGTAAGATCTCTTAGAAAACTCGAATTTTTCTTCTAAAGATTATTCTTGCCGCCCTGCATGCATAATCAATGAGCCGCCGCCATATATATGCTTGAAACCGAGTCGGCTTTTTAGGCCTGCGACAGGGTATAACTTTAAATCTTTCTTACGAAAAATGTTCGATATGAACGATATATTCAAAAGTGGTACAAGTTTTTTAATATAAAGATACCCAAGAACAAATGTGAATGGGTTGTAACGAATATGCAGATGAGCTTGCCGCAATGGCGCAGATGCAAGCGGTGAATCATCTAGAGGATTTCACCTGCTGGAGTAGATAGGTCTAGACTTGGACTAGTCAGTGGTTGCATTTTTTCTGTGTTATTCACAATGAATGTTGTTATTTTTGTTTTTAGTTGTAAATCTGAATATTATAATGTTTCAGAAACTAATTATTGAAAAATAAAGCAGGTGACTAAACAAAGAAAACGGCTGCGATAGGGGGCGCTTGTGTGTTCTTTGTCCTTCCTCGAACTTCACTACATAAAGCGGACTGCGTCTGACCCGGCCGTATTACACGCCAAGTCGGTGGTTCGGTGGGGCTGTTTGAGCCGGCAGAATCCGTTAAGAGGTATTCTGCAGGTACACATCAGCCCCATTTAGCCATCGTTTTTCATCGTCTATATCTACAACAACTACTACAATATCTACTACGATTGGAGCTGCTGTTATCTGAACATTTTTTGAATTTGTTTCGACGCTGACCTATTTTTCACACGCACCTTACGTAATTTTTACTTCTCTCTCTTCTCTCTTTCTCTCTCTCTCTGTCTTCGCAATTTTTTCAGTGAATCGGTTAATTTCAGCAGTAGAATTTTAGCATTATTTATCTTCTCTACTGATTTTTCGAAACCTAAAAATCGCCAGATTTCTCGTAAGCGTGATCATTGAACAAAGGGGCGACTCATGTGCAGGCACATACACACAAAGAAAAGTTGGGCTGTCTGCATGTATGAATCTGCTCCTCTATTCTTTGTTCGGCATCTTCTGCATGCTATTTAGTTTTTGCATGCATTTTTTTTTCCCTCCCTGTTCTCGTTTTAACATACAATGCTACATTCTTTTTCTCTGAACGAAATCTTGAAATAATACAGTTTAAAAATAATTTAAAATCACTCGTTTTGAACAAAGAAGCGTGACCGACGCCAGCAAGTTGTATTAAACCGCTAGAGGGCGTGTTCCGATGCCCGCCGTTTTACCTCTTGTTCTTAAAAAGTTCATATCCTTTTTTTTTCCAATTATAACACAAGAAATTAGTAAGAATGACTAAAATTTCAGTCATTTATCATAACACAATAATATCCGTATAAGTATGATTAAACATGAATAATGAGGGGATGAACAAGTTTAATAATATAGAAATAAAGGGAAAAAATGCGTGGCCGAATGTAGACGTTAATTTTTCGCTGTGCATACCCGACTAACCCTGAAGTAACCCCTTGTTGTATATAGGTGAAGTATTTCGCGAACTGCCATTTTTGCTCTCGATCGCGAAATCTTGAATGTTACAAAAGAATAAATAAAGGCATAGTTTTAATAATGTAACAAGCGTAAAATATTAATATACGATGAGACTGCTCCCCCTATTATATTGATTAAAGAAACAAAAGATAGTGTTAAATCGACTCGTTTGGTCAATGTGCATATGCCATTTCAGTTAGAGAAGACTACTACTAAAATGGTAAATATACACAATTCGCGAAATTTCTTGTTTTTGCACCGAATAAGGAAAGTGACTGGCGTCTTCTTTGTCTTCAGACAGAAACCGCAAAATCGCAGCTGTCCGATGAGCAACTTTCCGGTTAGAACAAAGAGCTTGAATTAGTTTTTGAAAGGACATTTTACCCATTGTTTGTAGAATTTCAAGAGGCTTTCGCGCTTTTCGACAAAGATGGCGACGGAGTAATTACAACGAAAGAACTAGGAACGGTAATGAGGTCACTAGGGCAGAATCCTTCTGATACAGAATTACAAGACATGATTAATGAAGTTGATGTCGATGGTTTGTTAGAGAAAATTTTTCCATCTCTATTTTTATTTCTACATCAATAAAGTCGTTAAACGAAAATGTATATTTTCTTTGGTCTAGGAAATGGAACTATCGACTTTAACGAATTCCTAAGTATGATGGCGAAGCAAACTTCGGATAAAAACGATGGTGAACACGAAATGGAAGAAGCTTTCAAAGCCTTTGACAAAGACGGTGATGGATTCATTTCGGCTGCCGAATTACGACAAGTGATGCTGAGTATAGGTGAAAAGTTAACGGATGCCGAAGTTGGTGAAATGATTCGAGAGGCCGATAGAGATGGTGACGGCCTAATAAGCTACTCTGGTAAGGATGTCAGTATATATAAAGTATAAATAAAGTTTTTTATAGTATATACTACAGATAAGCATCATTATGTATGTTACTATATACAAGCATACTGCATTTATAGTTTGCAAATTGATATATATATATATATATATATATATAAAGTCTTTAGCAAACAACAACAAAAATTAATACGTCCTTATTTCTTTCTTTCTTTTCTTTCTACAGAGTTCGTCGTTATGATGTGTTCAAAATAACGATCGATAAAGTATACCCACCCGTCACCAGATGGCGAAAAGCACTCAATTTATATTTCTTTATTTTCTCAATGTTTGCATTTGAATTTGAAAGAGAAAATTGAATAGGACAATTGTTTGGCACATTCCTGTTAATTATGAATATTTATTTGTTTCATGAACAATAACATGCTTTAATATTTTCATTCCGTCCGTAAAATATAACAACATTTCATAAACAAATACCTATCCTCTCTTAATTAATGCCTTTCTCAAATGGTTTTACTATTTGGTTATTCATAACTTGATGCTTTATTTTAAATAGGTTTGAAAAGATAGACGAGTTTGCAATATTAATAGACGCCGCAGAATTACCATTTGACAATCTACCCACGCGTATACAACGAAATTCAGCCGCATTGCAAACATTCTGTACACACAACTAAGGAATAGATAAAAACTCATGAATTATTATACATAGATTGTGGATCATTTCTACAAAATTTAACGTTGGTGGTACATTTGTGAATATGAATTTTCTATTCTTTTTAACACCGTTTCAATGTGATCCATTCAATCAGCCTACATTCTTATTGTAGTTACAATGTCAAATAACAATAAAACTGCCCGTATTTTCAAGACGTCCTATTTTGAATGGAAAAACGGCATCGCATACAGAATGAACTCCCGACGTCTATACGTAATAGCATATATTGCTACTTCTCTGGCCCACTCTTTCTTTGAGCCTCTCTTATATCTTTATTATTTCTTTCTCTCCCTCTGCACTCCTTATTTCTTTCTTTATCCATAATCTCTCTCTCTCTTTCTTTCTTTTCAAAAAAATCTACTAACAATGCGTAAACAGCGTTAGACAGACTCGTATTTTTTACTGTTTTATGGTCCTACAAGCTCTCTTTATAAAGTAAACAATTGAGAAGCAATATCTTATCATTAATTTAGCATCAAATTTGCAACGGTTTACCGTTTTACAGCAAAGGGTGATCGAGGTACGTCAACTTACATTTTCTCTTTGTGTAGAAGGGAAAGTAAAGTATTACGTAAGAATAAAAATCGGGGCAATCTCTCAGAAACTCTCTTTAGCGTACAAGTCTCAATGATTAAAGAATGAAACTGTAACTTTGATAAGAGTTATCAATTCTAATTTTGTTTTTGATCTTTTTATTATTGTTATTGTTTTTTTAAAAAAAAAACAAGGAAAGAACATTAATTTCAATCTTTTTTTGGAAGTGAAATATATGGAAACAAAAGAAAAATTCTTATGTACTCGCTACGAGAGAGTAGGACGTGTTCAAAATACCGATCAATATTTTCTTGTCGCCACCAGATGGCAGGATTGAACGTAACAATACTATAATTTATTTTAGTTTCTACGTTTCAAACCCGTCTTGGCTTGCCCTTGTAAAAGCCAGTTGGTTAAGAATTTGACCATGTGTTCACGATATTAAAAAACGTTCATATTTCTTATCAAAAAAATAAGTTAAAACTTGAATGGGTAAAAGAAATTTTATATTTCCTCTTCATGGTCTCTCTCTTTCTCTGGCTTATTTGCATATGAAATAAGATCATATTTATTGATCTATTCGAGGGTTCAAGATAATAGAAAGTGATTATTGGATCTAATTAATTAATAGTATATAGTTGGTAATAAGATGAAATCGTCAAGACGATTGTTAAAAAGATTCTTTGTTCTCGGAATATTGTCTTTGTGTTTATATTATATTGTTAGAGGAGGAAATGCCCTTTTTAAAGGTACATTTTAAAATACATATTTCATGAATAACCCCAACAAGTACTATCCTTTTTTTCTTCAACTCTTTTTTTAGAGAAATCCCCTTCAGTCTGCGCAATAGAGGCTTGGTCGTCGAGGTTGGTCTCTAATAGTTTTTTATTGATATGGATGTCGCCAAGCCAAACCCTTAATCTATTGAATCGTATTGATTCGAAAAAAGACCTAACAGTTTTAACCTCCTTTAAAAACCTAAGAAGTGCGGCGGATGTGAAAGAGATATCGAGTTTATACATTGCTCCAAAAGCTTGTAATTCTACTCGATTCAATAGTTTATTTATTGAACGATCAGTTGACGATGTTCATTTGCTAATTGACGAATCGGCAAGTGAAACGGGTTTATTCAATTGTTTTATATCAATATTAGAGGCCGTATCGAAGTTTCATCGTAAATTAAATATATTGCTATATTTTCCTAGGGACGTTTTTGATAATAGTATCTGTAAATTTGTGTTTAAATATGATAAAATAGATCATATACACTTCAAATCCATAGAATTGTATGCAAATACCTATACCAATCTGTATGATCTTAACATTAAATATGGAATAATTGATTGACATTGTATTATTATTATTATTTTTTAAAAGTTTTGTTTCTTTTGAGTGTACGTGCTCATATACATCAATAAACAACAATACATTAATCCGAGTAAACATGGCAAAATGAAAAGAAAAAAAAAACAAAATTGCGATAAAAACTGCCTAGACCAGTACTACTAGTCTAGGACTATAGTATCACCGCGCTTTAGGCGCTTATTCGCCCGTTGTTGTACTGGCTGTTCGATGACAACGATTTCGTCATTGTCCTCTTCCTCTTCGAACTTGCGCTTCTGAGCCGAGATGGGTGGCGTAAGCGTCCGACTCAGTGATGCAATTTGAGACTCTTTAAAGCTGAACACAGAGGGTTGGCTGGTTGGTGTAAAACCTAGACTGGCCAACGAGGAAGAAGTGGATGAAGAGGAAGAAGACTTTACGGATGCGGCTGTTGTGCCATTGGACGATGACGATTGAGAACTGAGTGAACTATCGGTAGATGAGCTCTTTTTGGCTGCTCTTCTTTGAGCCAGTCTCGCAAAGGTGACGTCTTGTAAACGGAAGCCTGCTTCGTGAGCACGATGGAAAGCATCCATAGTGGCTGTAATTTGGGTCCTTACAGTTTCTATTTTATCACCATTTACCAACACATTTGGCGTAGAAAGCGGTTTGGGTCGGTTTGATGTGGATCGACTATTGATCCACTTATTTTTTCGTAAGTCTTCCATTGTTAAACGATGCTTGGGATTGACAGTGAGAAGCCCTTGAATTAGGTGCTTCGCTGCTCTGGAGACTTTACTCCATTCAGCTCCTCGAATTGAAAATTCACCACCGGTTATCTTTTCCATAATTAAGGAAGCACTATTATCCCGAGATCTTGATTGAAAAGGTGCTCTGCCAGAGAGCATAGTATATAGAATAACACCTAAACTCCATAAATCACATGATTCGTCGTAAGCACCGCTCTTTTCAGTTGCTCTTTTCAGAACCTCTGGAGCAGCATAATGTAATGTAAAACAGGGTGTGGTCATACCACCGTTTTGGGGTTTAACTCGAGCGAAACCGAAATCGACGATTTTTACTTCGGCATCTTCTCGGTCGCTTTCGTACAGAAGATTTTCAGGTTTTAAATCTCGGTGGACAACACCTCGTTCGTGAATATATTGAACGGCGGAAATAAGTTTACGCATAATATCTGAAGCCTCTTGTTCTGTGAAAGACTTTCTCTTTCGAATACGATGCAGAAGTTCACCTCCACGAAGAAACTCTAGTACAATATACGTGTGTAGTTGATCGTGGTAAACTTCAATCAATTTAACTATATTCGGATGGCCTTGGCATAGTTTTAATAATTCCACCTCCCTGGATGTATCGAATCGTTTTGAAACGATTTTTACGGCATACTCTCTACCCGTTTGCTTATTTTTGCATTTTCGGCATACACTGTATGTTCCATCTCCGAGGATTTCTTCTGATAGATTAATATCGTACTTTTGGAAAAAAATCGAATTTCCAAATCGATTAGCTAAGCAGATGTTCTTGTCATTAGGCCTGCGTTCTGCTGAAGCAGGCATCAAGAGATCAGACATGGCATGATTTTCACTGAAAAGGACAGATGGCGCAACGTATGAGTAACCCTTAAATACTCTATCAGTATCGACTGGGGCAATATCAGGAGAATAAGCTGCAGGTTGACTGGTAAATTCTTCGCTAAAATTGCTTGTATCCGTTTCTCCAACAATTTTTGGCTTAAACGGAGCTGGGATTCGTTTAGCAGCTAAATCTTCCCAATTTAAACCTTTAAAGAAGTAATGGTTTTTGAGGTCCTGGAAATTTTTGGCTCCTAAACGTTTTGGGGGGTCGACGACTAGAAGTGATTGGATAAAGTTCTTGGCTCCTTCCGTGAAATAAGGAGAGTTCATCGGGGGTCTTGCGTTTAGAATACGTTTTGAAATATCGCTTTGTTGATTTCTCTCTCCTTCTACTGTAAAAGGAGAGGCTCCTGTTAACAATTCATACGTCAAAACTCCAAGCGACCACCAGTCTACAGCCTGTTATAAAAAATGTTTGTTATAAATAAGACGCGATCTAATGTTTCATCTTTACTCACATAACCGTGACCATGCCCTCCTTTAACAACTTCCGGCGCCATGTATTCAATAGTGCCACAAAATGAGTAGGCTTTCTGATCTTTTTCATGAGGTAGAAACTCTTTGCTTAAACCAAAGTCTGTAAGAACTATATGTCCTTCAGAATCCAGCAGGATATTTTCTAATTTTATGTCGCGATAAATAATGCCTAACTGTTAAAAGAAAGTAAATATAAATCGTATGAAAGTTCGACACGTGTATAGATAAGAAGTGTCATAGTGACGTCTTTGAATTTTCAACAAACCTTATGTAAAGTATGCAGAGCTAAAGCTATCTCGGCTATATAAATTCTCACTTGCTTCTCCGTGAATTTTTCACGTTGATAAAGATGCGTGAACAATTCTCCTCCATTTACATAATCTATACAAAAGTTAATAATGAAATTATTATGCAAAAATATATGAATAATAAATAATAATCAATTCGAATAGGTTATTTATATGCATTAAAATATACTTTAAATACATATATACAAATACGTAAACATTACATATAGTATAATTAATATTGATGAGTGTACCTGTGGTGTATATATGTATATATATACAGATATATAAATTGCTGTGTATATACCCAATTATAGATATAATGCCAAGATGAAATGAAAAATACCTACCTAGTATTAAATGTAGTTTTGTATCCGTTTGAAAAGCGTAGTGCAAGGTAACTAAAAAAGGACTCTGTCGAATTGCTTCTAATACTTGGCGTTCTGTTTTTGTATGTTCAGTCGTCTTTGTCTTGGCTACAATTACTGCCTTCTTTAGTACTTTCATTGCGTACAATTTTCCATTATCTGGTCCTCCTACTTTTCGTACAAGGAAGACTTTTCCATAAGCTGTAGTTTATAATTTTATGAATAATTGTTATCAATATGTTTTATAGCAGTGGGTGTATGACCACATAGCGATAGCATCCCACGCGGTTATGCCTCTTCGAAGGCCTACAAATGGGAGGAGAAGTGTTTATTCTCCGCAAAATCGATATAATCGAGTAAAGTAAGGAAGGCCATTGTACAGGCGAAGGTCACGAACTCGAAGAGGAGCACGTGTGTTGGTTATCTATGATATATTATAATAGAGAATTAAATTGTGTTTTGCTTACCTCCTGTACCAAGTACTTTGAGTAATTCGAAATCACTAAGATCCACCTTGTCTTTGCCTTGGAGATTTACTGGAAAAGAAGCATGTTTATGAGAGCATATATCACTTTCGGACGGAATACAGGCTTCAATAGATGTTGCATTATCTTCTTTACTATCCGATCTCATGTTATACAATAACAAAACCTGTTCGATTACGCCAGTGTTCTCCTACGCCGACTGGCAAGTATGTCTCAAAAAAACTATATGACATAAAAAGTCCAACGAATGGGCAACTCGTTTATACGCAACACTGATTGCCTATTGGCTCATTCATTGCTCATAAATATGCATATAATGAGATTCACTGTTGCTATCTTTATTAATTTTAGCTCTTTTTCTATATTTTTCTACATTTTATTAAGGAAATATCATCGTAAATCGAAAGTTTTAAGGAAGTTAAAAACTCGATGGCACTTTATTTAATAATTTACAATCGATCAATCAGGGTCAATAATTGGCCGTTTCCAAAAGCTACACTTTTGAACTAAACAAATTACCGAATTGCATAGCGATTATCCTTAATCCTGCCTACAGAATTATTAAAAGTAAATTTTACTATAAGAATTTATAAAAGATAGGCATCATTCTGTGATTATTGAACTCGTGAGTAACAGATGACTAGACGACTGAACAAAGCCTGTCCAAAATCGGTTTGACGAACATTTCTGTCATCTTTCAAAAGCATTACGTAATTTTGTAGAGATTAGCGAATTATTTGTGTTTTGTTTTTTTTGAGCTGATCGTTAATTTAAAATTGTCAAATAGGAACAAGTGAGAGAGAGAGAGAGAGAGAGAGAGAGTATTAGATGGCAGCAACAAATATTCTAGTCTGAATTCAAGTTAAATAGAGCGAATGGCGCCGGACATCGAAAAATCGTATGAAATACAAATAAATACATTATAACACGTGACGCTTAGCAGTCAAATTCAGCGTTCTAAATAGAAAAAAATTAGACTATGTCCTCTAAGGAGTTCACTTCCAATCACAACGATATATTATATATACTGTATAAAGTAAAGCATTTGCTAACAAGGTACTTTTGTTTTTATACCTTTGCTTTTGTGAATCTCAGGCATTTTCTATAGGTGTTTCTCCAACTTTAACTCAGGTCCCTAGATAGGTTGCATTCTATAAATTAGCTGCATCTCGACCATCTCTTCCTTGTATTTAGATACAATGAAAATAAAAAACCGGGATTATCGACTATTGAGAACGAGTTTATCGCCAGGTGGCGTATATATCGAAGAAGACGCAGGGGCTAGCGAGGTTCCAACATTGCTTTCATACAAGGGAGCTGAATAACTAGAACAGGGAACCGAACTGTTCGTTTTTTCGGAAGCAGGTGCATTTAAAAATGCGTGACCCGTTTCCGTAAAGTATTAACTAAGCCCGGATGGATGCAAAAATTAACGGTCCCCATTTTCCCGTTGTGTAACAAGGCCAAGTAATAAAGACGGCGGAAGCAATAAACAAAAATTATTGATTATTTTTTTTCTTAGTACCTCATTCTCTCGTTCTTTCGCTCTCTACTATATTTCCTTCATCTCTAATTAGTTATTTTCAGACAAAATGTAAACATATTTATTTTGGTGCGTAATAAAAGCGAAATACGAAAGTGAGCTTTAGAATATTCCAAACAAAGTTCGATTCTGATGTAGGTATACCACGATTGTTTGTGAATAATAAATAGTAGCAATGCCTATCAGTTGTTTACGACGATGTCGTTTTAATTTTAAGTCAGATATTAATAATAATGAGAAAGGTGAATGAACTATCAAAAAAAATGAAGGAAACTAAAACTAATCGTTAATTAGAGCCTATTTACAATATAATCGTTCCGATTTTCTACCAGACATTCTAAAAAAGTTGAATGTACTTTAAACAGTTATCACCATCTAAGATAGATGGCGTTAAGGTGATGGGGAAGCAACCCTCAAATCGATCCAAAGGAGAATTCAATTGTTAAAGATTCATTAAATACAAATCTGTCAAACGCTATATGATGCTATTAAACTATTATACAATTTACGTAATATTTCCTTCTATCAAGAATTCATGCAAGACCCTGTCAATCGATTGTTCTAGGCCAACACCTTAAAAACTCGTCCTACGCACAGTAGAAAGAAAAGCAACGATCGTCATACCATTTTGCAGCTCGAGTCTTTGCAATTTATATTCGTCGGTGTCTTCTTTTGAACCACTTGCCATTAGGGAAAAGTTTCGCTAATACAAGATAACCGTAGCAGAGATGAAACAGCCTTGTTCACCTATCCCATAAGCCTTACCGCCGGAAATTGCTTTCTGCTTCGGACATGTGTAAATCGGCTTGCATAGCAACCATGCGCGTTGACATAAATCAAAGAAAATTTTAGAGCATTAGGTGCAAAGATCAAACGATTAATTTATTTAGATTTCTTTATTAAACAGCCAATGTACATATGGTTATTGACCTATGGTTATCTTATAAGCGAGTATTGTTAGCCTGAAACTGAAAGTAACATATCAGTTTTGCAAATCATGTCTTCGAGAGCTGAAATATTCTGATATGCTACCAGTTGTAATTGTATCCTAAATTTTTAGGATTACCAACTGTAAGATCAAGGATTTATACTCTTAAAATGGTGTATGTTTGCAATGGGATCTAGTTTAATAGCGGCTATCCGATAAAATGTTACTCGTTCAACAGATGGCGCGTATGCAATTACACATTCAATTATCAGCTCATCAAATTGTATTGTTAGTATCAGTAAACGAAGGATTTACTTCTTCTTACCAGCCTTTTCATCGGGCTTATTGAAAACGTAAGTCAGACAGCACTTGCCGCAGTACTGTCTGTCGAAGTGGGATGCCATGAAGGTACCGGCACCACAATCTTCGTTCGGGCATTCTCTTCGGAGGCGGGTAATTTTACCGCTTTCATCAACCTATTATGTAAAATAGAATGTTTGTTAGTTGGTTCTTATATTTTAAAATTATTTAAGAGTAAAGCAGACCTTGTAGCATTTTAAGACAGCCAATTTAACCTTCTTCTTCTTATGCTTGTTCTTCTTGGGAGTGGTGTAATTCTTCTTCTTACGTTTCTTGGCACCACCTCGTAGACGAAGAACCAAGTGAAGGGTTGATTCCTTTTGGATGTTGTAGTCACTCAAGGTTCTACCATCTTCCAATTGTTTTCCAGCAAAAATCAAACGTTGTTGATCTGGAGGAATTCCCTCTTTATCTTGAATTTTAGATTTAACATTTTCAATTGTATCGCTAGGTTCCACCTCAAGGGTGATAGTTTTGCCCGTGAGAGTCTTAACGAAGATTTGCATGGCTTCTTCTGTAACACGTGATATATACAAAAAGTTAGCATTTTATACGTAATTTTTCGAATATTTTATATCAAATTTTAGCTTAATATGTTCTTAAAAATATGGATAATGCTTTTATTGGAAAATTTTTAGTTCAATGTCAGGATTTATATTTAAAAAATGAAATTTTTAATCAACCTGCTAAAATCAGAGAACAGCAAACCGGAAAAGGAAGTAGGCTCGTTCTGTCCGGAAAATATGTATTAATTTTCCGAATCGTACAAAATATTTACTTTCAAAAAATACCAGGCATCAGTAAAAAAAAAGTACTGATATTGAATCACCAACAAAAAGATTTTTTGTTTGTTTATGACGACAATAATAGCGTTGTCAACATAATATTTACAACGTTACATTACAAAAGAAATTGAATAAAATTATTGTGACTATTTTATTCAATTACTTAATATAATTATGTTGATAAAGAAAGCTAATTGTAAGCATAATTAACTGTCCACTAACAAATATATTTGTAATAAGATAAATACAGAAAGACAATACAAATATGTATATGTATATTTATAAATGAAATGTTAAATTATTTAGCTTATTTTAGTGTTTTTTTTGTTGCAGTAGATGCTTCTGTGAAAAAAATTCTGCACACTAGTTAGCAAGACCCCTTTCAAGAGTCTGTTTACAAGTTGTTCTATTTATAAAATATTACGAAACAAACACGGACAGCGCAACATAAAAAGAAGTATTTGATGGGCGTATAATAATAGAGATCACATCGTCAAAACAACAAGATGTCTGACTTTCCAGAGGTCGATTCTCATTTCCGTTAGTAATTATAAGAAATTATAAAAATTTTTTGACTAAAAAAGTTTCCAATTCAACGCAGATGTATGGAGTGTGTCAGAATTCGAGTATGATTTCCTAAAGGTGGAAGAATGCAAAATCTTATATCGCAATATATCAGTGGAGGAGTATGATGATAATAGAAGGAAAACACCTATTAAATATAGCATTTTTGTACAATGCCTAAATAAGTGCATAGCAGAGACAGGTTAATCCAATATGTCAATTTTTTTTTTTATAAGTCAATAACTACATTTATAATTAATTTTCTAAAACAGAGATTATTATAAAGGAAGCTGAAAGACATACTTTTATCAAAGGTGTAGTTGCTGGCTTAGATATAACTAATGGGAATGTATGTACTAATCTTTCATAATAATTAAAAAATGTTTTCCTAATATTAAAATACTATCATCTGTTTAGTTGCGTCAGGAGATTGAGAGATTAAGATCACAGTCTAAACTATTAGTTGGTATAAGACACATCTTAGATGACGAGGAAGAGTCATGGTTAACTCGTGAGGATGTTCATTGTGGTTTAAAGATACTAGAAGAAGAGAATTTAACTTTTGATCTCTTACTAAGGTTTTTTCTTAAATGATTAAATGCAATTGAATTTAATTGTTTGTTGGTTGTTTTTTTTTTATTATCTCAGACCAAACTTAATTAAGTATGCACAAGAACTTCCAAAAAAATTCCCAAAGTAAGTAAAAATATTACTTTTCCCTCTCTTCATTCTCTTAGCTCGCTCTCTTTAATCTATGAATTATATTCTTAGATTGAAAATGGTTGTTGATCATATGGCAAAGCCAAATATTAAAGATAAAGAAATTGAAGAATGGAAATCCGACATAGAAAAAATAGGAAAATATTCTAATGTTTATTGTAAAATGTATGTATAAAATCATAAAGGGAGACATTATTAATGATCATTTTAATATTTTACATTATATAGTTCTGGTCTTGTTACTGAAGCCGATTGGGATAATTGGAAAGAAAGCGATTTTGAACCGTATATTAAACATATCTTGGACACTTTTGGTCTGGAACGTTGTATGTTCGGATCAGATTGGCCAGTATGCCGTTTAGCTAAAGCGGATTATAAGGATGTGTATAATCTGTATAAGAACATTTTACGAAAATATTTAAATGATAGTGAAGTGACCTTGATCATGGGACGAAATGCTATTCAATTTTATGGACTCTCTCTATAATTTATTATGCAATTTGGAATTTATATATGAAATAAAGAAATAGCAGAGTATATATTTCGAAGATATAACAATTGTTCAACAAAGTATTCATATAAATTAAAACCGGAATTAAAAGCTATTTACTTAACAGTAGATCTCCTGTAATCGGGGATGATTACTCATAAACCTGCTAAATTATTTACTACTTAAAGTGAATAACCCTTATTTAGGTTCACTCGTCGTTCCTTAATATAGTTATTTTTATTTAGACTTCGTATTCATTCGTTCCTTTCATTTTCTTATTTTGGAGTGGTTTCATTTCCGTTGACCTGTTTTTATATGAAAGGAATTTGAATAAAGTTGACGCTTTATCGACCAGATAAATTATAGTTTATACTTAAACTTACGCCGGTGACGACAAGCTCGTATCGGTAGCTTTATATCCCACTATTATTAATATAATACTGAGCACGAGAAACAGTAAAACAGGCGCACCAATTATAATAACCAATGGAATGATTATTAGCTTTTGCCTGTTCGTTAAGCCACTGGATTTTCTATTTATAATTTTACTTATAGTTGATAAAATTGTTGGCTCTATTGTAATAGCTAGAAGAGAGGTTCTTGCTGGTAATCTAGTGGTGGTTTCCTGCTGAGTCGTAGTTGTTTGTCTATCTTTAATGATCCATTGTCCGTCAACCATAACATAACGAATACCATCTATAAGTTTTTCTTTTGAAACAATTACCCATTCGCCATTTATAAGTTCATATATGTAATATATTCCATTTATTAGTTCCTCCTTGGTCATAGCTATCCATTTTCCATCAACTAATATATATCTTTTTCCATTCATAACCTTTTCGGTTGCTACCAATACCCATTTTCCGTTGATATATTTATACTTATAATAAATTCCATCTTTATACGTTTCCTTAAGCGTTGGAACCCATTTTCCATTAACGTATTCGTAGCGAATTTCTGTCCCATCTATCCGTTCCACTTTGCTTTTTGGAACAAGTTTACCATCTATGACTTCATACTCGTAATCAGCGGTGCTATCAGCTTTCCCTGGAGTCGTTTCTACAAATTTTCCATCTATCAGTTCAAAGCGCCTTCGTTTCCCATTTACAAAAGTTTCCATAACAACTAGTATCCATTTTCCATTTATATATGCATATTGATAAAAGTTTCCATCTATCCATTTTTTCATGATTGACTTAATCCATTCATTATTTACTAGTTTATATATATAAAGACTCCCATTTATCCACACTTCTTTTATGTACGTACCATTGACAAGGATGACACTGAATGGTGAAGTAGCATCTATACTTGTAGTTAAAGATTCTGTTGTCGGCTTATTTGTAGTTGAACTTTGTTTAGGTGTAGTTACTAATATATTCTTATTAGTACCAGTAAGGGACTCTGCTAATGATGACGTTTGTATGGGTGACATGGATGACGTAAATTTTTTAGTTGTTGTAGTTGAAGATTGAAGTTTGGTTATAGGGGGATTTGTTACCGTAGTTTTATCAAATGTTATACCCTGAGTGGAAGGTCGGTTTGTTGTGGGATAGTTCTAAGAGGTAAAGTAGTTTTTATTTAAACGAATTATTTTTAATGGAAATACCTTTACAAGTTTCGTCGATGTTACGAAAGTGGTAATCCTGATAGTAGTTGTTATATCGTTGGCAGTTGTTTCAGGCTTAACAGAAGTTATTCGATTTCCATTTGGCAAAATAGGAACCCATTTACCATCAATAACGCGTCCAACTACATAAGTTCCGTTTATCCATATTCCTATATAAATTGTACCGTTGATAATACTAATGTTAAATCCATTCGTCAGGTTAACATTTGGTAAATTAATTTTACTTCCATTTAAAAAGATACCGCCATTTGTAACGTCTATACTGTTGTTGTGATTAGCAGCGTTTGAGGGTTCAGTAGATAGATTTTTATCATCAGTAGTAGTCGAATCGAACCCCATTGGAGTAGTGGAAGGAAACGTTGGCAATGATTTTGTTGTAAGCGGCTTTGTGGTTATTTCTTGGGCTACTTGAGTTGTAATTTCATTTGGAGAATCAATACGAATCCATTTGCCATTTACAATCTTTCCAATATAATAAGTCCCATTTATCCATATTCCCAAGAAAACTGTCCCATTAATTTCGGTTCTATTGCCAATCGTAAATGTTTGATTTTCAAAAATACCTGTAATATAAGGTACTGTGACAAGTGGTGGAGCAGACTTTGAAGTTGGTTTCTCAATTTCTGGCGTTGTTGTGATGTGAATTTGCGCTTTAATCGTCACATTTTGATTGTTTGGTTGCGTAAATTGATTTTCTATAGTTCCGTTATAGAAAAGATCTTCATCTATGAGTCCGTCACTGTCATCGTCTATTCCATTTTTGATTTCTTCGTCTGTTAATTGATCGCAATCGTTGTCAAAACCATCATTATAATGAGAAACACTTGGTGTACAAGGATAAGGTAAAATGTTCACTTGCAGACCAAGAGGATGAGCATACATTTCTTGCAATCTCATACCATAAGCTACGGCAAAGAATTTTTCATCATTAAGCATTGTTAACGTATGTCGAACAGATAAACTGCTCAATTCTACTCTGATAACCGAATAATTAGAATGCTTTACTGTTCTCCAACCTTCATTATTCCAATAACTTAGTTCACTGGCAAGGGGTTTGTCATCAAATCTAAGGGATTCTTCTTTTCCAGACGGAACAATAATATTGACGTAATTTTGATAAGAATCATGTAGAGATGCCAATGTTACAAATGAAATATTCGATGTAAATTGTACACTTGGTGGTAAAAGGGTCATTGAAGGGTCTGTTAATTTATGATTATCAGCCGAAAATGATTTACTAAAATGGGCTGTTAAAACTCCTTTACTAGAAACAATATAGCCTAAATCTTCCGAATCCAAGTCCAAATCAAAGTAATCGCCTCCATTTATAGTTTTAATTTGGTGAGTACCCGGTCGACTATTTCGATAAATACGTAAAAGGGTTTCATCACTCTTCGCCAATATCCTAAAAATATCTCCAGAACTACGATTAGCAAATGGTACAGCAATAAATTCAGTTCCCCATCTATCTAAAGGTATCATCTGTTCTAGTAATTGATCACCCATTTCTAAACCTCCTATAGATGTCCAAACGGATCCGGCTAAAGCAACCACAGGTTGCGTGGACACAATTTTGGTGCCTGTTAGATCGTATTGACTTTGTATCTATGAGAAAGAAGCATTAGCAGAGTTATTTAGAAAATGGAATAGTATAATAAACGTTAGAAAGCATTATTTACTTGTATAATTTCCATTTCTGCTAATTCTATTTTAGCTACGTTTTTTAGAGGACCAGAATAGAAATTTCGTGTAACTGAAGGCATTTCAGGTAAATTCTCAGGGAAGAATAGATGAACAATTGTTAATTTTGTTGGATATGTACCAATTATTCCAATTTGACACGGACCTTGCCTATGTCTTGGCCCTAATTTTTTATTTGCCATATTTAATAAACATTTCTAAAAGACGTTAAAACTCACCTAAATAGTGTTTATCGTAAATATACTGGTAGGTAATAATATAGTATTCTTTGCTCAGAGTATCTAAAGGTAAAGCTAAATATGCATCACTAGACAGGTCATTAATACTGCCAGCTTGAACGGTTATATCCTCAGAAGCCGATATCATAAGTCCTTTCATTTGTTTATTATTACCTTCAATATGAACTGACGTATTGAAATTAACAACTTGCATACTATTTCTTTTTATAGTCACGTTTTGATAAATCCTTTGAAAAGGAGCAGATATTTCAACTTGAACATCATTATTAGATTGGCTAGAAAGATAAATTCTTGCTACTGGATCAGTATAATGTAAAATTCTATTTTCAAGAAAACCAATGATGAACTTTTTTCCACGATGATCCTGCCGACTTGTTGCCATACTTAGAACACTCATTAAGATTAAAAAGTACATATTTCGTATTCAAAAGATATATTTAAAATGACAGAATAACTGAGAAAAAAATGAACGAAAACAACTTCTCCATTATTAATTATCTGTAAATTCCCAAAAGAAAAACCGGGAAGGAAGGTAATGATTAATTAAATAATAAAGAATTTAATCAGTTCTAGAGCGGTTGAAAAGGTAAAAAAACAGATCAAATGATGAAGTGAATAACCTAAAAATAGTTTGATTTTTTTTCTTTTAATTAGTTATAAACTATTAATAATAATTATTATTATAGATTTGTGATTTACGGATATATCTATATATATATATATATGTTTTTCTCTTACTACGTAATAATTTCTTTAATTAAGACGCTAACTTTAGATAGTTTCTTTCTAAATTAAATTCTTTTAAATTTAATCTATTGTGTTATTTATAATTTATTAGTCTGTTTGTCTTAATATTCCATAAAAATAGATAAATAGAATATTTTTTACGGATCTCATTAAAAAATTGAGGATAAGTTTTAACTGGGTCAATTCTAATTTTAAATAAAAAGTGAATATTTTCATCGTTCTCTTCCTAAGTATAGATGGCGCTTTTCATTGTGATAACTTTGTTTACAGACTTAATATTGTAAAAACTACAAATCGACAAAATGTTTAGATATAGGGTTACCTAAATTCAGAAATAGGATGATTAAATTGTATGTGCTAAAAGTCTTCAAAGTAATCAAGTACGAGGTGTAATGAAATGCAATATTTATTAGCCATTTACTCGACAGTACGAAAAATAGAATTCTTTTTAAGAAAAATGGCTAAGTATTCCGATTTTGAAAGTACGATACCAATAAAATCTTTAATTAAGTATAGTTCATAGTGGAAAATTGAAGTGAGCGATCCGTATATTGATAAAAGGTTTTATAAAGGAAGTTTTATACGAAAGTAGAGGAACTAAGGAAAAACAAGCGTTAAATTGTATCCTAAGTAGTTTTATTAAAAAAGTATGTCTAGATATTTTTAGTCGTTTGTATTTATAATGAAATTCAACTTTTTTTCCCATTGACTAAAGTTTCAAAAACAATATTTGTATTAATTAAAATTCCATTTAATGTTTTTACTAGTGCATTAAATATCTCTCTTCACGCTCAACAAGTGTTTTTCTTTAAATATTACAGCTTGTCAGTCAAATGAGAAAAATATATAATTGTAACGAATATGACATATACAGTATATATACTAAATCCTACTTGGGCGATATTATAGTATTTGATTGACCCTTTATTAAACAATAAAATTAATATTACATTATCGCCCTTTCTATTTTTTTTTACGTTCAGAATTATTTCGTCCCTGAGGAATTTATTCTCTCAAAAAAAAAATTAACGTATAGTATACACATTAAAACGTAATAATTACGACTAAGAAAAATAAACACCCAGCATGAAAAGTTTAAATGATGAAATAAACAGAAAAGATAGATAAGCTAGGAAACTAAAAATATACTTTTTAGAGTGTGATAAAATTTTAAACCTAAGATTTTATATAGTCATTTTTTTATTTGAGTAACTAATAAACATTTTCCCAGCAGTTTTTATATATATAAATAGGCGATATTTATTCTTCTTTCTTTTATGTAGATATATTTTATTTTGAAGTTTTAATGCTTTCTTTATATGGAAAACGACTAGTAAGAGCAGAATGATAATAATAAATAAATAATATATATGTATCACGATTATCGCCATTACTATTAGTAATCATTTTCTAGAATATTATTAGTCTTTCTGTTGCGTGTATGTGTGTAACAATTCAACAAAAATTATAAGAGAGAGAGAGAAAGAAAGAGAGGATAAGATGAAAAAGGTAAAAGAAAAAAAAAACAAAAATACAAAACAATGAGGAAAAAGTAGGTTTGTGTAGGTGTGAGGGAGGAGAGGAGGAAGGGGAGAGGGGGTCAGAGAAAAAGAAACAAAAAAACAAAACTCTCCGTCATCGGTTCGTATAATGATATAAATAAAAAGACACACATAATATGCTTATTATTTTTTTATGTACATTATTTTGCATAGTTGATAAAAGCTGATTTTTATACAAAAAAGCTTCAGGATGGATAGAAAGAATGTTCTCGTTATAAGAAACAAAAGTATATATATATATATATATATATATATATATAGGCTTTCTTTCTCGTTTTTTTGTACATGAAAGCTCGTTTAATCGACTAGGAGAAAAAAAAGCTCCCCTTCGTTTTTTGTTTTTTTTTCGTCTCTCCCTCTCTCTCTCGCTCTATCTTTTACAAAGTTGCGGCTTTTTCTAAAACTTGATTTACGAAATCCTCCTTTTTCCTTTCTAAATCTTCATCGTCAGGTACAGTAGTTAGGGCATTCTGTATTGTAGAATGAATAAATTACTTTTAGTTAGCATAGAAGACAAATGTTATATTCTACTCTTTATTCTAAGGTTAAAATTTGGTTCAGTTGTTTTCTCGCATATGTTTCGCAAATGTCTTGTTTGATTTACAGCTTTAGCAGGTATTAAAGCGATATGTCGAAAAGATTACGATAAAACACGTACCAGTAGAAAAGTTCGTCTTGCTTCGTCGTTCTCCATGTCCAGTAGTTTATCTAAGTCAATTTCACAGTCGTAAGCATGTGTTTCCTGTTGGTATTTGTAGAACGATAAATAAAACCAGGTTCGAGTAAAAATCGGTAACAATAAAAAAAAATTGTGTAGGTGAGAAAAAAGGAGGGGGACGTAGAGAAGAATAAAAGGGCCAATTTAAAAGAGAATAAGAGGAAGGTATATAAAAGAAAAAGACAGATATTTTTACTTTTACGGAATTCCCTTACTATCAGAGTCAATAGGCGTGATCAAATAGTTGTAAAGGAAAATTTCGTATTCTATCTATATACTCTATTAAATGATATATTTTAATCACTTTGAAGAGTATGCGGCAACAAATTTCCCGTTACATATAAATACAAACAGTATAGATCCGCTATTTTGTAGGTTGTAATTTAATTTTGTTTTTTTTTTCTTTGGCTATTGACGTGGCCACAAACCGCTATTAGATTTTTTTTTAAAAGATCAAATTAAAAAAGAAAAGATCACCATTACATATTGATCTGTTGTAAATATATTCTCTAAAAGTAAGCAGAAGGTTTAACTTGTATTGAATATTTAGTAAGATACGTTTCTCAATGTTTAATTGTCTTCCTATTTCTATTATTATTATTAATAGAGTTTGGTAAAATTATACCATTCCCGTTCATACTCAATGTGGGAGGAAAAGAGTTGGACGGTATAGTTTGGTTAGAAAATTGACAAGAGTGGCTAAGGCCAGTACTATTATAGTCTTTCATTTCAATGTCAATCATTCATTCTTTAGAAAAAATCTCTCTATCGATAGATTCATATATATATATATATATATTCATATATATTGGTATATATATATACTTTATATATATTTATATATGAGAGTTTATAAAAACGTTTGCTAATGTCGTATGCATTTGATTTATCAATAGGCTTATGAAAAAAGCATGTGAATTCATGCTTCTAGATTTTACCTATGTGCTATATATTTCCATTATTCTATATGCTCGCATTTCATACAAGGTCTTACTCTTTCGTTTAATGGAGTGACTCATCAAAAATGTCTTGTTGGGCTCATTTTCTGACGTCAACTGGTTATCCATTGACGTTTGTAGCGTGCAACGAGATACATGCAGGCCTAATTGTTATGCGGATGTCGTCTGAGACTAATATTTACCAAAGAAGGTAAACAGTCGAAAAAAGCTCTTGACAAGTCCCTAAAGCAAATAGCTAACTAGCAGAAAAGACAGCGGACGAGTATAACTATTTAGAGTAACGTAAGCAATTGTAACACTCATATAAATATATTTATAATACCTGAACATTGTATAATTTTTTTAATTGATCATCCATCCAAAATTCAACGCCCAACCTCTTTCGAATAAGTTTCATTTGGTGCGCACCGTATTTCATTGTTAGAATTTTCTTTCTATCTTCTTCATACTCTCTCAAATCATCTTCGGTGTCTATAGCGACGGCCGATGGCCGTCTATCCGAATGCCTGTTTACAGTCTCGGTAGCCATTCCAAAATTATTTTCACATATTATTGTTCGAACTCGTTCCCTGGCACTGAGAACAATGCAAATCCTTCTTCGTTTCGACAAGTAAAACTACATATAAGAACTATACAGACATACTTGCTTTATGTTGTTTTGTCATTTAGTTATGCGACGTCTAACGGTAACTAGTTACTACTGTTCGAAGGCGACATCTAGGGTCTATTTTACGCTTTTGAATTGGTTCTATTATTAATAAACTTATACAATATATAATAATATATACAGTATAACAAATGCATACAAATATTTGTTTCCTATATGCAGTATATATATTATATATTATATAATAATTTACAATTCAAAGGGAGAATATGATAATAAAAAAACGATCTTTCTTTGTCTCTTGACAATAATTTGTATTACGGATTGAAAGAATCAAGTTATCTTTTCTTTTTTAGATGTTGAGCATAAGGGCTGTCATTGTTGTAGGAGACCCTAAATCTTTCAACTTTTTCGCAAGTTTCTGGAGGATGATGAGGCGTTTTTTGCTTTTGATGAACGGTAGCAGTTTTTCTTAAAAACTTGATTTCACCTCTATTCGAATAGACGCTACTCACGGTTGATTGCTTCCATTTCTTTCTTACTCTTTTTGGTTCATCAACTTGCTTATCCGATATCGCATCTTCAACCTTTTCCTCTATTAAATTACTATTAGAAGAGGAATTCGGACTAGGTTGCTTAGTCGACGAACAACCCATAGCTGGCTTGTAAGGTAGGTTTGATCTTAAAAGTTTCGTGACGTTTCTATTCGAATTTGGATTAGTTTAAAAGAAAAACATCGATCTTAGACATTTATACATAGCTTTTAAGGTATTACTCTCCTTTCAGAATTATAAAATAAAAGAACACACGCACTCAAACAATGTATATATAAACAGGTATAACTATTCAGGCACGTTGTGGAATGTACGAAACATATAAAAATATCAATTTACTTGGAACTTGTTTTATTAATTATTTAATTAGATTCTGTTTATAGTAACAAAAAGAAAAAATAGAAATATAAAAAGCTAATCATATATAATCTATTCGAAAATTCCCATTTCTTCCAATTCTTCGTTAGTTCGATTTTCATTTACGTAATTCCTTTCCAATAGTCTTTGAGTTTGTTCGTGTGAATCAACTGGTAATAAAGTTCTGGAATGTAAATTTTTCGTTTTTACTGTAATTTGAGAATATAACAACTCTTTATTCTTTGATATAATTTCATTTAAACTTTTTAAAATGTCTTCGAAGGATGGTCTTAGTTTTGGGTCTGGATCCCAGCAATTCTTCATTAGAGAGTAGGCTGAGGGTGGGCAATGTTCTGGCGCATCCAATCTGATACCACCTCGTACTACATGCATAACCTCCTGGTTACTTTTACCGGGATAAGGAGAAAATCCTAGGGAAAAAATTTCCCAGAGAACTATTCCAAACGACCAGACGTCGGTTTTACTTGAGAAAATACCATCAAGGAATGCTTCGGGAGGCATCCATTTAACTGGCAAAACGGCTGATCCTCCTTTCCGATAGTAGTCATTATGATAAATATCTCTTGCCATACCAAAATCTGCAATCTTTGCTATTCTATCAACGTCTTTGGTTGTCAAAAGACAGTTTCTAGCTGCTACATCTCGATGAACAAAGTGTCTATTTTCCAAGTATTGGCAGCCGCTAGCAACATTATGAGCTAGTTGCATCAAATCGTAAAGAGTTAGCTGAGATGAGGCGTTCTGGAGATAAAATTGTTTAAGGTTATCTCGAGTTTCTTTTTCATCCCCTATCAATACTAACCGTTTTTGGTCTGTTTTCTCGAAGAAACGTCTGCATATCACCTCCTTCAAGTAACTCAAGAATAATATATCGTGGATTAGATTGAAAGCATACTCCGATTAACTTTACTATATTTTCATGATCGAATTGACTGATAACAATAATATAATAATTAGCTTAATATTTCAATCAAAAAAAAGGAAGAATAATTGAAACCTCATTATAATGGCTTCAAGAGTAAAGTCCCTCTCTGAACTCTGTGCAGGCATTGCAGATAACGTCTGGAATAGAAACTTATCGTGATTTCTTATAGATACAATATAGTTAGTAGATAGGTGCAGGCATTTTTTTTACGAATTAACATTGTATATCTATATTGTATAGTATATACTATATATAGATATATATATTGATTACGCAATTTCGACAAATGATAATTTTGTAATTGTTTCGAAATGTTATTAGTTATTGATATATTCTTGGAAAACAGCCAATTTTTATAGGTAGTAACAGGTGGACGACACTCATTATTTCTGCGCACGTATGAGTTAACAAACTCATTATTTCAATATAGATTTTACTTGACACTTTTTCCTGGAGATTACATGAAGAGAATAAATGTAAAAATAGACAAAAAGAAGACGTTTAAATAGTAATTCTATAATTAAAAAGTTACACTACTTTTCATTATATCTCTTTATAACAAGTGAGCGAATACTTATATTTAGAATTTATTAATTTTTCTCCAACTGCTCTAACAGCTAATTTATCAGAGATGCTTGATGATCTAGCACGTTTTTAAGTTTATAACAAGGCTTAGACGTTACTGAAGGATTTCTCTTTCTGAGAGAATTTACCTCTGGAATCTTTTCTTGGAATATAGCTTTCGTTTTCTTATATATTCTCTAAAATTTACACTCTTTGTTTAGTTTTATAAAAACTATTGTTAATATGAAATTTTATCTTGCTGTAGTTTCTAATATGTTCTTATTCTTAAATATTTAGTTGCCCAGTTATACTAGGTATAGCCTTTTCTTTCAAACTACATAATCGTTTCTTTTACTCATTACAACACGTGTTGCTATTCGTGTAGTTTTATCAAGTCTTCATTCCTGTTTTGTATCTGATGGGATTTGCTGATATTTATAGAACATATCCTTGGGAGTCTTTTGTGATACAGCTATTTCTTATCTTTTACTCGTGGAAAGACAAGTTCTCTAATAAGGGAATAATTACAAAGAAGCTGATGCAAGATACTTTTTTCTTCTTTTCTTGTACTGTTAATTTATCTTTCTATTCTACAAAGTATTAAAGACATTGATTTATTTCTCTTTAATGATATTATGTATCAAGCAACTAAAATAATAAATAGGCTAGAAGGCTTGTTTTCCTTCCTTTTGTTGGCCTCAAGAGTTTGGTGCTCTTAAAATATGGAGAGAACAGAAAATTTATTGATACCAAACTCAGCTTTCCTTTAGTATTTGACATTATAAATTCCTTTTTATTACCTTAACAGCAACCGCAATTTCTGGCGTTTCTTCATCAAATATTAAATATCCCATGTATACTTCCCCAAAAGCGCCTTTACCAATAGATCTTTTGGTTTTCAACTGAATTTTTAATAGGAATTACATATTGAAAGAGAACTCACTGTATTAAGGTTAGACGATCTCGTGGCAATTCCACTAGACGAGAACTATCCCAATTATTGAAAGCATAATTCGGATTAATAGTATTAATAGCTCCTGCAAGATTCCCAGCCTGTAATCTATTAAGGGGAATATTGGCTATTATGGCTCTTTCCTTTTTCAACCTTCGTCCTGGATTATTTTTTTTTTTTGAAAAACAAAAACAAAATTCAGTTGTAGATTTAGCACTAAAAAGGTGCTTACTGATAGAAATTGTGTACACTATAATACACTTACTATATAATAAAAATATGGAGAATGCTATAATTAGGAGTGCGCAGAATGGAGCAACAGCAATTTTTAAGATTCTACCCATTTGATTTTCGTTTTCCTTTATTTGTTTGGGTTTTCGTTTGAGACCGCTACAAGGAACCTTGTCCGACATCCTTTCGCCAGCTCTAAAACAATCTAAACAGGTACTACCGTTTTGTCGATAAACTAACATGCAGGTTTCGCATTCTTCCGGACATCGTAAGTATTCAACTACTTCAACCATGCCATCCTCTTCCGTATGTGATGGATCTTTAAAGACTGATAATGTATCGTTCGCACAAAAGTCAGTATTGATGTAAAATTGTCCGTTGTATCCCCCTCTTCCTCCCTTCTCACATCCTCCTTCACCTCCTCCAAAACCACCGTATGTTTTCCATCCTGCTTTTAAGCTTTTTTGGCACGGTGAGCCACCCGCCTTGTTGATTAGATTAATATTAGGATGGTGTGTTCTTAAATGTTTAATGCTTTCTTCACTTTCTACTAAACCTCTACCTGCAGCTCCTCCAGCCACAACTAAAGGTATAAGAATACCGTTGAATTTTTTAAATACATAACTTGCTCCTCCTCCGCCGCCGCCGCCACCACCTCCTCCAACTATACTTGACTCATTTCCCGCTTTATAAGCTTCGCATATCTTCTTGGCGTTTCCTTTTAACTCGTGAGACTCTCTGCAATAAGCACCATCTCCCCTCTGACCAACAAGAATAAACAACTGCTCATCCGCAGTTAAGTTGCAATTCACGCTGACGAATGTGGGTTGAAACTGATCTTTTATATTTATACTTCTTCCACCAAAAGCACCAACTGCATTAATGGTGTAGGTATCAGTTTTATTAACAGTCCATAATTGGATACCAGGAGTAATTTTCTCGTTGTTGGATGTTACCTTTACTTTAAAACCCTTAGACTTGTATGCAGAATCGCATTGATTTTGATTAGGACCTCTTGATCCTATAGCTCCACAAGTTCGAAATCGAAAATCTACAAAGCAAAGAATAAGATAATTTGAAAGAGTGCATAAATTGAAAAAACTGGTCGTTGAACTATTAAATAATTTATTGAATTTTTCTCTATATCACTCCAGTCAATACAGATCATTCGAGCAAGGTCGCAGAATTTAATAAAAGAATCTTTCATACATAATTATTAATGCATCTTAAGAGAAACTATAATATATTGAAAAAGGAAAATGACGGCTAGTAGTTTGTAGTTGTTTGTTTCTTATTATTTGTCTTTTTTCAATCATCTTTATTAATTTGTAAACAATATTTTAATTACCTAGATTATAAATAATCATAAACGAATATATATTTATTTATATTTATTCCAGACGTTAAATGTTAATTACATTGTCCAAGTAGAAGATATACAATTAAAATATATGATATATACTATATACAGTAGATATCATTAACCGTAATTTGACTATCCAATGAGTGAATTTTACTATTACATCGATTTTCCGATAGCTACCTCTTTTTTATGATTATGAAAAAACAACAACTTCTAAATATGCTGGTTTAATACTAACCATTGCCGTAGGTTGATTTTGGCTTGATTTGCTCAACTACTTCAACAGTTGTTATCAATATACAGTACATTTTGAAAGAAAACATTATTCCTATGCAACAGTTAACTTATAATAAAAGCTGACTAACTATATATATACACATTATCCGACTGCAAACTCTATTTTGACTACATTGAAAAATCAAAAGGGCTGGGAAATTGGAACTAGAGGTCGCTGCTGTTTAAATTTTCTACTGCATTTTATGATATAAAATTAAAATGTAAAGCATGTACTCACTATGATTCTTTGATGTCATTAGAACTTTTTTCATTTTTTCCTTATCGAGATGTTCTTTATCATTATGAACTGTTAAAATACAAATACTGATTGAGGCGGCGCAAGAGAGTCTTTGGTAGCATTTTTAACTATGATATTATATCATATAGTCCTTTCCTGGATTAGTTTTAACTGTAATTACCCGATAATAAATCAGAGAAAAGGTATTATGACGTAATCACAGTGTCTTGACCTAACATATGATGATTGACATAGATTATTATAATTAGACATGTTGTATTACAGTCTTAAAAAAAATTACTTGTATAACAAAGAAAGGGATAGAAAGGTGATAAAAGAATGAAAAATAAACGAAAACTATAATTTATTAAAATCTTATAGAACTATTTCTCATTATTAGTTTTGTCGTCTTTTTTTTTTAAATTACTATTTTATCAAAATGATAAAAGATCTATATTTTCTGAGTGATTAATGTCAATTTACTACAAATGAGAAAAACTGGAAATATATATATATCTATATTTATGTATATTTTACAATTCCTGCCACCAGTATAACTTATAAATATTAAAAATTATTAACTTACTAACCTTTTCCAAAACAAAGAGGATTAAACATGATGTGTGTAAGTCTTATTGGATAGCGAGCTTCTTTTGGAAATATATTAAATTCTAACCAAAAGCTGTAAAGGTAGATACACTCAACACTTATAAATTTAGATACATACAGTATAATTATAGTACGCAACTTTGATTAACTATGAATATATTCAATATAAAAAAAACAATATCATAATTAGTTCATTAAGGACTATAATTAAAAGTTATGCTTTTTATGCAATAGGTTAGCTATTTAATATATATCTTACGTAGTTGATGATCTAATTGTCACAAAAGGTGTATGGTTTCTTGCAGTCGGCCATAAGTGAATCATATCTTTACCACTATCGCAAATATTACATCCTTCAGTTCTATTTAGGCAGAACATTTTACCATTGCACTTTTTTATACAAGATGCTTTAGGGCAAGTCAAGCTGTTATTAAAGACTTTTTTAAATGCATAATGCACAACTATTTTAATTTAATTAGCTTTGTTAATCTAGATGGATAACGACGTCTAACCTTGGCCGATAATCTTGACATCTATCGGTTCTTTGGCATCGGGTTTTTAGACTTTTCTGATGGAGTTGAAGCTGAGCATCTGTGTTATTATTCTCGAATCCAAAAGACATCTTTGAAAAAAAAGTAACATATTTACGACTGACTATAAAACAGGTGTACAAGTATTAACATACAGTACAATCCAACTCATACTGATTTATTGTTGATGGGAGCGGTGGGCTTACAAAACGTCCCTGTTTAAAACTTAATGAGGGCCCAATTAAATCAGATTTTTCAATTTTTGCTGTAGACGCGCCATCTGTGGAGTAGTGTGTCCAACCGCAAAAATTATTACGAAACTTGCAACGAACAGAATCCGGCATATCGTCTATAAGAGAATGTTTTGCCCGTTAAGGGGACTTGGATTATTTAAACGGGAAGGTTTTAATTACCGCAATCGTGTTCATCGTCTCCCAGCAAGCAATCAGCTTTTAAATTACAAACTTTATTATAGGATTGACAAAGTCCGTTCTCTTTGCATCTATAATGAGGGAATGGACAAGGTTCTAAATGTGATCCGTCGACATCGCAGGATATTAAATCTATATCGTCAATACCAGCAAAGTCGTGTTTATTATGTATACTAGCCAACCAAATGAGCTTATAGTTTCTTGTAACACGACCAATTGTCGACTCGAAGCGAGGCCAGTTACCCAATGTTGAATTGATCTTGACAAACTTTAATTTCTTTGGGCTACTTTTGATATTCTCTTCTATGAATACTTTTAGATTACTTTCAGAATTTGCGGAGAATTGTAAGGTACAATTCACTCCTGCTGGAGGAAGCCAGGGACTCTTCAGACTAGCTGTGGCGGGTATCTTTTCTCCTCTAGGTTCGAATGACATATATTCATCTGCATGATTTCTTTTCTGTATAATTTGATATGGGAAAAGTGATTCCAATTACCTTTACTTCCATTATATTTCTTTTGTATAAATCCGCCTTCTTCACCCGATGTGTAACTCTCCCAGAAAATACTGCAATTTGTCCAGAGTACTGAATGGCATTGTAGGTAATGCAGATCATCTATAATAAATGATAGCTTAATCTTTCTTACTTCCTGAAAGTTGCTCAACACGAAATTTTGACAAATTACAAAATAAAAATAGGCCGGAAAAACAAAAAGCCATACAATATAAATAGTAGTTTAAATAACAACCTCTATAAGTTTTACAATTCTCTTTTTTTAAAGAGTCATTAAAATTGCACAATGTTTCAATAAGGGTGATAAAATGATGAAGAAGTAAGAGTTTGTTCAAGATTACAGCCATATCCATAAACTTTCGCCTGTTTGCTGCAAAATGACAGCAATTGCAGATAGCCGCAACACCTAGCGGGTTTTATCGCAACTCTAATATGTCTAGTAGCTCATTTTTTTTAAAACTCGGTAGTTTCCTAATTCTCTAAACCCTAGTAGATATTTTCTGTGTAATTAGCATCCACATTTCTCATTATATGTGGTTCTACAAGGAAATATTTTCCCTTACAAAAAACATATTATCCATTAACGGTTACTGATAAGTCTGACAGCTTTACACAAGCTGCAAAGGAAAACGATTTATCGATGCGAAAAAAAAGCAGTTGGCCTTTCGAATTTTTATCCACCTTTTCAAATAATTTCTTATTTCGATAACTAATAAATTAGTAGGGAAAGGCAGGAAGAAAGAAAAAAAGAAAGAAAGAACAAAATCCTAATTTATATTTACCGCTTTTAAATTCTAAATGAGTAGGGAAAAATCAAATAAACACTTGTTTTATACTTGCATAAACTGCAAAAATTTAAGGTTAATATGTAGTCTTAGACTGTATATATTGTAATTTATCTTTTATCTGGGTTTGTCATCACGAAAATTGAAATTTTCACTCTATTTATAGATTATAATTATAGGCTAAATTTTAACGTTATATGTCTTAAGCTTTCCTTTCCTTTATTAATATCCCTTCCTCCATTCCTTTTATTATTTGGTCGACTTACAATTTACTTAGTCTTCATCATTTAAATTTTTCTCTTCCTTCCCTCCTATCGTATAATAACTACTAATAAAGTATAGAGCAACTTTAAGCCTTCACGGATAATACTGAAACAATAAAAAAAAACAATGAAAGAGATATTGACCACAAGGATTTTAGAAAGATTGTATCCCACCACCACTACCACCCCTCTCCACCCTTTTTCTTTATCTTTAAAGAGAGAGAGAGAGAGAGAGAGAGAGAGAGAGAGAGAGAGAGAGAGAGCGCGAGAGAGAGTGAGTGAGAGAGAAAATTCGTGAAAGAGCAGAGAAATACAAAATTACTAGATGGAAAAGAAAAATAAAAGTATATTGACTTATTAACTCTTTCAAAGAAATAAAGGTAATATTTAAGAATTTTTCCATACTCATTTAATTAAGATAATTTTTCATAAAATTTTTAACAAGTTCTTTTGATTTTCCTCTAAAAAATTTCTTTTAAATGAAAAATCGCTCCTTAGAAGCGTCTAACCTTTCTTCTAAAAGGTTTTATTTATTCTTTTTAAACAGATCCTATATTTCTTATAATTTCTTTTTAGTTTTTATGAAAAATATACCATTTGATTTATATTTTAGCATAGATTATTACAATATCCTAGGCAATTCATTCGGAGAATTGTAATCACTATATTAAAGAAAAAGGCGGAAATACTTTATTGATGCATGATGACGCCAATAGAGAACAATACAATGTGTTATAATGTCCGAAATACCTCTAAAAGCTTTACTCTGTTTCCCATACAAAAAAAAGCCCTAAGTAATTATACAAGGAGGCGCCAATGTCTAGATGTAAACTACTGATACGGATATTTGTCTTGAATCTCACTACCTTTTCTTATATTACAAACCAAGCCTATTAATCGGTGATATCTTAAAAGTTTATAGGATAAATAGCTTTTATAACATCTCATAATCCTTCTTAATATATGTTTAAAGTATATGGGTTTAAATATATTAATATCAACACGTAGCAAAAAGTTAATGTATTAAATGAGAAAGAGAATTGAAATCAAGTTATTTTAAAAATTACTTCGTCAAAATAATTGAAATTAAGTAGAATCAGTTAGATTTATAGTACATTTTGCTATATACAGTATATATGTATACTATTAACTATAAGAATTTTCAACGAATAATACAATGCTTGTTTAATAACAAGAGAAACTTTAGAAACCTTAGTAAAGCCAGTAAGATGAGATGATTATCTCTTATTAGTGGAAGCCTATGTATTTACATATGTACATTTTCTGTCAAATGAATATAAAAAAACCTACTGTAGATTGACTACTGTTCCATGAAAATATTGTATTCATATACAGTATTGAAAAAAGAAACTGAAAATATTTCTATTTTCAAAACGAATAAAAAGAGCTAAAGGAATATAATTAAAAGTCTGAAATGGGGGAGAAAAGGAAAGAAAACAAGGAGCAATATTTTATAAACTGTATACTATTTTTTTTTGCTTATTATAAATATATATATATACAATAAATATTTCATTTATATCGTTTCTAGTAATAGTTTTAATACTGTAGTAAGTCATTATTGTAATAAAGTAATTAACATTCTGTCAAAATAATTTCATTATGACAAACTATTCCTATTTTTAGTTTGCTCATTTGGAAATTTGGTATAGATTTATTATTATTACGAGACATTAAATGATAATCCTCATCTTGTAACTTAGAAAAAGATCGTTAAGTAGTCTATGGAGTACGATATCGCCTTTAGACGCCTTATAGGCAACTTAAAGGATTTGGCTTTCGCTCACTCTACTATTCTTATATATGAAATTTCATTCGCTGCTTTTGCTTTATCAATACAATGCCCGGTCTTAATTGCTTAATTTATTGTAGGTGGCGTAGCTGTTAAATAGAAACTTGTAAGTCAAAAAAAAAAACGATACAAGAGAATTAAAGGGGAAAAACAAGGATAAATACTAGTGGTATTTATAGTAGTAGTAGAGGGTTAAGAGGTTTTCTTTTACTTAACTATTGTCAGTAAGATTTTTCTTATTTTTAGATTTCAGCTATCTATTTATTATGAATCTAGTTGTGATAAGCTAAAATATATTAATTGTAATAAAATGACTTTTGATAAGCCTAAATATAAATATATATATATATATATATATATTGTATATACTATTTTATACATAACTATATCTATAAGTGTATGTTGACAAAACCTAAAGAACAGCATTACTTGCCATATTCTTGGAATTTGACGTGACTAGAAAGGCAAACAATTTATTCCTCTTTCAGCTTCACTATATATTTATATATGCAATACAATCGCCATATTAGATTGTTAAAATGTTTTCTTAATACTTATCAAATCGTAAGCAAAGTTCTTTTATCTTTAACTTCCCTATAATAAATATTCTTATTACTTTTTCTAAAAGAGTATATACAGTATACTGTATATATATATATAAATGTATATATATACTGTATATATATATATTAATATATACATTTATATAGATTTATTAATTCATTAAATATAATGTTAAAATAAATAAAAATTGTCTGTGGTGCCACCTTGAGTTTAACATTTTCATTTTCATTTTTATGGAATATTATCCATTGACCGATTAGGAGTCTTTCACAATTTCAAAATGTTTTTTTTCATCTGGCTTCTTTTTAACTTCTAATTGTCGATTGAATGTAATACGTTCTAGTAAAGTAAACATATGTGACATATATAGATTACAGATTGCCGAAATATTCTATCAAATTACAACAAAAAGGAACCTTAAATTTTTCTATCAACTTTTTAATATAATTTTTTTTTTATGTTGAATGGCTTAGTAATCGTTAACTAAGGCTTAAAATTACATAAAATCATCCCTTTCTTTCTCCAGCTTTCAACTCTCTATCATCTTTCATCTCTTATCCTCAATTAGAATATGAACAATTTTCGCTCTCATTTAGATAAATGAATGAAATTCGATGAAGAATAATTGTGTATTGAAAGATGATGTCGCTTAAGACTTTGAAAGATAATTCTTTTTTTGTGATTAAACAGCCAGAAAGTTAGTTTTTTCAGTATTCTTATATAGGCTTTATAAATTTTTAGGGAGTAGCTTACAGGTTGTTGTGATTGTCTTTCTTTTAAAGATATTTTTTAAATATTTTGCACTCTTTAAATAGAAAAGATAAGAGAAAAGTGGGCGAAAGAGAGAGAGAGAGAGAGAGACAGACTGAAAGGGAATGATAGCCGGACAGAGGGAAAGAGAGATATATTTGCTCAAGTAAGATAAAAGATGGAAAAGAAGAGGAAAAAGTTAACAAATTTGCAAATCTTTTCTGGAGATGTTTTGCAAAAGCAAACACATTTTACCTTCTAACGCTAGAGGCGTCTATGAGAAATAATATTGAATTAGTCTCTACTAACGTCCTCTCCTAAAAGAATCGTAACTTTCTTGTTTCAAGTACTCGTATCGTTTTCCTTCGTTTCTTGTTTGGTCTATATTAACACTTACAGCTGTTAGATTTTTTAGAATAAGAATTACAGAAGAGACAAATTTCGAAAGAAGAAAAATTGAAAGAGGAAGAAATGAAGAAGACGGAGAAGAGGAAGGAGGAGAAAAAGAGTTTTTTAACTTAGAAATTAGCTATTGTTTAGTATTAATATGTACGACCAAATTGTTTTCTTGTCAAAAAAGAACATACAAATAAACTAAATTCTATAAACAAATAAGAAGAATGGTCTATAAAATCAAGCATTTTCAAGTTCTTCTCTCTTTGGACGAAGAGCAATTGTTTTTCTTTCATTTAAATAATTAAACTTAGGAAGGAATCTTGACAGTTTTCAGGAAATTATAAAGAAAGTCAATGGGATAACTTATATTACAATATGACATTCTCTTTAACTATATAGTCAAACTTTTTAGGAAGATGCTTTCATTTTTTAACTCTTTCATCCGTCAAATAAACAATGTACTTCTTAGCATCTATGCTCAGCCATATTCTATCAAATATTCGCTTCTTTTCTTCTTCTTCTCTCATTTTCTGTCTAAAAGTTTATAAGAAATTTATATTTGGTGCCGGTTTGTTTATAAAACAAAGAATAGATAAAAGTGAAATTTGCTAATCGACGAGTTAACTTTTCTCTTTTCCTTTATAAAATTCGGCATAAGAGGATAAACCGGTTTCAATCATTCATTTATATATAATGTTGACAGATAGAATTAAGATAAGCGATAAAAAAGCACCATGTTGCAGATACGTTTGAAGAGTACATCTCTCTCTCTCTTCTGCGTAGGATGATGGATAAAAGGGAAAACAACAAAAACATCTAAATTTTATATCCTTTTTGACTGTTGTTAATTAAAAAATCATAAAAATGAGAAGAGTACAAATTATAACATTTTCTTATCTTACCAGCCATTCAAATCTATGTTACAGTTATATTTATATTGTTATTTAAAATAGCATTACGCATTATTAAACAAACAATACATTAAATAATGTATTTATCTTCGAATAAGCATTAAATTGGTTATTTAAATAATAGGAAAAGTTTCATGTATTATACGCAATATATCTTTTTGTATATGTTGTATAGTATGATACGTAACAGAGAAATTGAAGGTTTAAAGGTGTTGAACTGGACGAAAATATCTACAACAAGGACCTTATGTTTACCCCCGGTTGGAATAAGGTGACAACGGAAAACATGTCTATGTTTTTACGAGTTCACCCTATTCAGTTACAAAGTAAACTTTTAACTTTTTCTTTTTGTCATTAAAAACTTTACAACCTTTTATGTTCTATATATTTCTTTTGTTCTTAAATTACTATTTTGATTTCTATTTTATCAATTATTGCTTAACATATCATTTATCTTGCTTATTTTTTCTTTAATTTAGAAATTAACCCTTGACTCTTTCATTGAAATTTAAGTAATTATATATTAATTTACCACTAGATGTCATTAGAACTATGGGTTGCCCATGGCTCTCTTCCCTATCTCTCTCTCGCTCTCTCTCTCTCTAGCTCTCGATCTCTAGCTCTCGCTCTGTCTGTCTGTCTGTCTGTCTGCTATTTATTTATGCGTATATGACTTTTTACCCCTCTCTTACGGACCTTGGTAATGCCATCTAGCGTTTATATCTCATTAAAAGTTGACTTTAAGATTGTTCTTATTATAATATTAATAGGATTATATTAAATGTCACGTATAGGGAATTATCGGTCAATAGTCGAACGAGTATCTCTATTAAAGTAAGAGATGAGAACGAGATACACAAGGGAGAAGGGAATTAATTGAGTATAGGAAGAAAAGATGTTCAGCCTCAACGCCAATATCTAATGCATTCGGTGCATTTACTTGATTTGATTTAGTGGTTAACCTGATAACGCCACTTAAAGATATTCACAAAAGGAATAAAAAGCCCAATACCTATTCAGTGAACTTGTCAAACAGAGTGCAGCCTCATTACTGTAAACCTATCATTTTAAAGAAATTAAATTTTACGTCCCTCCTCTCTCGTTCTCTCTTCTACAACTCTCTTTCACTTTCTTCTTTCTTTAAAAGTCATTAATAAACTTAATTACATAAACAAGTAACAGATTTTACTATATTTTTGACCTATTGGTAAAAACAGCTCGTGCCTTCTTGATAATTTCTAGACATCCTTTTTATTGAAGTAAATTATTTTTTCTCGGAAAAGATATAAAGTTAGACAGCCAGACAGAGTATGTGCGTGTGTGTCAGTAGAAGAGAGAGAGAGAGAGAGAGAGAGAGAGGGAGAGAGAGAGAGAGAGAGAGAGAGAGAGAGAAAGAGGGAGAGAGAGGGAGAGAGAGAGTAAGATGGGCGGGGTTAGCTTTTGGGAAACTCATCTAATCTGAAACCCTTTCGAACTTTTTAACTCTGTATCTTTCAAACCGTGCATGCGAAATAGTTCTAACGGAAGAAAAGTGCCAAAATAAAATTAATTCGATAACTGACTATTTCTTGCTAAGTTTTATTAACTGATATAAATTATATGATTTGGCATTGTGCCAAATATAAAAATATAAAATATATATATAAATATCTAATATATATATATATATAAATTATAAATAGGTCCATTGCATGGATTCGTATAAAAGGCACAAAATAAAAGTTGTTAAGTGTCAAGTTGCGTTCATGGCATGCTATATAGCTATATTACTTTTTTCTTGTGAAAAGACCATATGAGGGCCGAACAAATCGCCTTTTGGATATTAATTTTGGCAATCTCCTGATAATTAATCAGCCTACTTTGATTTAAGTCTAAAGGATAATAAAGGGAGCGTTTAAAGCTATCATAAAAGTTTTTATAATGTATAAGGAATAGGGAAAGGGATGAAGTAAAGGAGGGAATTTTACTGATTTGTACCTAGTTTTTATATACATTTATTTTGGTTATTAGACTCTTTTTTTTGGGCTGGTCTGTAAAAAAAATGGATAAAATAAAGATGTTGCAGACTATGTCGGACAGGTTTTAATTAGTTACACTACAGGGAAAGAGGGCGCTTTGTGAAAGAAACACGATCCGGCGCCGGCGCGCCGTGTCAGTCAGGGGAGTGAGAATGTTGGAGAAAGTTCGAAAGTTTGTCATCGTCGCCGTTTTGCTATCGGCGTTCACTTTGACAAACTGTGAACTAGTGTTCAAGTATGGACCGAGATTGGATGAAAAATTGAAAACCTTAGAAGATGACCAAATGTCCTTGGAACTCGACTCCTCATTCCGTTTCTTTGGAACAGACTACTTTTCGGCAACTGTAAGTTCATATCTAGAGATAGGAATCTATTAGCCGTCTACGTATAGCATAAATATTTATATAAAGCGCTTATCTTCCGCAAAAAATCTTGGACCGCTTCCCTAAAAGTTTGTCGAAGGGCGAAAGTGCAGCTGGTTTAATTAGTCACAGGCAGGAATCTTCTCGCCTCCCGTTAATCATCCTACAAATATATTTACCCATTAAATACGCTCAGCGGTCTCTTTATTCTCTTTATCAGTAAAAACTGCACTAATTTTTTTTCTTTTATCGGGCGCGCCCCGAAATTCGAGTTCTATAAAAGTCTAATCGTTTGTTGCTATTATTTCTTCTTTAGAAATCAAACACCGGGTTATCGTTTGATTTTTCTTTATTATAAATATCTACAAACTTTTTTCCTCTCTCCATACCTAATGGAAACTATTTGTTCTCTCGCTCTTATTCCAGTTTGTACACGCTTGATAAACTAGGTCAGAAACCAGCGTATACGCATCTTTACAAACTATATACCGGCGTTCGCCAAAAGTTTATTTAAAGGAAAAAAATTTCTTTACGAAAACTGAGGAAATTGAGAATAAATAGGGATTTAATGCCATTTTAAGGCTTGCATAGAGTATCTTATTACAGCAATAAATGTCAAACTTTCGGCATCAACCTTATCTAATACTATGGTTAGCATGAAAAGGGCGTGTATATAGTTGAATGTCAGAATTTCGACAGGTACATGCGAAAGGTTTCGTTACCCTTCATCCAAGTATCCAAACTTATAATCCGGGGATTAATTTGGAGAAGACAAAAGCTTTTATCGGACCCTTCTACTCAGATATAAGCTTACCGATAAACGGATCTGTTTGGTATAGAAAGACAAATGATCCATCTACTCTTGAAACATTTAGATCCCTACTAATTAAGGCGAGGTTGTCAGCAGACGACGCTTCGGATATAAAAGATGTTTTCGTCTTCACATGGGAAAAGGTTGGAAAAATGGAAGAAAGATCAAACATACCGGAAACGAATACTTTTCAATTAGCGCTCGCTCGTAAAATGAATAAATATTATGTATTTATTCAATACGAAAGAATTGAATGGACTGTTGTACAAACATCCGATATGTTTTCAAAACCTTTAGCCGCATTAAGTGATGGTTTTGGCAAAGTTATTACTCTTCCTGGTTCCGGAACAATTAATACGCAAAATTTGGTGAAATATTCCAATATTGGTGAAGCTGGAAAGTTTCTTTTTGACGTTTCAATGGAAAAAGTTTATCCAACAAACTTTGAAATGGTTGCAAAGAAATTGAATTGCCAAAAAGGTAGTGCATTTTGCAGTGCTCAAAAAGGTGTAGAATGTATACCACATTATGAAGGATTTTGCTGTAGCAGCTGCCCAAAAGGTTCTGTTGGGAACGGTTTTAATTGTGTTAAATTACCAGTAGGCGAAGCAAACCAAAATTATATCTGGTACTTTAGTCATGCGCTGTCAGTAAGTTTGAATGGTGAAAAGGGAACTTTCAAACTACAAGTATTAGAAGAAGGAAGCGGCGAGCATTACATGTTCCTAAACGAATTGGACGGAGTTACCAGCCGGAAAGAAATACTTATGAAATTACTTCCAATTTCGCCATTAGGTTTCGTTTTCTTTTGGTTACATGGACCAGGATTCAATGGATTCGAATTAACCGGCGGCAATTTGAGAAGAAAAGCCAGAATTTATAAACGAAATGATCGTAGCTTCAATATAACTATAGACCAAAACCTCGAGGCAGCTGACGATAATTGGCCGTACGTGACGACGACTATTACCGGAAACCTTCCGGCCGGAAATGAGAGAGACTGGTTCCTTTCGGAAGAAATCAATACTTTCCGCTACATCCGAGTAGGAAGAGGAAAATACACAATGAATAATCCATTAAAGATTCAGAATAAAGAAACAAAAGTTTTCGTTGATTATGAAGTTAGAGATGAAATTGTGTTTGATGAATGTAAGGAAAGGAATGACATTCCAGAATTTCATCTTAGTTTGAGCATGTTGTCGAATTGGTACGAAAGTGATCTCAACAGATGGTCTTTTATATACAAGGGCAGCATTGTGATGAACAGCGACAGCCCATGCGTTAAAAATAAAATAGATTGCGGTCCGAATGGGCATTGCGCATATAATTCGTTTTCAACTAAATGTGAATGTAATGTCGGGTATGAAGAAGACGTTCGTGGTCATCCTTGTATTGATACGGATGAATGCTACACATCGGACCCTTGCGACCCTAATGCTTTTTGCCAAAATACTCCAGGCAGTTTCACTTGCACTTGTAAATCCGGTTATATTGGTGATGGACAAGTTTGTAATCCCATTGACAATAATTTATGTGGAGGAAAAGTCTGTATAGAAAACGAAGAGTGTTGGGAAAACAAATGTGAATGTAAACATGGTTACGAAAGAGATGAAGGAACTTATCTATGCGTTAGCAAAAGTAAGTTTAGGAGATTCGCAATAAATTATACGCTTGACCTTTTCAGCATTCCACATCCTTTTTAATTTCTCTTACCCTTAATTTAATTAGATTTATGTAACGGAGTAATTTGCCCTGAAAGTGAAGAATGTAAAAGAGATTACAGTGGGAAAGATTACTGCGATTGCAAACAGGATTATGTCCGTAAGCAGGGTGTTTGCGTCTGGTCAACTGACAAATGCGCTGGATTCTGTACTGAAGATGAAGAGTGTAGAGAGGAACAGCAACGCTTCTATTGCGTGTGCGTTGCGAGTGCTTCGGGAGAAGTTGGAGCGTGCGATGAGGGAACTAGACGAGAAATTTGTTATGGAAGCGAAAAATGCCTTATAGATGCTCATTGTGATGATGTTTTGGGTTATTGTAAATGTAATAGTGGATTCGAAGGGGACGGTTATCAACGGTGCGATCGTATTTCAAGTCGATGCTCGAGGGATGAAGATTGTGATCTGAATGCCCTTTGTCAATACGATGGGTACGAACGTAATTGCGTTTGTAAAGATGGCTACGAAGGAAATGGGCAAACTTGCTGGAAAAGTAAGTGCGATAGAGTAAAGGCGGTTAAATAAACAGGCTGTATAGGCGATTACAACTAATTAGAGCTCACTAATCATTTTCTTCCTTGTTTTTTGCCAGAGGGTTGTGAAAGGGATGATGAATGCGATCCAAGAGCTCGCTGCCTATCAAAAACTTGCGTCTGTACTGAAGGTTACATCATGTCCAATAATATTTGCGTACCTTCAGGATCGAGATGTGAGAGAGATGACGAATGCGATATCAATGCTCGATGTCAGTACGATAGCAGTTTAGGATATAATTCATGCGTCTGCTTCAGAGGTTTCGAAGGAGATGGCAAAATTTGTAAGGAAAGAGATGCCTGTATAGGTGTTACATGCGGACCAAACGAAGAATGCGTAAGCAGCACAGACTACCTGATTGGATACCAGTGTGAATGCATTAGCGGTTACAGGAGTAAGATTTTTTTTCTTTACTTTTTCAGCCTTCATTATACATTCTTTTGTAAAGAAAACAAACGTTTTCTGTAAATACCGGTCCAAATATTTTTAAAGGAAAAAAAACATTTGACTGAAAACAGGATCAGGATCAGAATCTGAGTGTAAGAAGGAATGCGGCGATGAAGTGTGCGACGCCAGGGCGACATGCGTTACTTCTGAAGATTTTAGAGGAATGAGGTGTAAGTGCAATGAGCCACTTTTTGGGAATGGTTTGATGTGTTTCGACAACGGTTTGTTTTCTTACTATTCTGACCCTATCCTCCCCTACCGTATGTCGATCTTTATCGAGCGAAACCAAATGCAGAGCCAGATTGCTTCAATTACGCTGGTTTATGCGATTCAAGCGCCCGTTGCGATTATGAAACTGGAAGATGTAAATGTAGAGATGACGAATACGGGGATCCATACTACATGTGCAAGATAAAGCCCAATACCTGCGAATACTATCCGGAAATCTGTCATCCAATGGCCGAGTGCAAAAATGAAATGTGCGAATGTATGCTAGGATATAGCGGAGATGGTGAGAGAACTTGCGAAGGTAAGCAGAATCTAATTATATCTTCTTTGTAATAATACTACGAACGTATAAATATACAGAGATTAAAGAACCAAAGGTTAAAAGTATACTTTTGGCACGACACGATAGCATTTATAGAATACCCCTTCCGTCTAAAGAAAGTCCATTGTCACCCAAGTTTAACGTTACAGCGAATCTTTTACAGGCAAAAAAACGTGAGTATCCGCGGAACAATCCCATGAGCATGCAGCCCCAACCCAGCCAAGCTTTACCCGCCATCATGGAGTTCTTCAAAGCAGGCCAGATCATCGTCAGCGTCGATTACAACTGTGAAAATCACGAGATCTACTACGGGGATTCCGTAGGTCATAAAATTGTTCGATATAATAGTACAACAGGCAAAGAGGAGACAATCTTAGCCGGTAGAAGATTTAGAAGAAGAAGAAAGTTTAAGTCGAGGGCTTCCAATGAATACGTATCGAAGCCGCAGGGCATGGCTTACGATTGGACAACAAAGAATCTTTATTATACAGATAGAGACGCTTTACTCGTCGGCGTTGTAAACGTTGTAACGAAAAAGGTTAAAGTATTAGCTGAAAATAAAGTTAAGAAACCCCGCGGAATAGCTATAGATCCGGAAGAAGGGTTTGTAACAACAACAATCAGTTTGATGTAGACAAATAAATAAAGAGAATGTTAACAGGCTAATCTTCTGGACGGACTGGGAGACCTCAAAACCGCGTATCGAAAGAATGAATATGGACGGATCCGATAGGAGGGTCATCTTTCAGGGTAGCAGGGGTGATGTTTTGAACGACGTAGCTGTGAATAGAAGATGGAAAACTCTGTGTTGGTGCAATGCCCGAATGCCTGGAATCATTCAATGCTCCCAGTACGATGGCACAAAGCGGAAGATAATCTTCCAGAATGCCGGAAAGCCGTTCGGTTTGTTAATAGTCAAACGGAACGCGATCTGGTCGGATCGGGAAGAGTCAGTTGTGTTTATACAAACTACGAGCTTTACAACATACGCTTAATTGTTTATACTCCAACAGAAAACAAGTAGAAAGCGTACCGCTAGACGGAATTATGCCTGAATCTCCTACTAAAATACGGACGCCATTAACCGGGTCTAGAGTGCCTCTTGGAATTGCTGCTATTCCTGAAAATTGCCCGCCTGGTAAGCTTTAGAAATTCCTATTTATTAAATTTTTATCATAGAGCAAACATAACCTTTACAAGTTTTACATTTATCCATAACTTTCATATCTAGTGAGCAACTGGTGCCAACGAGATCCTTGCTATTCGGAAAAGGAAATCTGCCTCCAAACTAAAGTGGGTAGAAAATGCGTTTGTCCAGGAGAAGATTGTTAAGAAGAATTAAAGCCTAGCGCAATTAATTATTTTTATACATTTTATCCAAAAAATCAAACCATAAAAAAAAAAAAGAAACGACGTATTTGTCTTGAAAACAATATGAAATTAAATTACAATCTTTAAAGAGCCAGAAAACAAATACGCTGTATAAACCAAAAACGAATTGAAAACTATGTACTCATTTTTTTCTGTTTTCAAAACTTTTCTTTTTTTTTTTTCTTTTAAAAACAAAAATACTGCCTCGTATCTGCAATTTTTATTTGAGCTTAGTTTTAAAATAAAAGCTGATGAAAAGGTGAAAAAGAATGGAAACAAAACAAAAATATATATATATATATATATATTTATATATAAATAATCTATTACCCTATTATTCAATCCAATCTTTCTCACCATTATTTGAAATATAGTTAGGGTACGATCAAGGGATTATTAGATTTTAAAAAAAAGAAAGAACCTATGCAATATTTTCAAGGAATGTCTTTTATGTACGGTTTTTCGTTTTTGTAAATTTTGTACAATAAAAATGTTTGCTAGGATTACTATCATAGAACGCCTATGCTCATACCACACACGAAACAGTTAAGCTAACACTTAATCCGCCAGCAAAGTGTGTTCTGACAAACAGACACAAAACAGACGCGAGCATCCTCGCTTAACCTCAATCAAAACTAATGTCAGCGCCGCGAGCAACAGACGTTCGGTGATAGTTCGCAGAAAAATAAACAACAATACGAGTCGTACGTGCGAGAAATCACACCCTTGTCAATGACAGGATGATTTTGGATTAATTACAAATTCTTTTTTACTTTCATTGAAACTAATGACCAAGGTAGAACTAGCTGTGCCATCTATATTTTGCTATTTATGAATATGTATATCAATATATATATATATATATATATATATATATATTATAAATAGAATATTAGTTAAAAATTCAAACATATAGTTTATTTCTTATTTTCCAACCTTTCCAAGTTTCGTATCTGTTTTCGGATTAGCAGTTAGGCCTTGAATTTTAACTATTGCCTCATTTATCTCCGTTTGCAAACTTCGTAATTCTTTTATATGTAACAGACGTAGAATTTTCGCCGTTTCAGCATTGATAATATCTAAATATTTATGTAAATAAATGAAAACAAGATAACTTTTTATCTCAAATAAAAAACTCACTATCAGTATCGAAACCTAATGTAACTTTTTCCAAAGGCAATGTTACCTTCTTCTGTAAGCAAAAAAAATCAACAATTAGCGTTGATTAAAATCTTAAATACTCAAAAAGAACTTACTGAGTCTTCATTACGCTTAATATTTTCCAAGGCAGACTTTGTGTAGTTTTCTTGTATTACCAAATTTATAGCCTGTACAATAAATGTTATATTATTATCTGCGAAAAAGTTAATGATAGCAATTATTTTTAATGAAATATTCACTTTTAAGAGGATTTTTGGATCAGTATGCGGAGAGATATGTAGTAGTACGGCCAACGATTGGACTCCATTTTTAAATTCTTCCCCTTCAACTATTTAAAAACAATGAAAAAATTCAAGTAGCTTGTAAAATATACCTAGAACTTAAAACTTACAGTCCAAATTTTGTAAACTATTGTCGCTAGTGCTTCCACATTTGTACTTGTCAACTATTTTAAATAATAAACTTTAAATCAGAGGGCATAGTTCTTAATATACAAAAATTTACGATTATCTCCGTAACAACATCTTACAGCGTAACCTAATAGCCAATCGCACACTTCTTGACGCTTTTTTATGTCAACTATACAGTTTAAATCTTTCAAGTACTAAAAATTGACAAAAGATAATGTTAAACTAGTGAAATGCCGGTTTGATTTTTAAACCTCTTCAAGGCTTGTATTCCAATCCGGAGATTCTGTAGCCCTTAAATTTTTTCTCTCGTCTATTTTATAATGTCTTATTTTTATGTCTTCAAGCCAAACGACTAGATTTCGGAAATTTGTATCATCTGAAAGATGTACAAAAAATGAACGATAATATAGAGTAGTCATTAAATGACAGTTACCTTCTTCATTAAAACCCTCAATGGACGGATAACCGAGAGCAATTAACTTTCTCTTAAACATAATTAAATAATTGCATTAACAAACAATTTAGCTGTTTGTCGATCTCGAAATAAGTCAGTCTACGTGCTACCCGGTAAGCTAAACCAGAGTCACCGATTAACCGGTTAAAACCCTAACCTTGCGCAATACTTCCGGTTCCTGTTGTTTTCTGGTGGGAACGAAATGATGTTGGATCATTCCAAGCTCCTTTTTGAGCTATCAGGGTAACATTTCAGTAAAAAGTCCTTAAATCACAAAAACGACGTTTATAAAAATGGATTTTCCTCCGGAAGTTTCTATTATAATTGCAAAATTACAATCTAGAAAAGCGAAACAACGAAAGGAGGGTATCGAACAAATTGTATCATGGTTAAAAAATATAGAATCGACCAGCTTGGACAATCACAAACTGTGGCATCACTTATTTCTTATTATAAAAAATGTAATTTTGGAAGAAATTGACAGTGTAGCTAAAAATGATATACCATGCAGTCAAGTTGCTAAACATAATCGAGATAAAAAGTTGGAAGATATGAAACTATTATTGAAGTTATTTCTTAAACAAAGTAATAAGCTAAATGTTACATTTAAAACAAAGGACCTCATGAACCATATTATAGAAGTTTTAAATTGCAAAGATCGGGTATCGTTAATGGGTATGGCTTATTGTGATGTACTGAGAGAGTGTATTTTATGCGTATATGAAAACCAAATTAAAATTACGGCCGAAAATTATGATCTATTGCTGCAAAAGATATTAGAATGGGTTCACAAGCCTCCTTTTACTTCATTCGATAGAGGACAGCTCGCATGCCTAGCTTACAAATTAGCCTTCAACTCCTCCCGTAATTATGAACTCAAATGGTTAAACCTAATAAATATAGCGATGGAATATTTTTCCATTGACAATATTCAAGAAGAGCTTAGTGGAAATGTTTGCAGCTACATGCTGAGTACTTTGACCGTATTGTTATCGTGCTTGGCTACTTTTAACAGAGCTTTACTGTGCCGTGTTGGAGAAACTTTAATGCCATGCATGTTTATAATAGTCCGAAAGTTTAACCAGTGTAAGAATTCGGTTATAGAATTTATCCAACTTCAAGTTAATATTCATCATCCATTTGATTCTTATACCATTTTGGAAGGAGTCTATACATACGACAAAAATTCATGGCTGAAACACTTAGCTTTGACATACGAGTTTTTAATGACCGAATGTACGGATGCTTTGAAAAAATCCAAATATAATAGTGGAAAGAAAGACCTAGTACAATACTTAGATTTACTTTCGTCTGTCTACACTCAGCTTATCTTTGATGGAAGCGATAATTGTGACATTGATACACAACCAAGCGGCAAGAAAATCAAACTGCAATTCACTTGGTCTACTCTTGTTGATGTTATCAAAAACAAGGGCAATAACAATGGTGAGATAATTTTGTGGTTCAATATCCTTAGTCGAATTCTTAAAAAAGTAAAAGACATACCCCAGGATGTAACTGATAGTTTATTTTATTCATTAAGAGATCTGGTTAATAATACGAAGGATGAAGTAATTATTAGATATGTATATACATGTTTGAAAGAACTTTATTGTCACTGTTCACATCTTGATTGGTCTTCTATTGGAAATATTGCCTTGCAAACTTTTCTTGCTCAAAAAGCGCAAAAGGAAAGTGTTCTTTTACTAAATAGTCTAAAAGAGAAACATTTCAATATTTTTTATGAGAAAACAACAAAAGTCAACGGAAACAGTTTATTATTTTTGGAGAACATGCTAGAAAATTTTCATCCCGAAAATCGATCATCTATTTTAGCATGGATCTTAGGAATTGAAATTCACTTGACCACTTCTCAATCCAGTAGCTACTTTCACCTTATTATTAGCGTAATTCTCCGATTGATTGTTTTTAATGGGGGAAATTTGTTATTTTCAAAATTTATTCCCGAACAGCGAATGGAAAGAACTTTAGATATACAAAAATTATACAAACTGTGTTTCTCAGGGCCGGATTTGAGTAATTTATTCTACTTGTGTTCAACTTCGAAACAAACGAAAGAAATAAATAAGGGAAGATTAACAATAGAATACAAAACTTTTTTGGACTGGTTAAATCGAATAAGAATGTTTATTAATAATACCTCCATTCTGTTTAGCATCAATGTGTTCAAGTTAGCTTTTTATACTTATTTGCATCTTTATATGTGGGGAATCATCAGTCTCGAAGCTATCAGAGCTCAAGGAGTTTTGCAAATCATTCAGCATTGTTTCAGCAGTATTCTTGAAGAATTTATCAAAGAAGACAATTTAGTTGCTATCGAACATTTGACCCCTCTATCTGCTGAAGCACCTATAGAAATGAAAGAATTTTTCTCCTTTGCGTTAGAAAGTCAATGCATTGATGAAACTTTGAGAAACACCTTGAAAAGTTTTCTAAGAAAAGGAATGGGATTAGATCAAAGAAATATTGAGAGTCTATTAGATGAAACAATTTTGGACGAGAATTCAAGGAGAACCTTGGAATACTTTAAACTATGTTGCAGTTTATCAGCATCTAATGGTTTTTTCCTTCTTCGCCAATTTATCTTTGATTTTATACGAAAGTTACCTGTGACTATTGCCAATTATCATTTAATTTATGTCTTTATCGATTATTTTAGTAAAGCATATCAAAACTTGTCAGATACTGAAGTCGAAGATTTACAAACTGTTTTGAAAGGGACTTTTCGAGTTTTGAATAACTCTACTGAAGTTAATTGCGCCCTTATAAAATTAATGGAAACTTTACCTGAACAAGTCAAGTCTACTGAAGAGATGGATGTGTATTTCAAGTTGATTGAAGTTTGTTGGGGACTAGCAGCGGACAGAAGGCATAAATTGATAATGAGAGGTAACATTATTGATGTCCTTATTAAGTTTTATCAAGTGGGCTATAGAAGGAATGAAATAAGGAACTTATTAATTAAGAAAATTGCTGAGGAAGACTTAAATAATAGTTTAAAAGTAATAAGAAAGATACCTCAATTACTTTTGGATTGCGATGATAGCTCATTTCTTAAATTTCAATCGTTTGAAATACAGACAGAACTAGTCGACAAAAGCAAGGATTCCTATATCAATCAGTTTGAAAATCATCATTCGGATTATTACGCAGAAGATATATCTGAGAGGCACCAGAACTTATCCGTATCGTTTTTACTTTATCTGACCAGTATTCTCATTTCTAATTCAGCTTGTACAGCAGATGCGCTATTTCTTCTATGCAAGTGTATAACAGTTTATAAACTAGAAGTTGATAAAGTTCAAGTTTATCTAACCGAAGTGGCTTCATCTCTGCAATTAAAAAGCGTTAAGGACTTATTTGAACTTCATATGCCAGTTATAATTTACAAATGGCTAAATGACGGTATCCCTATAGCTAAATTTCCACCCATTCTGAATATTTCTCAGCAACAATTTATCAAAGAGTATAAGAAATACGGTCGACCATTCGAGTACATTCGAGAAGAGAATTGCCCTAGGGATGGTTCAGATAACGTTCTGTTAGATATTTTTGTTTACACTTTACTTATGGACGATAGGCGAGCCATTAGGAGGATTGAAAATGCAGTTGAAAAGCGAAGAATTGTAGACATTATTACGAAAAATCCCGCTTTTATTACCTTGACCTTTATATCATGTGTACATATTTATGATGAAAGTTTTCCTCATCGATCAGCTTCTCAAGTGAAGGGTGCCTTTAATCATTTAAATGAGTATATAGATTCAGCAGAAAGTTTTTTAGATTTACTAACAGAGAGTGATTTAGTTAGCATCTATCTAGACTTAAGTACTAGACTTTCAAAAAGTTATACTTCTACTTTGAAACAAGGCACGATAAGCGCATATCGCCTTCTCTTCCAACTATTAACTGAGAGTGGTCTAATAAATCGTTCTTACTGGGAGTTCATTTTCCGTCACAATTTATTGACTCTAGTTAGTGTTTTGAGATGGATTGATACTAATTGGTTTGGAAAGCGGAAATGCGAATCAGAGTTGTTTATTTTGGTGCTAAACTTTTTGGAAGAATTGATTCTCCACTCCCTTGAAAACGACTACAAAGGTATCGATAGATATATTAATCAAATTGTTAATGAATTGAAAGAGGTAATCAGTAAAGAAAATTTAGTTAATTCTGAAGTTCATAAAACTAGTCTCAAAGTTCTCGAAACGATCGTTTCTAATCTTCGCATGGAAGAACATAAGGTTAAACTAGATCCTTTTCCAAATAGACCCTATTATACAAAACTACGACAAATTATTAATGAGAGAAACAAGGGGGATTCAGGTCCAGTTATTTACGAGAAGTTTAAAAATTTCCTTGAGCTAAAGTCTGATAATCCCGATCAAATCGACACTTTATTGGAGTTTATTCATAACAAGCGAAAGGAAATTGTGGAACGATTCGTATTGGATAGTGGATTTCAAGAGTTGTTATCAAGGGTTTACGTTAAACTCTTAGATTTAGTTCGAACATCCGAAAATATGGATGCCGCTAAATGCCTGAGTATATTGGGTCCATTAAATTTAGGTCCCTTTTTTAAATCGACAGATCAGAAAAATGAAAAGGCAAGCCAAGAAAACATTTACAAGGATTTATGGCTCATTTTACAGCAGTATATGCAAGACTATAACTTAAATATATCTATAATTGCAACTAAAACTTGTTCATTTATCTTCTCTCAGTTTGTAAGCTACAAAAACTTTATAGAGAGAATTTCTAACGAACATGACAGACGACTGATTTATTGTCTCAGAGAATATGGCTTAAAATGTTTATCCAACGACTTTCAAACGGAATTGGACGGGGTGAATACAGAAATTAGATTAACTGATACTTTCTCCGATTGGACCCTAAAGCTAACATTAAAAATTTCTCGGCAAGACAGATTTTTTTCATATTTTACAAAGTTGCTGATTGAATCGGAAACACTTAGACTAAAGATTCTTCCTTACCTACTTCATAATGTTTTTTCAAATTACAAGAAAAAAGAAAACTTAGCGGAGTGTAACGGCATCTTCCGCGACACTCTTCAAAGCACGGTGGACTACTTGAGTAAAGCGAAATGCGTGTTAAACATTTTTAGTTATGTTACTGCTCAAAGCTACTTAGAAAATGTTCAACAAGATTTTGAATATTTAAATATCGATTACAAGTTCCTAGCCAAAACTGCTTACAAATGTGGAATGTTTATGGATGCTATACGTTATTTAGAAATATGGTACAATTTAAACAATTGTACTATTAATTGTAATGAAGAACAGGATTACTTTTGTAATAAGAACATATCACAGTCTTTAAATGACAAATCAACAGAAAATCTACTGTTAAATTGCTTTTTAGCTCTAAAAGATGACTATGCAATTTACGCTTTCCGAAATACCTCTTCGCTAGAGGCAAGAGTTCATTCCTTTGAGAAGGAAGGAAACTTTCACAAAGCTTTAGTTTTATATAATTCCATGTCACCAAATGATACATATCGAATTGCAGAAACATTAAATAAAATGTGCCTTCCTGGAGTACTTGGTGACTATTTAAAACAAGCTAACATCGAGTCTGATGAGAAATTAAAATCTCTTCAAATGGAATCTGCCTGGAAGTGTGGACTTTGGGATAACATACCAAACGAAAAGAGCGATAATTTCCATTGGAATTTGGCTCAGGCCCTAAAGAATGTTAAGGATAAAGTTTCCAAAACTGACTATTTGCATTCAGCATTAAAATTGACCGTTGATGAATTCAAACAAAATTCGCTTGAACATTGTTGTATTCCTTATGAATTTTTATCGCGATTGCATTGCTTATACCTCGTTGAACAAGGTGAGAATGCTATCGTATATCAAGATTCGCTGACCAAATCACCTTTCGAAGTTCTGGAATCAATTTATAGTGTTAGGAAAATTTTATCGAATGATTTGGAATCAGTTTTACAAATAGCCAAGCTATCTGAAAGATGCCGGAGATTTGATTTTGCAGAAATGCATCTGCAAAAAGCTCTTCAGGGAAAACTAGAAAATACCGATGCTTTTCAGTTACGATTACGACAGGCTAAAATATGGTGGGCCAAAGGTGAAAGGGAAATGGCTTGCGATAAAATAGAAGGAATTCTCAATGATTTAAAAATTGAAAATCAGTCTCCATCTCTTCAATTTTTAAGGGCTAGAAGTCTGCTGGAGGCAGCAAAATGGCTTGTGGAAACTCGTACAGAAATGTCATCTGTGATTATAGATCAATATTTAAGAAAAGCAGCTTCTATAATGGAGTCATATGGTGATATTAAAGGAAAAAAGCAGGCCTATCAAACTTTAGCAGAATTTGCCGATGATCATTATGTTGAATTATACGAATACACTAGATCATCTGCATTTGAAATGAAAAAAATACTTTTACAGCAGGCAAATGAAAGCTTACAAACCCATTTGGCTGATACCTCAAGTCGCTTTAAGCGCGTTCTTAATAAACAGAGAGAACTCGATACAAATGAAATAGAAAGACAAAATACAGAAAAGAGAAATACGCTATTGCTCGCTTTGAAAAACTATGCAGAATGTTTACGACTTAGACAAGATAAAGACTTGAAAATTTTTCGTTTTGTTTCCTTATGGTTTGACACGCTCGAACATGATGATGTCACTAAGCAGGTTTGATGTTATTTCTCTTCAGTCGAAATCAGTTAAAAAAAGACTATATGAATGTGTGTTTATATTTTCATAGGTTGCCCCCTACTTGGATGAAATATCAACGGATATTTTTTTACCCGTGTTTTATCAGATGGCAGCACGACTGAATTCGAATTCTAGGGTTTTCAAAACAGTTTTGTTTAGTTTAATTAAGAGATGCGTCGAAGAGCAGCCCTATCGTACAGTTTATATAATACTTGCTCTTCGTAATGCTCATATGGATGACGGAGAATCTTCTCAGGATGCTCTTGTTACCACTTCCGAACGCTTGATTAAGCAACTAAAACAGACAACAAGCACTATCGCGAAACTGATAGAGAACACGCAAAGGCTATGCGAAGGCTACATACAATTGGCAAATTACAAGGAATTTGATAAGTCTTCAAAGAAAGTTGCATTACCTGCATCTCTCTTAATCTCCAAATTACGTAATCTAGATATGGCTGCAGTCCCAACTATGAACATTGAATCCATGGGATCTCAAGTTATCACCGTTCGATGTTTTGAAAAGAATTTTTCTTTAGCGGGGGGTATTAATGTTCCGAAAATCATAACCTGCCTGGGGAGCGATGGGAATAGTTATCAGCAATTAGTGAAAGGAAATGATGATTTAAGACAGGATGCTGTTATGCAACAACTTTTTGGAGTGGTTAATCGCTTAGTTCAAGTTAGAAACATATCTCAATCTTGCGTTGCTACGTACAAGATTGTTCCGCTTTCCCAAAAGTCTGGAGTTTTAGAGTGGTGTAAAGACACAATACCTCTTGGTACATTTTTAGCGGACCCAAAAACCGGGGCGCATATGCGTTATAGACCACAAGATTTTTCTGCGCTAGAATGTCGAAAAAGACTTCAAAAAAGTCATAGAAGTTCAAATGAGGAAAAGTTTTCGGTTTTTATGACAGTTTGTAAAAACTTTAAACCCGTTATGCGTTATTTTTTCTTTGAAAATTGGAAAACAGGTGAAAGTTGGTGGCTTAAGCAATCAGCATATATTCGAAGTATAGCAATTAATTCAATGGTTGGATATATAGTTGGGTTGGGCGACAGGCACGTTCAGAATATTCTTATTAATAAAATTACCGCTGAAGTTGTTCACATAGATTTTGGAGTTGCCTTTGAGCAAGGCATGATTTTACCGACACCAGAAACTGTTCCCTTTCGACTAACTCGAGATATTGTTGATGGTATGGGTATAACAGGAGTCGATGGAGCGTTTACAAAGTGTTGCGAAGAAAATTTATCTGTATTGAAAGAATTCTATAGAACTTTATTATGCGTTGTTGAGGTTTTCTTACACGATCCACTCTGTGATTGGAAACTTTCACCAACTCAAGAAAAACAATTAGAAAGAAGTGAAATCTCTTCAACCAATAAACAAGTAGCGGAAAGAGCCTTATTACGTATTCGGCAAAAGTTACAAGGCACAGAAAACGGTGTTTCTTTAAGCGTAAAAGGACAAGTCCAGATGCTTATTAAACAGGCAATGAACCCTCGAAATCTATCAAGACTCTTCCCCGGCTGGCAACCATATCTTTAAACAAAGTGTTAAAAAAAATGTTGTTTTTCCATGTATCGCTAAACGATTGATTTTTTTTTTAAAATAAGATACTTTCTACAACACGTTTGTCTTGAACAGAAAAAAAAACAAATAAAATATAATCTATTAGCTGGCTTATACATTACATTCCCCTATACGCTTTATACTATACTATAAAATCTATATACTGTATATATGCTATATATTAATACATTTATTCATCACTTCTGATTCAGAAAGCCGAAATAGCTAAAAAAGAATATTGGAAAACTCAAAAATCTTATTCCGTTATACGCATATTTATAAGAAGAACGCGATGACTATACGAAAAATTTATTGATGAATTCTTGAACAGTCACAGATCTGAGAAGGAGAGAGAAATAAAAACTCGACTATTAATCGTTAAAGCAGATAGTCAATTTTTTTTACATAAGAAAAAATTTAAGAAATCATTTAAATTTCGATAAGTTTGAACATTAATGGCGCACGCGCAACACACTTTTAATTTACATTTATCGATTATAAGCGGGATGCTGTTTGAATCAATCAACTTGGATTGACTGATTAGTCAGATGTATCCACACCGCAAGATGAGACTGTTATATTTATTTTGTCTAAATTTAAATTTTTACTATTTTTAGTTGTTTCTATTGTGATTTTTTTTTACATTTGGATAATGATTAAGCATTTGGACACAGTATTGTTATTTTTCATTATTTTTTCAACGGATAACTGCTTTTCCCAACAAACGGTTAGACCCTTTCCATCGTTGAGAAACTTGGCAAAAACGAAAAAAATTTCTACCGTACCTTCGGATGCAACTTGTGGTTCTGGTCAACGAGAAGCTTTTTGTCTTAGCTCAGTCATCGAAGAATCAATTACTACGTGTAAACAAGGATTTTGCTCTCAGGCTTGTCCTTATAGGTCATCTATTGTAAAAGACTATTTAGACTTGTTCAAAGCATCCGGCTTTGATCTTTGCGTAAGTAGAACAAAAAAAACAAAAAAGAAGATACTTTAACTAAATGTAAACTTAAAAAAACTGTTCCTTAACAATTTAACAAATGATCAGGTAACGGCAGATACAGTAAATAAACGCCCCAATAGTAATTCGGGTTTCTCGGCCGTTTTTAAAGATGATCCCAAGTGCACCCTAATACCAGCGGATACAATTTTAATTCAGACAACAGCATCCTTTACATTTACATCATGGGCATGGTTGAACAGCGACGTTTCTGGGTAGGTAGAGGGCTATTTTCTATTATATATGTTTTTTATACTTCAATAGGGCAACACCTGGCCACGCGTGCATAGTTTATTCAGGGTGAATCAGCCTCATTTCGCATATGCTGTATTTTTTTTTATTATTATTCTTACTTTATAGATTTTGTCATAAAATTGTTGTCATATTTTCCCTTTTATTTAATAATTATAATAGAGTATTTTATATAATCTATCTTTATTAATATTTTTCAATTTGCTCTTCTTGTTTTTCTGTTTTTTAGAAGCTTGTTTGAGAAGTACGATCATAATAGTAGAGAAACAATCATTAAGATTACTATATCGCCAACAACATTGATATTTACTTATAAAACGTCAACTTCGATCAAAGCATTAAACTTTCCTATTCAATTAGAAAAGAAAAAATGGACATTCATCGCTTTACAGGTTTATATGATTAAAATTCAACTTTACTAATGTAGCTATTGTCGATATATAGTCCAATTTCTTCTTACTTTTTACATTACGCATGGGAATTGGAACTGCCGATGGAAATTTTAATTATTTAAATAGAAATTATATATGTTTCTTTCCTTATATTGTTTTCTTTTTATTAAATAGGTCTACGAATTATCCGCTAGTTTGTTTATCAATGGAGGATTAGATTTATTTTCGGCAACTCAAACAATATTCCTCGATAGTTCTATTGTTGATAAAGGTGGAACTAGTAAAATTGGTCAAAATTCTATGGGAAATGAACAATTTGTGGGTCGATTACAAGATATTTATTTTTATCATCAAGTTCTTACAAATAGAGAGATTATTGAATTATATACGGGTAAATTACCAGAAATTCCTACTCAGACCAAGTGTCGTTGTCCTCCAGATTATCCAAGGGTTAAACCTTTCTTCGATCATTTATGCATCAAGAATGGATTTCCTGACGATACAAGTAATTAATTTTTCCATTAGAATATTCCTTTCTAATTCTATTTGTATTTTTTCTTTGTTTTTTTCAATCAATTCCATCGTTATTCAAGCCAATACCAAGTTAAGAATTAACGAATTCGCTAGGCCTACCTCTTATATGACTGATGGAAATAGTAACTCCTTTTGGATATCTACCTTTATAGAGGATGTTACTATAGAGGTACATTTGGGTGACAGTTTCGAGGTTTTCTACGTGATTTTGCAGTTTTATAGTCCGTTGCCAAAAGTAATAACAATTGAAAAAAAGTCAACGGCAGATTCTTTAGTTTGGACCAAGTGGCAACTGTACTCCTATGATTGTTTGAAAGTGTTTGGTGTGCCTAATAACGGACCTCTTAGTGTACCAGATGCTGTAAATTGTTTGCAATTGGGCACGTAAGTATTTCTCTACACAATAATCAAGCTATTATAAAATGTATAAATTCGATTATCGGAAACAGTCGAGGCTTAACAACTCCTTTATCTAAGGGAAGCATCACATTTGGTCTTCTTGCGTCAGAACCTGTTGCTAGGCCGGGATATAATGACTACTACGGTACACCTTCGCTCTTTAGTTTTGTTAAAGCGGCAGCAGTTCGAATAAGAATGCAAGAGCATTATTCAGTAACCAATAAAAGACACAAGTACTATGGAATCTCCGAATTTATAGTAACCGGAAGATGCGACTGCAACGGACACGCCTCCACGTGTGACATGACTAAAAAACCCTACGTCTGCTCTTGTGAAACTTCGAGTTTTACAGAAGGACTTAAGGTCACTAACCCCTCTATTTTTATCAAAAAGTTCTTTTTGTGATTTTACGAATAATTTTGCAGTGTGACAGATGCAAGGCCATGTATAATAAGAAACCGTTTAGGCGTGGTAATCAAAGGTTGGCCTACAATTGTCAACCTTGTGAATGTCATTCTCATGCTACATCTTGCGTTTATAATGCAACCGTCGACCCATTTCCAAACGATTTCGAATTAGGTGATGGAGGCGTTTGCGTAAATTGCCAACATTTTACCGAGGGTCAGCATTGTGATACTTGTAAAATGGGATATTTTCGACCGATTGGAAGGAGTTTATCGGCAACAAACGTTTGCGAATTATGCAATTGCTTCCCTGCTGGCGTAGAACAGTCGAATCTAGAATGCAAAAAAGTTGGCGGTCAATGCAGTTGTAAACAGAATGTTGGTAAACGCCAATGTAATGAATGTAAAGATGGTTATTACAATTTAAGATCTGCTAATCCTTTGGGCTGTGAACCGTGCTCCTGCGATAAAAGGGGGGTCATAGATGCTAATTCTGGCACGTTACCAAAGTGCAGCCCTGAAAAAGGCTCTTGTAAATGTAAAGCAAACGTTATGGGTAAAATTTCAGTAAACAAAAATATATTATCTTCTAATTTACTATTGTTCTAAATTATAAACAGAGAAAAGATGTGACAAATGTAAATACGGTTATTACAATTTAGACGCTTCCAATCCATCGGGTTGTAGTCCTTGCAATTGCGATCCCCTAGGGTCAACTAGCCAATTTTGCGATCCCATAACGGGGAACTGTAAATGTAAAGATCGATTCGGAGGCCGAACTTGCTCTGATTGTTCTACTGGTTATTATGATAAATTGAACGGGTGTAAAGCCTGCAGTTGTTCAACACTGGGCTCTAAGAGCTCCATTTGCGATACCTCAACTGGTCAATGCAATTGTAAAACTTTTGTTGAAGGAAGGGCCTGTGATGCGTGTAAAACGGGTTATTTCAACCTTGGTAGTGATCCACATTTTGGTTGTGCAGGGTGTGAATGTGTTCCTGAAGGAACGAGAGGTTCTGCCAGTGTATGTGATAAAGTTACGGGAGGATGTGCGTGCAAATTGTTCGTTCAGGGTAGGACATGTAATAAATGCACACCGAACGCTTATGGACTATCAGGCTCAAAGTTTCTGGGTTGTACATTATGTAATTGTGATACGACTGGAACAGTTAATGGAGACATCCTGACAAGCGATGATATACCGTGCGATGATACATCTGGTCAATGTGCTTGCCTAAGTAAAAGACTGGGAAGAAAGTGTGATTCCTGCGAGAGTGGCTACTACCGAGGTAAAAAGAATGGAGAGGGCTGTCTGCTTTGCAATTGTTTGACAATCACAACTGAAGTTGGTACAACATGCAACGAACAAACTGGCCAATGTGCGTGCCTAGCTGGAAAAGGTCTTGGAGGAAGAACATGCAATGCTTGTATTCCAAAGTTTTACGGTTTCAAATTAGATAGCTCTGAGCCGTGTAAACCTTGTAATTGTCATTCGGCCGGTTCTATCAGTGAGGTTTGCGATTCCCAAAGCGGTCAATGTGAATGTAAATTATTAACACAAGGTAGAGATTGTAGTGACTGTAAACCAGGTTCAAGTCGTTTAGATGCCACTAATCCGGCGGGATGTAGTAAAGCACCCTATCAACAACCTCCTCCAGACGCTGAGGCACTATCGCCAACTTCTCTAAAACTAACCTGGACACCTCCAGACGAACCAAATGGCGTTATATCAAGATATGTTGTATATCGAAATGAGAAAATGATAGCAAACACATCTGCAACGGAATATGTTGATACTGACTTACAGCCATACACTATTTACTCTTACGTAGTTGAAGCAATAAATGTTGCTGGAAGTACCAGGAGTACAACAGTGTTACATCGTACTCCTGCCGCTGTGCCATCAAATGATATAATCTTGTCCATATTTGATGTTACTTCCTCACGTGCCACCTTTAGTTGGACGGAACCAAGCTCGACCAATGGTCCTATCTCGCTCTATAGACTAATGGCTAAGCTTGACGATAAAGAGGTATGTTTTTATAAATGGTTATCTAAGACAACACATTGTTTTTATCTGTTTTTAGATTATATTATGGTCTGGTAACTCTCTTAAAGCAACTGTTAAAACGCTCCAGGCATATTCCAGATATTATGTAACGGTATCTGCTTGCACTTTAACGGGATGTAACAAAACAGAGCCTGTTGAATTAATAACAAGAGAAGCTGAACCTTTAAGTCAGCCTCTTCCAAACGTTGTGCCAAAGTCGGCAACATCGTTTCTAATTGAGTGGAAACCTCCAAAGTTTCCTAACGGTATAATTATCGGGTTCGAAGTATTTCAAAGATGTGCGGATAAATCAAGAAGTGAATGCAAACAGCATAGAATATTCTCGACAAAGGGCCAATATGATCCACTAGCTCCTCCAGGTGGTCAGAGTTCACTTCCTCCACCAGCTATGAATTATACTGTGACTGATTTAACATCTTTCTATACATATGAGTATCAAATTTTATCTGAAAATGCAATAGGTAAAACGGCTAGTGAATGGATTTCAGCAACAACTCTTCAAAACATTCCCATCAATATGTCTCAACCAATAATAACTGCTTTAAACGAAACAGCACTAAACATTACTTGGTCCGAACCAAAATTGAGTATAGTAAGAGGAATTGTTGTCAATTATAAGTTATATTTTAAAAGTGAAAACGATCCGGAAAGAAACCCCTTCGCTCCTCCTTTCCTATGGATTGTAAGTTTTTAAGTACCTCATTCAAGTGGACTATACTAAACATATAAATATTTTACTTTTAAGCTTGTATTTCAAGGTTCTTCTTCGGATTTCACTTTTGTTACAGGAGGATTACAACCATATGAGAAATATTATTACATTGTAGAAGTTTGTAATTCGGTTGGCTGTGCTAATAGTTCATCAACTGAAGGATTAACTGCTGCAGCTGCTCCAGAACAATTAGAAAGACCTATTGTGAACGGATTAAATTCAACAGCTATCAAATTAGAATGGAAATTGCCTTTAAAACCAAATGGACCTAATCCAAGATATGTGTTAAGACGATTCATTCCTTCTTTTAATCAGCCTCCACAGCGAGTAGTTAAAGGAACAAGATTCCCTGGTACGGGATATTATGAGTTTCCACCAGATGTTGTTCCGCAGGGAGTTGGTTTTCTTGGTTTTGATTTATGGTTTCGAACAAATTCGCCTTTCGGTTTGATTATTGGTGCCTTATCAGGTGGTAACCAAGAAGAGATGTTTGCTGTTCAACTAGTTAGGAAAAGGCCGTGGTTCATCTTTGATCCTCAGGATTGTTTGTCAACAGTAACACCAACGAACGACGAAGGTCTTCCGTACTATGATGGCAAATGGCATCATCTGTATGCGGTAAGAGAAGGTAAGCGAGGTTATTTGAGAATCGATGGAAGGTGGATTGGAGAAAGAACTGCAAATTGCGGTCCGGGTAGTGGAAGTGTCATTGGTAATAATACGGGCGTCTACGTAGGAGGCTTACCGGACGATTTTGTTATGAGAAGGAAACTAAACCTCAAAGATGATAGAGAAAACGTAAGTAAATATACAGTATATATTATATATCTTACATATAAAAATGAATCTCTGTCGTAGTAATTAGAAGCTTTTAGCTTAATTACTCATTCAATAACATTGCATTAGACTTTTAATTGTTTTAATGAACGTTAGTCATATTGAAGACGCGCAATAATGGATAACACGAGTAATATTTTTATAACGTGAAAGCTATGTTAAGCATATTTCTACTGAAGCAAATCCATAAAGTTAATAACTCCCCTGTTCCGATTGACTCTTTTAGCACGCAACTCTTCGTACAGAGGTTAGACTCTGTTTAATGCACTACTTAACAAAGAATATATAGCCTTGTTAACACAAATATCAGTTCTAATTGAACGTCATGAATTGTACTTAAAACCAAAACGATGACTAATCACACTCATTCATCTTGAAGCATACTCAACGATTGATTATTAAATATAAGTCATACTAAAATATCTAAATATGTCAACTAACTAGTTAAGCTATGTAACGTTATATGCTCTTTATGTAACCCTGTGGTATTTAATAGATTTTCTTGTTGACCTAATTTCCCCCTGGGATCATGCACGTGTTTCTTTAAAAAAAAAATTTAAAAAATCATGTCCTAATTGACTTTCGAAATTGGAGACGGAGCGTCTTGGGCTTCTATAGGACAATGTCTAATTCAATTTCCCACCATTAAGAACACGGAACGGAAATCGGATGTCTTCTACTCAGTAATTTCCGTTTTAAAAGATCGGTGTACTACCTCTTTTAATGGACTTTTTATAGACTTACCAAAAAAGTAGTTTCACCTTTTCTTTCTTTGTTATTATATAAAGTCGTCTACTTTATGAAGGAGTAGGCCTAATGATAATTATAGAGACAGTACAGTGTACACAGTATTCAACTAAAAAAAGACTATATAGTTCATTTTATCTATTTTTAAAAGAGTATATAGACATAACTGTAGTTTTTTTCTTTCTCTTTATATTTGTATAGCTTCAGCAAGCACACTTTTCCGGTTGCATTCGGGATGTAAAAATTCTGTTCAGGAAGACGCCTACGGAGGATTGGCGTCTACTTGATTGGAACAATGCGATAAGGCATCAAAAAGCTGCGCTTAATTGGGAAGGCTGTCCCGAATATCTACCAGATAACGAGCAATCACGATCCTTTCATTTTCTTGGAACTGGTTATGTATCATTTAAAAAAGAACTCTTTCCTAATGCCACAGATTGGATTGTTGAATTGAATATAGTATCCCGAAAGAAAAATGGTCTTGTTTTCTTTATTCATTCAAAGGCTAGTTACGTATTACTTGAATTGTTTGATGGTTTTCTAAATTATAAATTTAAGAACGATAAGGTAAAAAAACAAATAGAAATTTAATCAAAATAAATCTCTTCCTCGTCCTTCGTCCTCAGATTTATCAGAATATAACCATGAAAGAGAAATATCTATGCGACGGTGGTTCATATTTACTAAGGTTAAGCCTATTAAATGGCAATCTTCAAGTTAGAATAACTGGTGTAGCATCAGTCAGGAAATTCGTGCCAGTTATTAATCCTCCAACATTCTTTAATTCTCCAATATACTTTGGTGGTATTAAAGAGAACTCAGCTGCAGAGAAATTTCTAAAGGAGAATGAAATGGATTACGTTCTGGAAAATCATTTTTACGGATGCATGCAACAATTGACTATTAATTATAAACGTATTAGCGCAGATTCGGCTTTTGATTCATTAAATGTTAATTTAGACACCTGCCCACCAATTAATAGCAAAAAAAGGGACAATTCTACATGCAATATATCTACAACAGAAGTAATATACAATGGTACAAATACTTCAGCAATTGATTTCAACTTACAACCTTTCTCTGGTAGGATTAATTTACCTTTTACCTATTCTATGTCATTATTTATTATGTTTTTGTTCTAAATAATTAGAATATTTATATCAAGTTGAAGCTATTAATAACGAGGGTAGCACTAAAACTGAATGGACTAGAGGTAGAACAAAAGAGTGGTGTACGTAATAGTATTCTTTATATTTTATACAAACTTTTCATTTAGTATTTTCTTTCTTCTCTATTATATTTTTATTTACAGATCCTGAAAATGTTGAAAAACCTGCTATCTTAAAGGCTATTAACGGTTTTACAATATTAGCTGAATGGACGAGACCTGAAAGTTTCACTGGTCGTATTCTTTATTACTTGATTAAAGCTTACATAGTGAAACCATTAAGTCCTACATTTGCTGTTGATAAGCTCAATAGTCCATTTGAGGCACGATTAGAAATAATAAGCGGGGAGGAAATTCTTTGGGTTAACGTGACTGATGTCATTCCAGACTATCGGTACAATGTCACTGTTACTGCATGTACTGTTGTTGGCTGTATTGAAAGCGATGAAGGTGTGGAAATTGACACGCCTGAGGAGGCACCATCAAATGTTTCTCCACCGGAACTTGTTAGCGTTCAAAGTGATTCTATATCCATTAAATGGCTTCAACCAAAGAGACCAAATGGTCATTTAACTGGTTATATATTGTATAATAATGGGAAGAGAGTATATAGTGGAAACGAGAGGAGTTTTACTTTAACAGGTCTTCAAGTTTATGCAACGTATATTATACGGATTGAAGCTTGTACAAAAGTAGGTTGCACATCAAGCGCAGAATTTAAAGTTGGAACCGCTCAACTACCTCCATCACAACCTGATAAACCTATCCTCACAATTTTGGGTACCAATCGTTTAAGAGTCGAATGGAAAACACCTACGCAATTAAATGGAGTACTAAATCGTTACCTAGTTTACTTATCGACTCAGCCAAACCTTAATGGGAGTTTAGCCTATAATAGTACGAATTTATTTACGTTTACCACATTAACAAATTTGGAAGGAGGAATATTATACTATGTCAGAGTTGGAGCATGTACATTTGGAGGTTGCTCTATAAGTCAATCGTCATCCGCGAAAACGGAAGAAAGCGCTCCCGATGGAATAGTTAACCCGAACGTTACTTCTCCATCTTCAAGCGAGCTAAATGTTACGTGGTCACCTCCGTCTTTAACGAATGGCGTTATAACTGAATATAGGTTATATCATAACGAAATAAGAGTTTTTAACTCTTCATCGTCACTTTTTTATCTTATATCCGGTCTTCAACCTTATACACTTCACTCTCTGAGACTAGTTGTTTGTACTATCAAAGGATGCGCTTCAAGTGACGTCGTCGAGGTAGGATTTGTATTACAATGTCGCGCTGTAAAAGCACCGTATAATTGAATAACATTATTATACAAATTCAGATTAGAACTCAAGAAGCCCCTCCAATCGGAACAGTAGGACTGGAGTTAACAGTCGCCGATAGTAGATCAGTAAATATAAGATGGACACGTGTTCCGGTTCCCAATGGTAAAATAACCTATACTACATTCTTTGACGGACTGTATTATAGAGATATTGCAAATTGGAATTACTCAACGGAGAGGGAAAGAAGATCATTGTACACTTCACAGGAATTCAATAAATTAACGAAAATCGAAGGATTAGTACCATATTCGATATATATAGTTCAGGTGAATGCATCCAACTCCAAAGGTTTCGTAATTAGTAATACACAAACTGCCCAAATGCCAATGAGTTGTACGTATACGAATCCAAAATCAGATATATATATTTGATGTCAATAATAATTCTATATATTTCTTTTTGTACTAAAAAAAAAGATCCTGACGGAGTAAAAGAACCAACCTTAATATCATCAAATAGTAGAACTGTCAATGTAATTTGGACCAAAGTTGGACGATCGAATTCCGATGATGAGCCACTTTTCCAACTAGAATTTAAGGCGAAATTACCTAATTTTCCTCCTATAAAGTATAATTTTGTGTTTTTATTTTTTTTAAGATGATAGTTTATATTGATTCTCTGCCATTATAGACTTTTTCCCGAGCCGTCCACTTCTACCTCCTTTATAAAAGATAATTTAGAACCCTTTAGTCAGTACGAATTCCGCATTATTGCGTCCAATAATTACGGTATAAGAGCCTCGGAATGGGCGTCTATAACAACTAAACAAGACAGTAAGTGGCTTTTATCAAATTTCATGACGTAATCGATAAACGTTGAAATTTTTTTTATAATCTCTAGAGCCAACGGGCGTCGACCCACCAATGATTAGGAATATTAAAGCAAGATCTGCCTTTATAACTTGGTCACCTCCCCTCAATTCTAATGGTATTATATCTGAATATGTCATTTATGCCAATAACAAATCTATTGCGTCCGTAAGTAAATAAAACACAACTATCTAATGATAGACTGATATTTATATAACAAAATATTCCCTACAGTTTAATGGTAATACCACATCATCCCAATTAATTGATGCTTTTCTACCCAATAGTAATTATATAATAAAAGTTAAGGCTTGCACAGTAGCTGGATGTACTGTAAGTGGACCGTCAACTGAGTTTAAAACACTCGAGTCACCTCCGGAAGGAGTAGACGCTCCTAAACTAACTTCTCCAACCCCTACCTCTATCTTAATAAGTTGGGAAGAACCAAAGCAACTAAATGGTGTTCTCAAAGCCTACGTTTTAGAGAGACGTCTTCAGAAAGATCCTGGAACAATAACTGTCGTCAAGACGTTCAGTCAGCAAGATAATAAGCAATATATCGATAGTTCTAAAAGTATAATGCCATTTACCACTTATGAATATCGTATAAAAGTGTCTAATGAGGCTGGTGAAACGGAAAGTACGTGGTCTTCCATAAGAACAAAACCGTCAAGACCAAGTGATGTTAGGCCGCCAAACGTTTTCGTATTATCTCCAACAAGTGTCAACGTATCGTGGATTTCACCATTAGTTTTAAATGGTCAATTAGAGTTATTTATCATTAAATTTCCTCTTCCAAGAATTGAAATTGCTAATGTATCCATTTCTACAATAATTGTAAAGGATTTGATACCATTTACAACATATTCTATTACGATAATTGCTTGTACAGGTGTTAATTGTTATTAATCATATGAGAACCTCTACTCAGTACTATTTCTCTATTTTTAGATGGTGGCTGTACAGAAAGTCAACCAACTGTGATAAGAACTTTTCCCTCTGGCCCCAAACTTCAAACTCCTCCTAAGGGAAATCCTATTTCTCAAACATATATATCTGTGATTTGGTCTAAACCTTTACAACCAAATGGTCCATCACTTGAATACGAATTAGCTCGAATGAAAATAAGACAACCTCTTAATCGTACGCTTTTATATTTGCCAGAAAATAAGTAAACTAATCTGCTGTCTTTTTCATTCTCCTCTCTTTCTATACAGCATCGTCAGAAGGAATAAATGGCTGGTCAACTATTTACAGAGGCAATTCAACTTACTACGAAGACAGAGGACTAACCCTATTCACTACTTATCAATATAGGGTGACCTCGTATAATAATTATGGTCATGTGATTAGTTTACCATCGGATGAGGTAACAACTTTCGGCGGAACACCTAAGAAACCAGCAACCGTAAAAGCAGTGGCTATAAGCTATATTTCAATCCAAGTATCTTGGATAATACCAGGTGGATAAACAAAGAGAATTATAATATGTTGTATATCTAATATACTTGATATATTATAGAACTAGTTGATTTACAAGGAGAAATAATATCTTTTGAAGTTGAGATTACTTCTTCAACATTCGCAAAGACCGAAAAATTGGATTCATCTCAGTCGTTCGTTCTTATTGAAAACCTTGAACCCAGTAGAGATTACAGCGTAATAGTAACATATACAATAAACGGTGGCGCAAGTATATCGAGTCCTGCTGTTCAAGTAACAACCCCTGAAGGGAGTAAGTAAAATCAAATATAAGGAAGATAAAGCTATTATATTAATTTAATATAAAACTTTCTAATTTTTTTAGAACCTGAAGGTTTATCACCTCCTATTATTACAACGGCTAGTGATACGAGCCTAAGACTTAGTTGGACTGCTCCAACAACCTCTAATGGCGCTATTAGCGGTTATTATATTTATAAGAATGAGGAAAAAATCGATCCATCTATAAAAGTTCCATCTACTTACCTTCTAACAAATCTTACACCTTTTATTGTGTATACTATAGTTGTAAGAAAAATAATTTAGATAATTGAATTTAATTAGTAAAATTTTAAATAATTAAATATTTAGCTGGAAGCTTGTACTCGTTTTGCCTGTACCAAGGCAGAACCTGTAAGAAGGGCTACTATAGAATCTCTGCCAATGGGTATAGATCCTCCAACAGCAACCGTCTTTAATTCTTCAACTATTCTAATCAAATGGAAGTCCCCTTCTTCCCCCAATGGAGTAATTTCCGGTTATAAATTATTCAAAAAATCTTATATTCCTTGTTCGGAAAAACCGACAACTAACAAACCTCCAATTAAACCCTGCTCCTATGTGAAATGCTCTCTTCAAGAGAATATTTGTGGACGCCTATGTTATACGGGGCAAAAGGTTTTTCTTTCCTAATATCCTACATGAATGAATTTATATTGAATTTTCTCCCCTTTTTCCGCCAGACCTGCTGTTCCGGAGTTTTGTACGATAACAAGAAGGATTATGTTTGCTGTGGTGTCAAGTATGTGAGGCGCTTGGCTACTGCAAATTCAATTTGCTGTGGTGACACTTTATATGAAAAGAGAACTGGATTTTCCTGCTGTGGTAATCGATATGTTAGACTCAGTTCAGATGATATTTGTTGCATTGACCCGAAAGAAGATCGGGTCGAAGTTGGATTGGGCGATACTTGCTGTTCATCAATTCCATTCTCTTCTAATTCTTCTCAGATATGCTGCGAAGGCACATTTTTAGAAGCTCATTCAAAAAGCTGTTGCGGTGGTCAAGCGATCGATAAATCGCAGGGTTTGACTTGCTGTGGTAACGGAATTACAGGTAAGTGGTATGAAAAAGACATCTCAAAGTCATGCTGCTCCTCTGAATATACAACAACTGCTTTAATGGTCTGCTGCCCTAATGCTTATGGGTCAGCTAAGCTCTATACTTATAAGACAGTAGAAGATAAGGCGTCTGCAAATGAAAAGTGCTGTGGTGACAATTTAATAGCAGCCGATAAATCTTGTTGCGGTTCGACGCCTTTTGACGCTTCAATTCAAGTTTGCGCCGAAAAACCCACTATTGGCAGTGGACAGAGAGACTGTGGGAAGAATTCAATATGTTCTCTCGCGCAAGCGCCCAATGCATATTGCGATGAATGTAACTTTGATAGATCGAATTATAAGTGCGTCACATACAATGAGGACTACAGTGAGAGTCCAGAGCCAGACGATACGGCCGATACAAAATTATGCCTTTCGGATCCCGTCCTTTTATACGAAGGAGATGAGCTAGAATATACAGATTCCAACCTCTTCCCATTCACAAAGTATCAATACGCAATTAGAGCTGAAAATAGTATAGGAGGAACTGAGAGCGATTATCGCATCGCTACAACAAAATCTTCACTTCCTGAGGGAGTGGACCCCCCAGTGGCCAAAGTTAATAAGGAGAATGTCGATATTATATTACTAACTTGGAGAAAACCGAGTAACCCTAACGGACAAATCACTTACTATCTAATAAAGCGGAATAATGTTGAGATGTTTAAGACTACTAGCAAACAAGAATTCACTGACAATAACGGTATAGAACCCTACAAAACGTACGTTTACACCCTAACTGTTTGCAACATAGCGGGATGTAGGACAAGTTCTCCGGTAAATGTTTCACTTGCTAATTGTTTTCCTTCAGCTAATATAATAATTGCCATATTTCATACTTAAAAAGATACAAGTTGCCACACTACAAAGTAGACCAGAGAGTGTTTTCCCTCCAAAAGTCGCCAATTTAACGTCTAGATCAATCCAATTACAGTGGCAGATGCCAGCTAAATCCAACGGAATCTTAATGAAATTTGTGGTCTATGAACTAACTACTGTCACATCAACGGTTATGTCACCTAATGCTAAACTTCTCATTCTGGACGGTAAGTTCCTGCTTCTAAAGACGGTTTCCTTATTACTTTAAGACTTTATCCGTTTTTTATATAGATCTTACTCCTTATACAACCATGAAATTCAGTTTAGAAGCCTGTACAGAGGTTGGTTGTACAAATAGTACATTTCTTGATGTTACTACTCTTGAAGATAGACCAGACGATATACTTCCCCCAAGGCCATTTGCCCTTTCTTCGTCATCCGTGAAAATCGACTGGTCGCCACCCGAAAAGCCTAATGGTATTATTACGCAGTATACACTGCTCAGATCGGTTTCAGCTGATTCCATTCTGGTTGCAATATACGAAGGCTTAAATTTGCAGGTTATTGATAAGATATCATCCAAGGGTCAAACAGTAAATTATGTTATAGAAGTTTCTACTGTTGTCGGAGCTACTAGGTCAAATCCTGCTTCAATTAATCTTCCAACAGATTCCCCAGTTATTGTCTCACCACCAGAGAATGTTGAAGTTCTCAGTTCTACTTCAATTAAAGTTACATGGAAACCTGTTACTGGTAATATCGATCAGTATCGAATTGTCTTAAATCCAGGTTTAGAAACTCAACTAGTAAAGGGAGTTGGAAAAGTGACAGAAACAATTATCAACGGTCTTCTCCCTTATACCTTCTATGATGTTAGACTACAAGCTTGCTTGAGTGGTCTAGATTTGGGATGCGGGACGAGTTTAGGTAAAACAGTGCGAACGTCCGAAGCCATTCCCGATGGCGTTCCGATTCCTAAACTGTTAGCCGTCTCTGATAATGTTATCGACATATCTTGGACGCCACCATTAAAACCTAATGGAGTTATTCGTGCTTACGAAATTCGTAGAAGGGATGATGGAGATACGGGTAATGGAATACCAGTAGGAATTGTCAATGATAAAACTACGTTCAGGAATAAGGGAGGTCGGATAAACCCGTTTACTATATACAATTATGCTATTGTAGCTATAAATAGCGTCGGCAGAGCTATAGGTGAATGGGGTTCTGTTCGATCACTAGAAGCTCCCCCGACCGGATTATCAGACCCGATTATATCATCAATTGGGTCGAGAAGAGTCGGTTTAAAATGGACTGCACCAAAAAACCCTAATGGAATCATTATTAAATATACTATTTCTTATAGATGGTCAACAAATGAACCAACGAATCCTGAAAGGACACAAAGTGTTGCAGTCCCTGGGGATCTTCTGTCTACATCCGTATCCGGCTTGTTTCCTTTCACAAATTACAAATTCAAATTGATTGCAGAAAATAAAGAGGGTTCAGAAGAAACTAATACTATAGATGCAAAAACTGCTCAGAGTAGTCCTTCAGGTGTTAATCCAATTAGTGTTGAGCTTCTCTCTAGTGGTAAAGCTGTTATCCTAAGGTGGGATGCTCCAAAACAGAAGAATGGTGTTATAACCGAATATGCTATTTACGAAAATGGAGCTAGAATTTATCAGGGTTTGTCGACCGTATTCGAATTAACAAGATTAAAACCTTTTACAGAATATCAATTGATATTGGAAGCTTGCACAAGCATTGGCTGCACTAGGACTAAGCCAAATAAATTTAAAACTGCCGAGATTGAACCGTCAAGTCAGCTACCTCCAATATTAAATAGTTCAGCAAATGCGAATAATGTAACAATCAAATGGACTCCTCCAATTGAACCAAATGGCAATATAATACGTTATGACGTACTCCGTAGGGATTTAGGTGCAAGACGATCGAAAAGATCTACTAGCGAAAGGATTGTCTTCTCAACCACTGACACGCAACAGCAAAACTTTGAATTTACAGACTCGAATCTAAAAGCTTATAACAAATACGAATATGCAATCAGAGCAATTAACTCAAAAGGTTCTACTATTAGTCCTTGGACGGTTGTTGAAACGCCACAGGGAATTCCTGAATTTGTTGAAAAGCCTCGTTTATCCTATGTTAAAGATCATTGGGATCGTCTTCTTATAGAATGGTCTGAGCCAGCCAAATCAAACGGGATTCTTAAATCGTATTTACTAACCCGTAATGATACTGTTCCCCTGAGCTTTGATGCTGGCGACAAATTACGCTACGTCGATTTGGGCTTGTCGGCCTTTACGTTCTACTCGTATACGATAACGGCATGTACTGGTGGAGGTTGTTCGATCAGCAAGCCAGCACTAATTCAAACAAAAGAAACAGAGCCTCTTTCAGTAGGAAAGCCATCAATTGACGTTATAGATTCGACCAGTTTAAACATCAGCTGGACAGAACCGTCCACCTCTAACGGACATATATCTAAGTATAAATTAACTATGGATGATTCGGTTATTTACGAAGGTCTTGATTATTTCTTCGTTGCGAAGTCTTTAATTCCAGCAAAAAGTTACAGATTTAAGATAATAGCTTGTACATCGGGTGGATGCACGGAAAGTGGTGAAATAACTGGTCAACCAGATGAAGCTCCCCCAGAGGATTTAAAAGCTCCCAAGTTAAAGGTTACAAGCTCAAAATCAATTTTGGTTACGTGGAAAATGCCTACCAAACCGAATGGACTTATAATTGGTTACGATGTAAAGAGAAATGGTCAAACGGTAGGCTCTTCAACCCCTTCATTCCGATATGAGGATTCAGATCTTCAACCTGCAACTGCATATACCTATATAATTGAAGCCTGGAACAATAAGGGATCCGTTCGTAGCCCTCCAGCTACTGCTAAAACTTATGACGACTCACCAGAAGGTTTATCTAAGCCAATTGTGAAGGGTGTCTCGTCTTCTTCGGTTTACGCTTTGTGGCAAGAGCCAGTCAAGCCGAATGGCATTATAGCTAATTATACGCTCTATTATACGCCCCATAAACCAGAGGGCACTGTATCAGACAAATTAGAGTTTCTCGGAGGCAAGAAACAATATAACACTACTATTGATGGGTTAAGAGTATGGACAGAGTACCGATTCTCAGTGGAAGCCTGTACCAATTCTGGTTGCGTGGTTAGTGAAGACGCTATAATTAGGTAGCTAAGCCTTCTCAAAATGTCATTTTACAATTGCCTCTATTTTACATTTCTCGTTAACGTTATTTTTCATTATTGTACACTTCTTTTATTGAATATTCTAGAACATTGTCGGCTCGACCAGAGGAACTATCACCACCAAATCTGACGCCATCTTTCGACAAGCATGGAGCGCATTCGGGCGTTTCGATCCGTTGGACACCTCCGAAACGTCCAAATGGTGTTATAAGTAAATATCAACTGGAAAGAAAATTCGCTAACAATGGTACTATTTCGTCAAATAACTCATTTTGCTCTTATTCACTATAACTTATAAAGTTAGAATGTCAATTTAAAAGCGTGTATTAAGAGCAGAATAGGCACTTTATCTCGCTAAATTTATTCATATAAGATATTTATAATAATATGAAATTAGGTACGGTAATCATCTACGAAGGTCCACTATTACGCTTCGAAGACACAGATCCACTTCTGAAAGCCAATTCTGAATATGAATATAGAATAAGGGTGTTTAATGAAGATTACAGTAAGACAAGCGCTTGGTCTAAAGTAAAGACTAATGAGGGCTTCCCAGAGCAAGTTCCCTCCCCAAAAATTGAGGTAAATTAAAAAGGGCTGAAGAAATAAGGCACTCGGAAACTAAACACACTCTTTTATTAGGCAACAAGTAGTACAACCATCACCGTGCAAATACTAGATGCTCAGCTATCGAATGGCAAGATCACATTGTATATAATATACGTATTCGAGGAAAAGGTTATTTGCTCACCATCCCAAAATCGATTTTATAATCAGTTGGTTTTATACAGGCTTACGAAGGAAATTCAAAGACAGCGATTGTCGGTCAAGGAACGCTCAAATTGAAACCCTTTACGACCTACGAAATTCGATCGGCCGTTTGTACAATTGTTGGTTGTACAAAATCTGAAAAAGTTCTAGTAGCAACTAAAGCCGAAAAACCAACTGGAATATCTAAAATTTTTACCGATTCTATCCAATCTAATTCAATAAAGGTTCGTATTATACTCCGTATCTATATGTAATATACACATATATTCATTTGAGTAACGCTGCTTTAAATTAAATTTTAGCTTAAATGGAATGAGCCGTCCAGCCCTAATGGAAACCTTAGCGGGTACGTGAGCTTTACCTTAACCGCCATTTTCACAAATCCAGCTAATAGTTGTCCTCATCCTTGACTTCTCTTTATCTTTTTTCTTTCTCCAAATTATGTATTTAACGCAAATTCATCATATATCGCTATTGCTGTTTATCATGTATCATATCTGCCATTAACTATGCTGATGCTTATGTTTCTCTGTGCAGATATATTTTGAAAATGGCAAAAACTTGCCCTTATCCTTATGCCGATAAATTACCTGGCTTAACATGTACTAACGGTTCGATTTCCGTGGCTTATCGAGGACCTGACACATCTTTCCAAGCAGTTGACTTGGAACCTTTTACAAACTACGCTTTTGAATTGAATGCTGTTAACCTTGAGAAGGGCGTTAGCCTAGAAAGTTCAAAAGCGACTTTTACTTCCGGGCAGAAGGCTCCTAAATACGATGAGCTGCCTAAAACGATTTGGAAAGAGAATGAAGTGGTTGTCGATTGGTCATCATCATTTTTGATCTACGCTTCAGTGATCCGGTTTGTACTTTATAAGGATGATAAAATAGAGTATTCGGGTCTCGAATTAAGTAAGGCCATTGCTACTCCTAGCAAAGACGATAGTAAGTCGCCTGATGTAGCTTTTCCTGCTTTAAAACTTAATCCGATCGTTGGCAGCTTACAGACTTTGGGTAACGCTCGAAACGGTAATGGGTACTGCAAGAAGTAAAACTCTGATTTGCCTCTCGAATAAGGCTATTTGTAATACAGGTATTAAATATCTACTGTAACCATTTTTCGCGTCTGCCCTATAGAGTTGTTTCCTATAATGTTTGTTGATATTACAACAGAGATGAGTGATACATCTACCGAAACTGGTATATAATTGAATAGATTCACATCACCGCTTTTTCTATTGAATATTTCACGCGATACAATTACTTCTCCCTTATTATCCTTTATTATGTATACTTTTTTATACCCTTTTTCTTGCGCTTTAAACAGTAACAGAGGAACTGTCTGCCGTAAGCAAGAAGGAAGTGTACGAGGAAGTATGGTTCATTATTCTACTCCTCCTAATTCTTCTTATTCTTATCGTCGTCGTCGTTATTTGCTGTCTGAGAGCATCAGCTAAGAAATCGAATGGTTCGAGGGCAAAGCGAAGGACGAACCATTTCATTTCCGACCCGTTCGATTACGGCGCAACCCGTTCGGTTCGTTAAGCTCATTAAATTGAAATGGAAAAGGATAGTAGAAAGGGAAAAGAGGGTTTGTAAAAGAGAGAGGGAGAGAAAAAGAGAGAGAGAGACGAAGACAGACAAATGAAAAGCAGAAGGAGATAAAGAGATAAATGTAACTCTTTCCCTTCTCCTTGCCATTTCCATTTCTTCCTTCCATTTATTTATATATTCATCTTTTTTGATAAATGTCTCTTTCCCGCTATGTTTATTGTTTTTCCAATTTTCTGTCCATAGGATGTTGGCGTTGCAAGCATAACTCAAACGTTACCCGACACACGAGTCGGATATACGAATCCGGCGCTCTCGAGGCCCTCTTCCGTTCCTGACTTAACAGCCGACAAACTCTCGCAACAGTCCAAATGGGATGATGTCGACTCATTCGATGGTCATGCCTACATTGATAGCGGATTACATAGTTTAGCCGTACGTCGACTCTTTCATTTTACTGATATTTATAATATGCAAATCATGCTACAAACATTAATATTTTATTCATATCAACTTATAACTTTCTAACAAAAATCTTCTTTTTTCTCTTGCCCCCCCCCCGCTCTCTTCATCTTCCCTGTGGGAAAAAAATGAAAATTACGAATAACCAAAAATAAAACAAACAACAATGCAGTACGGAGAAGAAGACGATAGTAGCGACGCTCCAGTTTCTATACTAAAAGAAAGGACTGTATTTACCGATACTCATTTATAAAAATTATTCTTATTCGTGTTCTTTTTCACTGGCAATTTATTAGAATAGATCGATAAATATGTTTTTGTTTCTACTCTGTCTATATTAGTACTATTTTGACTTTACTTTATTCTCATTTTTTCTTATTGATGGGGCTAAAGCCAAAGTAGAAAATCATCGATGCAGACAGGAAATTAATGTTGTAGCTGGTTTATGAAATACCGCGAATAACCTAGTGGGTGATTTGTCAATTGGAAATGCGCTCTACTTCCCCTCGACCGTCTTAATTCGGGTCTAACTCGCCCTAATCAAAGGTTAAGAAAGAATTCTTTTTTTCTTGTTTCTCACTTCTATCTGATTTACCTGATCTTGGATCCAAATATATTCGACTTCATACATGACCTAAATTTAATATATACATCTAATATAAATACATCTGTACGCAAGCGAATAAACGCCAGAGCGATCGATGAAATGATCAGAGACGCACGAACCAGCGTATATAGGAGAATTAAGCTGGTAGGCCTAAGGAAAAACGCTATAAGGTGGCGCTGAAGACGTTCTCTCACGTTCGCGCCACACCCACAGCTAGAGCGTCACTACGACGTCACCGGTACGTTTATTTTTTTGCCGAATGCCGCCCATTCTTGAGTTAAGTTCTCGCAGACAGAACTAGTAACTACGATAAATAAAGGAAGATAGATAAATCACGATTGAATATCTACTCGACAACAAGAGAAGAGAGAAACTGAGAGAGTGCCAGAGGTTGAGAGAGTGAGAGCAATAGAAAAACAGAGAGCGAGCGAGAGAGAGAGCGAGAGAGAGACAGACAGACAGACAGACAGAGAGTACGAGAGGAGAGGAGTGAGAGTGAGAGAGTGTGTATGAGAGAGAGAGGGCGATAGAAAAGGATTTAAAGAAAGAAGGAAGATGGGATGTCTGCAGAGCAAAAAAGAAAAGAGTTCATCGCCCGAACCAATTCGAGATCAGGCTGTAAAGACGGTCGACCCTCGACTTCCGTTTGAAACCTATCGGCAATTGTTTAACATGAAGAATTCGTGGAAGTCAATTTGTCGAAACATGGGAGTATGTTCGAAAGAAAATCTGCAGCTGTAAGTTTCTATGTGTTTATTTTTTTCCTTTCAATCCCTTTACATTTCTTACCTTTTTACTTGCTTTCTTCATCTCTGTCATTTTTTTTATCCTTTCACTTTTTCTTCTTAAAAGAAAGAGAAACAGAGAGAAAGGGAAAAAGAGAGAAAGAAAGAAAAGAACAGGCGAGAAAGAGAAATAAAGAAACATATAGAAAGAGAGAGAGAGAGAGAAAGAAGGGAGGGGAAGAAGAGAGAAGCAGATAGACAGTGACAGAGACAGTGAGTGAGTGAGAGAGAGCAAAGAAAACAATAAACATTTCTTTTATTTTTTTATAGCGTATTCCCTTTTTAAAAGAAATTTCTAAGAAGGGAAGGTGGCAGGGAGAATGAAAAGAAAAATCATGAAAATGATCAGTTCTTTACTCTCTTCCCTGCCTCCTTGGAATCCTCTTTTTAATTATTCTAAAAGATAGAAATCTTGGCAAATAGTCAAGAAATTCGATTAGAATTTTATTTTTACAATATTCGAAAAGTGTTCCCCTAAGAGTGAGGAACTCTATAAAGGGGTCTATTAATAAAAACTATACCCTCAAATATATCTACGCTTCCTTTCAGCTTCTTTATGCGATACCCGCAACATAAAGCCTTACACAAAGACTTAGCTAAAATGGATGACAGTAAATTATTAGAGAGTACGGCTTTCGAAAATTCAGCGGCGTCTATTTTCAACATTTTCGATTCGGTTATGGAAAATAGCGAAAACGTAGATGAGGCTATAAAAACGTGCCAGAGGGCTGGAAGAATGCATTCCCGAATCCAGAATTTTGACGTTGCCTATTTTAAAGTAAGTTGTATGTAAACTAGATCAATTTTGTCTTTGTTATTTACACAACTTAAAATTTACTTCTCCCCACCAAATCTTAAAATCCGTTAATCCATTGCTAATAGGCCTAGTTTTAGTAAGCTCCATTCTAGAATCCTCAATTTTAAACCTTTTTAATTCATTCACATAGGATATGGAAGGGACGTATATCGAAGCCTGTAAAAACGTTCTGGGCGACCGATTTACGGAAGCTACCGAAAAGAATTTCCGCCTTCTCTACGGCTTCGTCGTTCAGCACATGATAGACGGTTTGCAAGCCACTAAGTCCAAGGTGACGACTGTGGACGCAAATCGTATTTAATGGCTTTAAAAAAACAACCCGATATTTCTACACCATTCGTATACCGTGTTTTGCGCACGCAGACAACATAAAACTGTCAGTGTTGCCCTCTAGCGGCTTTAATTGTGGGGCTAAAATAGACTGCAGGATTCTCTATGTAAAGGATAACAGTTATTCACATGCATAAACACATACTGTATTTTCAATGGTTGTGCTTTTTAAAAAATGATAATAATAACATTGATAATAATAATGATAGCAATGATAATGATGATGATGATGATGATGATGATGATGATAAATAATTAAGTAAAAAAGAAACAAAAAATCAATTTCTTTTCTTTTACTTAATTCAATTCTCTTCAATCACATTCGTCAAAATGATGAAAAAAAAAGAGGCTATGAAATCTTTTCAATTAAAAAAAAAAAAAGCAAACAAAGAAAACTAAATGAAAAAAATGGAAAGGAACAAAATACAATATTAATAATAACAAATAACAAGAAAATACATATTTTTTTCAATAATCTATCAATATTTAATAGAAGTCGATTATTAAATATAATATATATATAATATGAAAGAGCGGAGAGTAATGTAGAGGGTGTTTGAAGGTAAAGGGGGAAAAGGGGAAACAAAATGGCAGTATACTTTTTGAAACAAAAAATAGAGTATTGTTTGTAATTAATTAGTACTCGTTAACTTGCAAATATATACTCTATAGGGTTTTTTAAGTATCAGATATCAACTTGCTACTCTACTTTCAATAATAATCTATGTAGTATACAGTATACTTGTATACTGAATGTATATATATGTGTATATATATGTATATATATATATATATCCAAATAGATATACATAAATATATCAGTATATTTATATATACATATACATATATATATATATATATACGGTATATATATTATAATATAATACATAGTTTATATAAAAGGGTAGAACAGTTTGGAAATTAGACGTTCTTTTTCATCACCGTTAAAAACAACCATGTCGAATAGGTTCGTCAAACATGTCATACGTATTCTTATCGTTTCGGCGACCTTATCGCTAATTTGTGACATGTTGGCATTTTCTTTGCCAATTTGGGTAGAATGGCGTAACAATTCTACTTCGACTTACGGAGGAGTTTGGTATATTGAAACTATTTTGTTAAAGAACGATACTGTATTAAGCTCTATCGAATGGAGTACCAAAGAGGAGTGGCTTGTAGCCTCCAGGGCTCTCATTATCATTGGGCCGTCTCTCATGTTGGTGGCTGTCGTCCTGTCCGTATTGGTAGCTGTCGATAGATTAACCTCATGTTCTATGCTTGTTATACCACTCTTTTGTTTCTTTTCTGGTAAGTTTTAATACTAGAAGCATTTTAAAATGTTTTTATATGTATATATATATTGATAAGTATCCCTTAAGTTTATCTATTCGATAGGCGTCTCAATGACAGCTTCACTCGTAACCTTTGTGTTGAATATTGTTAGAGCTCCAGGAGCAACGCCTTTAAAAGGAAAGACCATTGAATTTTCTAGCTTAAAAATTCCATTTTGGCTGGGAGTGGCTGGAGCAACTCTTGCGTATTTTACAGTCGTTTGTCAAGCAATAGCTGATGAACTTAGGTGGAAAAAATCGAATGAAGAATCAAAAGGGACATCGTCCCGCACGGCAATTAATTCATCAATTAAGCAAAAGAAGGGTGGCAAAAAGAAGAAAGTAGGATTTCAAACAAAATTAGAAGAACCTTGGCAATCAAAAATTGAATGGACAGGCGTAACAAAATATAAGGAATACGATGATGTAGAAGCAATGCATGGTCCAAAATATATGTATGCGGCTAAAGTTGATGATTGGTAGCGGGAGTATAGTAATATATTTATAAAAAATAGTACAGAAATACATTATTTATATATATATATATATATATAACATTTAAGCACAAAGTAAATATATAAGAATATATAACTATACAGTATATTTAAGTTATATTCTATATATTTTGATTTATAAGAAGTAATATCTAAATAGTGTAACAGTTTTTTTTTATTTCACTTTTTTTTTCATTCTCTATCAAACTAGTTAGCTTCGTAAACAAAAACGATAATAAAAGAATTTTGGTACAAAAAATTTGGATAGTTTATTGTTAATATTTTTATCGTTACATTAACGAAACATTCTGGGCACGTTTCATCATTTTATTTCAATGACAGTAAACTAACGATAATTCACGCTATTATTGTAATGCAATAAGTATATGTTTACTATGTATAGGCTAATACGTTATTAACAATAACTAATTAACAAGCCGTTAATTTCTTGAGTAAATACTGTATGTAATTATTCAGGATAGTTGATAATAGCGACCGTTCCGTTCTTTTCTGTCTAGCCAAACTTGATTGTTTTTCTATTAATATTTTTCTATATACGTATATATATATATATATTTCTCTCTCTTTCTCTCTTTTTCTTTCTTTCTTTCTCTCTTTCCCTTCGTGTTGTATATTTAATAGTTCTGCTGGTGTTTTTGCTTTTTGCTATTTCTTTTTCATTTCATCTACCAATCCATCTTTCGTTACAAAAGAATGCAGATTGTCAGTCGCGTAATCTTTTAAAGAATAACCATGACTACTATTTTCCTATTTTATTTGCAATTTATTAATAAAAGTCAAAGAGGCAGAAGTATTAATATCCTTCGTCAACTCATCTTCTTTCCTATATTTTTCTTTTGCTCGTTTTGATTAAAAAACTGGTAAAACAATGTAGAAATTAAAGTGGAGGCAGGAGAGAGGGAGACGCGAGGCGAGGGGGGAGAGATGGAGAGAGTGAGAGAAGAGAAAGAGAAAAAACAAAACCAATTACGTAGCGTAATTACCGGACGGCAGGCTAAAAGTAAGAGTAAATTATTATACAGAATTTATTATATGATTGATATCTAAAACAATGGGGAAGAGCGAACTAAAAGCCCATAAATTTTCGCCTGTTTCTACTGATTATTTCCCAACTGATCCATGCACTTTTTTTTCTTATAGTTTTTTATTTTATAGTTTGTCAGCTAAAGTAATTAGATAATTACAGCAAATATATTGCTAACCGCCTACCGTAATTATGTCATCTGCCCATTTGTGATAAGAGCTATCAAACTATTTAGTATATATATATATACATATGAAACACGATATTGTCATTTTGTATATCCTTTAACAAAGGTTTGAAGAAGAGCATTAAACGAGAGAAAAAAAAAACAATGTTTGGAAGAAAATTGAACGGGCTAACTGTCTTAATTCTATCGTTTACCATCACCTATTCAACTGCGTGGTTGTCTGATGAGAAGGAGAGGTTCCTCAGGGATTTTTACCAACAGTACCGGAGGCAATTTGGGAACGATCAATCGAGTAAAGATTCTACGAATCATTTTACCTCTTTTCATAATACTATATAGACTTAACGTAATATTCAGAATGTAGAAAGCCGGCGGACATAATGTTTTTAGTGGACGAATCGACAACGATCGAGGAGGAAGACTTCCAGAAAGAACTTGATTTCGTTAGATCTATTATACCCAATTTGGCTATGGAAAGCAGTAAAGTTAGAGCTGGTTTGGAGTTGTTCGCTACTAATAGTCGACTGATTAGCGGTTTAAGTGGCGATAGTAAAAAGTTAGAGAGTAGCTTATCTGGTTTAGAACAGCAATTCGGTAATACCAGAATGGTAAAGGCTCTATCAATGGCAATGGATGAATTAAATAGAAACGCTAGAAAGAACGTCTCTAAAATCTTATTGTTCATTACCGACGGTCTGCCAACAGATAACGAATATGATATGAAAAATATTATCCAAAGGGTTAAAAGTCATAATATTATTATTTTCAGTATTGCAGTTGGAACAGAGTACGTTGCAGCATTTTATAAAAATAATCAATATCTTTTATATAATTATTTCATTCTTTTATCCAAAATCTTCAATTAGATACAATGATGTCGCTACTTTGGCTGAATTAAAGAGTTTTGCAAGTGAACCAACTGACAAACACTTTTTCCACGTTGAAAATTACGACAGCTTAAAGAATCTATGGCCTTACATCAGTGAAACTTGTCAAACTGATTGCGCTGTTAAGGGTGAAACGGATATTATCTATTCAATTCCAGATTACTCTGGAATTGACGACTCGGTGGCTCTTGTCAACTATTTAGATAGGGAGGCTAGGAAATATGAATCAGCAATCAAGAGGGGAGAAATTAGAATAGGTGTTGACTTTCAAATGATGAAAGAAAACGAAGGTTTCAATTTGAAAACATACGAAAGGGAATTTGATGGAATGATAAAGGAACTGAAAGATTTTCGTTTTCTTGGCCTATCCAACACTTTCATAGAAGATATCGTAAACGACGCAAATGTTGAATTTAAAAACGCCAATCGACCCGGTGCAAACAGAGTTGTCATTATTGTCGTTGACCTCCAACGTATAACCGCCGCATCACTTTCTCGGCAGGTTGCCAACTTGAAAACTGATACGGTATAAACAAAAAAATAATTTCTTTTAAATCAATTATTTCAGTTCTTTTCCTTAATTGAATTTTCTTTTTTCTTTTATCTCTTGTTTCTTAAAAAAAGGCAAAAAAACAAGATATAACCTATCCTATTACTTTCTACAGTACTTCCCTAGTCGTTGTTGTTATTGTTACTGTTGTTACTATTATTATTATTATTATTATTAATGTTTTCTCATTATTTCTGTTCTTTTTCTTAAATAGTTGAACGTTGTCATTCTGGGAGTTGGAGGAGGTGATGATAAATCCGATAATTCCGCACGTATTGAATTAAACAAGGCAAAACATATAAAATACTTTTCCTTCGATTCCTATGACGAAATCAACATTGATTTAGAAAAGACTTTGTGCGAAGGTTTGTAGAAAGGGAGATGGTGAAAATCGATGAAAGCTATCTAATCGACCGTATTCTCTTTTCATATTTACAGGAAAGCGTTAAAAGACGTTCGCAATTTTCTTCGTTCTTCTACCAAAATCACGCTTTTCTCTCTCTCTCTCTCTCACTCACTCACTCTCTCTCTCTCAATTGTCAGTTTTTGTATCTACTTTGTATTTTAAGAAAAAGATGATAATATTATTTAAAAAAACGAAAGAGAGCATTTCTCTTTCTCTTCTCTTCTCTTCTCTCTTTTCTTCTATTCTCTAAAATCCTTTCTACCTTTTTTCTACTGTCACCAATAAAAAAAGAAAAAAAAAACAACATAAAACTTAACAAATAGCTTGGAATAGGAGAATTAAGGAGGGGGAACAACAAGGGACATAGACAGTTAGATAGAGAGAGTGAGAAAGAGAGAGAGAGATGGAGAGAAAGAGAAAAGACAGAGGAAGAAAAGGTGATTTTTTTTCTTTAAGAATAGAAATAAATTGAAAGATTAAAAAATAAAAAAAAGTATTAAATTTTTGTTTTTAATTATTGAAATATTAAAACGCAAAAACATGAATTCTCCTTAATAATCAGGTTTTCTGCTATAACAAAAAGAGAAACATTATATTAAAATATTTTATATTAAAATATATAGCTTATAAACATACATTGCCAATATCTAAACGTGAAAATTGTTCATGGCGGACGTCATCACCAAAATAGGCGCCTCGACGTCTTTCAGAGGACTCTATGTCGTATACATTCCCAGTTCTTTTCTGTATAAAGAAATGTGTTTACTTTTTAAATTAATTTACAATGAATCTTGTCTTATTTTGAAGGTTTCTAATTGAAAATTATCAATTAGCCAATGAACAAATAAATAAGATAAACGTTTCTTACTTTAATGGTAAGATATAGAAAGACAGATACGACAGAAACGAATATTATAATGAGTAGAGTTATTATTAAGTATATCCACCACATTGCAAGCTGTGTCTGCATGCAACGTCTGTGTATTCAACTGGCGTTTTAGCAGTAAATAATTCGCTTTTTCACCTTCATTTACAACAAGTAAAGAAATGGATGGGGCTAATAAAGTGAAAAGAGGACTTAAGTAGAAAAATAATTGTTGTAGTATTACATAAAGGCTAGCGCCATCTTTGGTATCTTAATTATTTTACTAAACAAAAATTATTGATTAGCTATAGATTTGAAATAATAACAGACCATACTGTATATTATATTATATTATAAATATATATATATATATATATATATATATCATATATACAACCTAATGCATGCTAATTCTGTTATATTGTTAATTTATGTATATGAAAAAAATATGACTGCATTTTGTGCATTGATGAGAATAATCACATGTTCTGACCAACTGAGAGCATTTACATGTATTCGGTATATATCATCATTTCTCTTTGAAATCAGATGGTAGATTTGCCGCCTTTTTAATCTGAATCATAGCTAATTTATTTGCCTCTGATATAGATTTTGGAACTTTTTCTCTTTGCGCTTTCTGTAGGATAATTGAAAATATATTTTACTTATATTATCGCTCTTTTATTTAGAGAGCATACCTCTATCGAACTATCATTTCTGCCAGTTACAATAACATATAAACCAACTCCTAAAATTGGATATCCAACTATTTGGATAATTTGCTTTATTTTATGATAGTTCATAATTCGGGAATCTTCATTGACTTTGAGAAATTATTCTAGAGCTTTGGAAAAACACTCTTGTTCTTTTAGAACAAGTTAAATAGTACAAATAAAAAAGAGCGGGAATATGATCAATTTATGTATTATATCTATATATATATATACGTATTTGATATATTGTATTAATACATTTATTTTCGTAAGTAGATAAGAATAACTAAAATATGAATAATAATACTATTTAGATCTGTATTTTATTATTCAATGTTAATTGTTCATTCAAATAGAAAAGTATATATATTTTAGCTATTTTTTTAACGTATATGCCGTATGAGACAAAGTATATAATCAAAAACGGATAATGTTTTCGTCTTTCTAATTTACTCTTTATTAGACCCGTTAAGCGAGTTCTTTTGATCAGGCCAATTTTCTTTGAAGGCTACTTTTTAATTATTTGTTGTGAAATTAATCTGAATCAATCATATCATCTGTAATATCTTGTTTGTGCAATTGTTGTCGAATAGCATCAAAGTATCCATCATCGGGAAAATCTTGTCTATTATATTGATAGAAGAGAAAGTTAGATATATTATGATTATTGTACAGAATGTCATTAAAGTTTTAATACAATACCTATTAGTTTTTTGTGGCATTCCATTCCACAGAACTAAAAAAGGTTCATTTGGTCGGCAGCGTTTGACAGCGAACAGTACTCTCGCGTGAAAAGCGGAAGTTAATAAATCATGTATTTCTCGACCAGCCTCATTATTTGGCAAATAGGTAATATAGGTTGAGCCACTATAGCTTTTTCCTATCATTGGATGACCATATGTTTGTATACCATCTGAAAAATCATAGCGAATGACTATTGTTCCGTAGCCTTCGTATCCATTTAGATCTGATTTTTCCATGTCATAGCTCATTTTACCATTTCTTGGTTGACCAGGAACATTTCGAAATATAAGACATTCGCAAACAGGACATTTAGATCTATAACTTTTCAACATTTCACTTACACATTCATCGCAGTAGACGTGACCACAATTCAATCTTGTGGGCTTAAAGGGCTTATCCTGACAAATGGTACAGATTTCATCAGAGTCAAATGTTTGAGATATATCTAGAGGATTAAAATTAATATGCGTATCTTTCGATATAGAACTGACGGTGTCTCTTTTCCTTTTGGCTGTGGTGGGTTGTTTTGATGTACTTGAGATATTATTCGAACAATCCATAGGAGTTTCAGAATGTGTAACGTGCTGCTGTCTGGTTTCTAAATTGGATTTGTGAATTTTTGCAGGGTCTGAAGATACTTTATAATCAATTAATAGCCCAGCAAAAGCCGAGGCAAGTTCTTGGGTTTTCAAAGTTGTACTATCAGAGTTTAGCGATTCGACTATATCTTGTAGTTTCGTTTGAGCTTGCTCTCTTATAACGGTTATAATATCCTGCTTGGAAAGTGATAAACCAGTCTGTATAGGTTTTATAAAGGGTTCTACAGATTCAAAATTGATTTGGCGAGGACTGAGTGTGGTTTCTTCCCATGCTAACCTTGGACATATATGTTCGTCTTCATATTGTGTGTAGGCATCAACGAATGAAACAACCGACCTCGAAAAATCAACTTTACTTGTCCTCCTTCTAGAAGATTCTTTACTGCAGATGCCACCTTCCACAAGCATTTCCGGTTTTTCGGTAAAGCCGAAAGAAAAACTAACATCATCATCACATTTTGTGTCTAAGGAAGAAAACGATATGATTTCTTTCTCTTTAGATAAAGTTGTCGTTGTTATATCCTTTTTACCGACTTGAACTACATTTTCATAATTACCAAGAACTGAGTGGGCTTCTTTAATTGCTGACCAAGAGCCCTTCAAATTGAACTGACCATTCCTAAATCTTATTTCTACACCGAGATTTTCTATTTCTCTTAATAATCTATCCATTGTTGCATTAAGGCCTGGCAATCTTTCAACTTCAACTAAAACTTTTCGAAATATCTGTTTGAAAATATGGGTGATATTATTAACAGATTAACATTTAAAAAGCCTACTTTCGTCTTACGCATTGAAAATATCAGAAAATATTGATAGTGGTTAAAACTTCTTCTAATTTTCACTTACTCCTGATGGTTCCATATGAGAATTCAAGTTCAGTTAAAAAATATACAAATTTTAGGTGGTTACGAGACAGTTAAAGAGCAGGATTAGTTAATCCGTCTTACAAAAGTACCTCAATAGATTAAGAGTAAACATTCCAGTACTTACCAGGAAGTTACGTACAGTAGATCGTTAATCAATTGACTATATTATTTCTTTAATTCGAAAAATGTCGATAAATTTTTTTTACAATTATTAAATATAATTCCTGTTTATGGTTTTTGAAAGTTTTATTCAGATACTATTCACTCTGTTCACACAATTTTTAATGCAGCTGTGCGTATTATATGAATCATTTAGCAGACGACTACCGAATCATAGAAATCCTCCCATATTGCAGCGTATTTCTTAAGAGCAAATTCATACCGTTAATCATGGAAATCAAATTGCTATAAACAAACGCTATTTCGCCTAAGCTAAAAATAAGATATAACTAATTAGACATCCTATTATGATTATTGTTAAGAAAATATATAAGATAACCTATAGATGGCGCGCAGTACAGGGTTGACAAATACCGTCATATCCGGTTATTCCATACAAATAGTGGAGGCTGCTGAGTTGTGTATGACGAACGTGTCTATCTCGAATGATTTAGTCAGCGGTTGCAAACAGCCTACCAACTTACAGTAGAGCCTGATATATTGATTTTTTAATTTATCATCTGTTTTATATGAAGATCAAAAGCTGTCTTATAAAAGATCTTAATGTTTTCATGTGATTGTTCTAATCATCGATAATCAATAATCGAAGCGTAATGCTGAAAGCTTATTATTTTTAATTTTACTTCAAGATAAACAAACATATATTTTATTATAAAAATGATTTTTGGAGAATATGTGCTTGTTTTTATGTTTGCAACTTTAAATCTAGTGAATTTGGAGCTGTATACGAATAAATGGGCGGTAAAAATTGAAGGAGGAGAAAGAAAAGCTCGTAGTCTCTGTGAAAAACATGGATTTAAATATTTAGGAAAGGTTTGTTATTCGCTTAATAAAATTGTTTTGATTTGGGAAAGAATTATATAACGTTCTGTTTCATTTGTGCATGAGAAATAATTGATCAATGAGTTTTTTTTCCAATCTCTTGAAGGCTTTTTAGAAAGACAATATGGATTAAATAAAGCATGCACGTCACCCATTTGTTCCGTGACGTTTGCTTAATCCAAGTGCACGAAAAAAGAAAAGTCTTTTTTGTTCCTCTTTTTCATTCTCTCTTTCTTTTCCCATATGTATTTATATTATATTTAAAGAAGTTTATAAATAACACAAATTGACTTTATTACTACTATCTGCTATAGAAATTAACAAAAAAAGAGTAAATATTCTTTCAACAAGATGTAAGAAATAACAAAAAAAAAAAAAAAAACAATTAATTTCATGCACATGTTATTTGATCATAAGACTTAATCAGCCAGCTTTGTATATATATATTTATATATACAATGTGTAAAAAGCTATACAATTTATATTCTGTGTTCTCTTTATTATACTATAGTTTTATATTAGGACACGCTTTATATGTATCTTGTTTTAGACGACTTTCCTTTTCTATACCTACATAAATCCTGATATATATTAATTATGAAAATTTAGATGATTAAATGACAAAAGAATCTGAAGGATATGATCTATCAAAGTTCTGTTTGCTATATTTATTTCTATATATATACATATATATTTATAGAAATAAAAAATACATTAAGAAGAATCCCTATAGTACATTATATATTAATTATAAAGCGTAGAGGTTTTAATAGAGATAAGGAAAATTAAAGAGGACACCTGGGGAAAGGAGAGAATGAGGAAAACTTTGTTAAAGAAGATATCGGACCTTTGAATTAATTTAGACTCGATTTTTTTATTGTAGATTTTAACCATTAAAATATTTCTCATCTTTCCCGTCTTTCAGATATTCGACGATCACTATCATTTGGAACATAAGAAAATTGTAAAACGGTCGCTTTCAAGTAGTCATCATATGCATAGTTCTTTAGAAGAGGAATTTGAGGTTGGTATAAAAATATTGATTTTAATATCGTCTAAACAAGTAAAAGAACGGACATAAATCTTTAAGTACATAAGAAAGGATATTTTTTTTATTTTACATTATACAATATACCTAAAGGACTTTAGGGACAGTTTTGTTTTTTTTTTGTTTTTCATATTATTTTGTAGTTTAAAAATAGAATTTATAGGCCTTATAAGTACTATTAAATATTATCATTTTCATCATGTTTATATTACGGAGAATATATTATATATATAGTAATAAATCTCCTTTTTCTCTTCCTCCTGTTTCCATTTAAACTTTTCCGGAAAGTAGGAAGGGTAAAAAAAGTTAATATTTTCTCTAATATGTAAATTTGACAACTTTGAATAAAGTAAACAAAGAGAATATGTGAGAGAAGGAAAAAAATCTGTTGAAGAATGGATCTATACAGTCTAAGCAAATAAAAAAAAATGAAAATATGAATATAATTAAGTGTTATTAATTTCGTACTTTTAAAAGAAAGTAATCCCTCTTTTATATAAACTGTACGTTATAAAATAGTCACATGTTTCTCTCCTTATTCTATATATCTACACTGTTTATAAATACAAACTAGACTAATTAATTGAGTTTACTTTTTATACATCAAAATTAAAAGACGAGCAAGCTGCAGAATGATAATAATTTCCTCTTGATGTTGGAGAAGGATTGTAGCTAAATATTTGCTATATCTTTAATTATTTAAAAACGTGTCAGTTTCTTTATTCTTCTTAATAATACCTAAATCCTGCTATTTAAACCTTTCAATAGGGCTGATTATGGCAGTTATTAAACATAAAGACTATTTATTCATTTTCTTTGTTTTAACTGTTTTCAGGTGAAATGGATTGAGCAGCAAACAATTAAGAGTAGAGTTAAACGTACAGTAAAATTAAATGATAGAAAATGGGATAGAATGTGGTACTTGGTAAGTTAAAATGTTCCTTATTTCAATTCTATCTGTTTTATTTTTCGTATAGAAGATGATATTATTAATGAAGAGAGCTACTTTAGATATTTAATAGGGTGTAAACTTGTCACAATCCGTTTTTACTTCCTTAAATTAAAAACCGCAACTCGGGAAACGTTGAGGAAAAGTAATTTATGTGATTTTTTTTTTTATATGCTTTTCCTCTCTGCTGTTAATCTCGTTAAAGGAGATAATAAAAACCAAGCGAATCCTTATTTACACTGTTATTCCGTAAGATTCATCCTACACACATCACTGAAAGCTTTTATCCTTTGTAGGAAGATCTTTTGTATAATTTTTTTTTAAAAATCTCTCTTAGGAAATTTTTTCCTTTTAAGTATTATTTCTTTTTAAAGAACAAAATTCACATAGAAGAGAGAAAGAGAAAGAGAGAGAAAGAGAGATTCATTGGTTTTAGATAGATTATATTACATTTTTACACTTCCTCAAGTACTCGTTAAACTTCCGAATCGAGCTAAATGAACGCGAATTGATAAGAATAGAAATTCTGTATATACTGTATAACCCATATAAAGATATAAACACTTTGAAATATTAACATAGAGTTATAGTCACGTAGATTTGTTGAATCTAACTGCTAGATATTCATTTCAAATAATTATTAAAGCATTTTTCATCATATAATTAATAATCGTACAAGTCGTGTGAGATTATAATTATAACCTTTACAAAAGGAAATACTGCGAAACAGCTTAGACGATATCAGGATAATAAAATCTAATAAAAAATTCTAACAAGTATAAAGTATACATTTATGTAAAAGTTCATTAGCCAGCGTTTCCCATAATATACAAATACGTATGCATCAAATAATGTATAATTCATGAATTCATAATAACCTTTGTTCTTAAATGGGGTTAAATCCTTAATATATAATATTATATTATATATGAAGCATTTGTACTTGCGGTATATACTGAAAAAAAAATTTTATACCGCAACTACTAAGGTAATACATTAAGTTGATTGATTATCTTGGTTCTGAAAAGTGTAATTTATCGGCTTTTATTAATTATAGAAAGATAAGGGAGTTAAAAATAAGGGAAAAAAAGCAATGACAAAGAGTATTTTGAGATAAATCGATAATAGTTAGAATACAATAATAATGATAATCATAATTTAATAATAATTGTACAACTTTCGATATCTATTGTTAAAAAAATTCTTCTATATTCTATTCTCGTTTTTTATTATTATCAATATTTACCCTTTTCTTTGTCCTATTTATAGAATAGAGGTAAGGGATTGGATATGAATGTACAAGAAGCCTGGGCGATGGGTTATACAGGAAAAGGTGTAGTCGTTACAATCCTAGATGATGGAATAGAGCGGAATCATCCTGATTTGAAAGATAACTATGTGAGTAGTTTTTCACTTTTAACATTTTTATGTACAGTATATCTTTTCATAATGCATTACGCATACTAATAAGTAAAGTAAAAAACAATATACTAATATAAAAAAAGTAGTGATTTCTCTAAATTTTAGGTAAATAGAGAATATTAGAATTGCTTTTTTTTTCTCTTCAACTTTATTAAGTTGACTTTGTAAACACAATTTCTACTTTACACAGTAAAAATTTTTCTTTTTTTTTCTTTTTATAAATATCTACTTCCTGTTAAGACTATATTGTCAATAATCTTTGAAGTAAAAACAGCTAGAATAAAAGAAGAATTAACTTAGAAAATAGCATTTTGCTTTTAAATTATTTTGAGCTTAATTGATTCGTTTATAAATTTTGACTAACTCTTTTCAAGAGGTGTTAAATTCTCAATGATTAAAAATGTTGTTTTTTTCCCCTCCCCCTCACCATTCTTAATAATTAATAGATTATGTTATTGCTATATTTATCTTCTACAGGATCCTAAAGCAAGCTACGATGTTAATGATCACGATTCAGATCCAATTCCTAGGTACGATTTTGCCAATGAGAATAGGCACGGTACTAGATGTGCCGGTGAAGTTGCAGCCATTGCAAATAATACAATTTGCTCTGTGGGAATTGCCTATAAAGCTTCGATTGGCGGAGTTCGCATGTTAGACGGTGATGTAACTGATGCCGTTGAAGCGCAAAGCTTATCCCTAAATCCTCAGCACATCGATATTTACAGCGTTAGCTGGGGACCAGATGACGATGGAAAAACAGTTGATGGACCAGCAAAGTTGGCCCTAAAGGCTTTTACCGACGGCGTTCGAGTTGGTAGAGGAGGGTTGGGGTCTATATTCGTTTGGGCATCGGGTAACGGGGGACGTGACAAAGATTCGTGCAACTGTGATGGTTACACAAACTCTATTTATACTTTGAGTGTTTCGTCTGCAACAGAAAATGGAAGGGTACCATGGTACAGTGAAGCTTGCTCTTCAACTCTTGCCACTACTTACAGCTCCGGCGGATCTGGTGAAAAACAGATTGTAACGACAGATTTAAGAAAAGGTTGTACTGAGACACATACTGGTACTTCCGCTTCAGCCCCATTGGCAGCCGGAATTGTTGCTCTTGCTTTACAGGCTAACAGCCAATTAACATGGAGAGATATGCAGCATATAGTTGTTTTAAGTGCAAAACCTTATAAATTAAACGCTCCCGATTGGAAAACAAACGGAGTAGGTAGGCGAGTATCGCATTCTTACGGCTATGGCATGATGGATGCTACAGCCATGGTAAAATTATCTCAAAATTGGACCAACGTTCCGGAACAACAGCGTTGTGAAACACCATATCTTAATGGCTCTAAGTCATTTTCCAAAAAATCGACTTTAAGCGTCTCCGTTCAAACGGACGGCTGCGGTCGTGTCAACTACTTAGAACACGTACAAGCAATTGTCGAACTCTCAACCAGTTGTCGGGGAGAAATTTCTATCAAGCTAAAAAGCCCTAGTGGAACAGAGAGTGTGCTTTTAACCAAAAGGCCTAAGGACAACTTTAAGAAGGGTTTCAAGAATTGGGCTTTCATGACAACACACTCCTGGGGTGAACTTTCCCATGGTTTATGGACTCTGAAAATAGATTCAGGTAACGCTGAGGGCAAGCTAGAATCGTGGAAGTTGGTAACTTGGGGAACAACCACTCCTCCATATCAGAAACCAAAACAAGAAACGTCAGGTTTGTACAACATTTATAAAGATTATTTCGGACGGATTGCGTCATACTCTAATTTCGAACACGATGTTTCGAAAAGTCCATTCCTTATCGCTCAAAAGCCTTTTATACTAACACTAGTCTTAATCTTTGTATTTCTAACAACATGTTAACTATGTATATCGAATGTTATAAAAGAAAATACCAAAATGTAAGGGAATTTTGAATATCATAGAAAGAAACTGTAGACTTTTATTTGGAGTCGCACAATTAAAAGTTTATTTGCATGCTCTAATTCATAAAATACGATTGATTCGAATTTATATACATTCATATATTTTCTACTGTTGTTTACTTAAAGATAATCAAATTTATATATATATTTATATATATATATATATTTTGTTAACAAATTTTCATCGAGAACTCACCGCTAATATTTTATTGTCTATTTTAAATGATATATCTTTTGCGTATGTCTTTTTTTTTTTCCTATTTTCTCTATTTCTCTTCTTCTCTCTCTTTTACGCATTTCATCTACTAAACAAGAGAAAATAATATATAGAATAAATAAACAAAAAATAAACAAAAATACAAAATAAACAAAAATACAAAATATCTTATTTGACCTTTGATACGATGATTTTAAATATAAATCCAAACTGGTGAGTCCGTAATTATAAACAGAAAGTTAGATTATTTTTTTTTTCTTCCATTTTTCATCCTTAATTACAAGTAAAAAGAGCATGAGTAATTTCTTTCTTCTCTTTTTTTATCATATATACATATATAGTGTACATACATTTTTTTTTAGTTAGATAAGTCGCAAAAACAAAGATATATTATCTATATAAATTTTATTTATACTACAGAATAACGTATACTTTTTGTTTATCTACTTAACCTTATACGTCTTTGTTTTTGTGTTTTTTGTTCTAGTATTATAAATAGAAAAAAAGTGGAGTAAAGTACTTATTTATGATACATTTTATTATTTTTATTATAGTTGAATATTAAAATTAAGTGCACAGTATAGAAAAAAATTCAAAATTCCATTAAAAATCTGTTAGTTGAACTAATCTTAGATTATATAAAGTATATATATACATATTTTATTTCTTGTTTATATTGCATGCTATAAAATAACAGTAGTTGATTATAATTATATTATAAATATAAGTAAAATTTAGGGTTTTAAAGGATCAACTTACAATTTTAGCCAAAATTAAGACAATTAAAATAAATCTATGAATTATTAAATGGATTTTAAAGTAAGATTAGTAGTTGGTCCTTTAACCTCGAAAAAACTTATTATTCTATATCAGTACAAGCAACTAATGAATAATTTGCAATTTTCAGTACCAATCTGTCACGAAGGCGAATATTTTTTAGAAGGCTACTGCTATAAGCAATGTCCTGTTAACTTTTACGAAATGAATACGACCTCTTCCACGAATTCAACTGGCTCTTGTTTGCCTTGTCATAAATCCTGTCAGCGTTGTAACGGAGAGCTAGAATCAAACTGCATACAGTGTAAGGATGGTTGGAAATTAACAAACGAAACCTTTTGCACTCATTTAGGAAAATCTATAAACTCTTTTGCAGTTCTAGTTATACAGGAAAAAGATTGGACAAAAATAACAATTATGTCAATCATTTTCGGAAGTGTAGCTCTTACTATTGTAGTTATTGCACTAGTGATAATCGTAATACGAAAGAAACACGGTAAAGGCGAATATAAAAACTATGATCAAGATGCGGGTAATCCCCTTTTAAGTAATGGACTATCGGATGGTAATGAATTCGCCTATTTTGACGATGTCGAGAAATCTGCGGCTCCGATTTAAGATATTCTGTGATAAATATAGGTATAAATTTAGCGATTTCATAAGGAAAATAAAATTAACTATAAAAACATGACAATGTAGCTCAAAAACAACATTTCTACCTTAATTCTTTACCATCTCTGTTAAATGACGAATGCTTGAAAAACAAATTTTTGGCACTTTAATTGAAAAGCAGAACAATTTTCAACTATGACTTTATTTTAAAAAAAATGGTAAAACTTATGATTTCATTGTCTGTATTAATCGTTATAAATTGTTTTATTTTTTCTTTTTATATAAGCTAAATATGACAACGTGTATCTATATCCAAATACTATACTGCAGTTTTAGTAAGACCGTTGAAATTCTATTCCATATGTTTTAGCTTGTTTTTTATTTTTTAAGAAATCTGTCTAAATATACATTGAATATATAGATATACAGTATATATATATATATATGTATATATATATATACAGTATATATCTTATGCATAAAATACAATATACATTATTAATATATACAACTGTATTATTTCTTATATATCTTCAATATTTCAAATTTAGCGGTTCTGTCGTAAAGGAATATCTCATCACAATTAGCTGGCGATAACAATTGGAATAAAAGTTCACTTTCATCTGAAATTTTTAAACAATTTAATAAGAGTAACGAATATCTTGGTAATATTTACCTAAAGTCTTCTTAAAAAGCTCAGAGGTATCTTCATTCCTTATTGTTGATGCTATAAATATTTGACAATTTTCATTAAACTTTAGTAGAATGTTTAAAATGTTTATTAAAGGTTTTATTATTCGTAGATCGTAGACAACATCTATAAGGAAAGAAACAAAAACAATAATATAAAAAATATAATAGTATAATTTAATTACAGTTGATGACCTGTAGCTAAAACGATGTCCGTGGTTAGATTATCACATTTATCAAGGGCTTCCCAATCTAGTTTGTTCGCTCTGCAGGGAGTTTCTAATTACAAAATAAAATAAGGATTTATTGAATAAATAAATAAAAATATGCAAAGAAAAAAAAATCAGCAGAGATTGTAGAATACCTGAAAAATTCAATTTAAAATTTTCCTTAATATTATCAAGAACTTCTTCATTACAATCCGTAAACGTAAAGTTAATTTTACTATTTATCTTTTGCAAGAATATCCCAAGAAATCCTATTCCAGATCCTAATTCTAGAATTTGTTTATCATTTACAACATTTCTCATTTCTTCTGTTAAAAGAAATTCGGCAAAGTATAAAGCTGCTGGCCAAGTTCTCAGTCCAGTAGTTCCCTTCGATACTAAACTTGTCGATTCCCTTAGCGTTACATATTCATTTCCTGGCTAACAGAATTTCATTTAGCTATAAAGCATTCTCAAATAGAGAATTTTTTTTATATAAACTTGGTAAATAACCTAAATATATATATATAAAACTTACTATTTGGTAAGAAACAAAAGTTCTATCATCGCTATCATTCTCCGAGTTTAAACAATATTGAAATTTTTCATAAATACTATTTTCTACTTCAATATTAAAAGATTCCAGCTTGAAAAGAATAGGAAAAAAATTAAGAAGAAGAATTATTAATAACAACCAAACATCATTTGATGTATATTTTGTATGAGTTTCTTTATCAATCATATGTGGATTGCTAAGAGCTTTCTCTAATATATTATGAATATATTTTCTAAATATATTTACATTCTATATGGTATACATATGTAAACAAAAGAAACCTACTTTATAGATTAACTGTTTGCAAAAATTCCTTAAATAGGACTTATTCGGAGGATATTTTTCCATTAACCGATGATTTAAAGATACATTTAATATTCTTTCCTGGATATCTTCTGTAGTCCAAAATTCATCCGTTACCTAGATATATAAACAGAGATTATTCGATTATCTTTTACAATATATTCCTAAATTAATAACCTTATTAAAAATAGTTTTGACGGATATATTTTGAAAGAAATGTTTACTAATTTCGTTGAGGATATTTTCGGACATTTCGTTTAACAAACAACTTTAACTTAGTTCCTTTAGTTTGTCATTAAGTTACGGTTCTCTAGGGATTTAAAGTTTAATCTTTAAACCATATGCAATACGATATTGTATCGATATTTACAATCGTTTTTAATTTTTCGTAAATCGGCTTGTTTACTCGATATAACTATTATTAGTGGATTATTAACATCTGTTGCAGTTTAGCAAATATTACAATTTACTCCAAGTTAGATTTCTGAACTAATTTATATGTCTTTACAGTCTTAGATAATAGATCGTTTGTTAATTGAGTTTGAATATTTCTCAAAAAGAGGAAAATAAAACACATGTACAAGCAGACGACGTTATATATATATAACTTTATATCGCTCAGATGTAGTTTTATATATAAAATTTTATTTTTTAAAAATAATTATAATAGTGTAATTTATTAATTAATTAGAAATAACACTTTGTATACTGTATATATAAACATAGAAGTTAGTTGCACATATATAAAAACTAAGATAGATGTCACTGCTGATAGTCTGAGAAGGTTCAACGCAAGAATTACAAAATATTCTTATTCTCTTTACAATGGCGCAAGCATCTAGAATAAAACATATATTTATTACCGGACCTCCAGGTTTGTTATCATTTCGCTTAAGTGTGACTTTAAATAAACTTTTTACAAATAGGTATTGGAAAAACAACACTAATTCGACGAGTACACGAAGAGTTAACAAAGAAGAACATTAAATGTAGAGGCTTCTATACAGAAGAACTTCGAGAGAGAAGTGGTCGTATTGGTTTTGATATTGTAACTTTGGATAACGAAAGACAATCGCTAGCCCGACTTAGGTAGTCTATTGAAATCTGTACAACTATAAAAATGTATATACCATGCCATGTTTTTGTTAGTTCCTTATGTCCTGCCGAAAAAGGACCTCAAGTAGGTCGCTATACGGTGAATTTAAGGTCTTTTGAATCATTAGCTGTCGACTCTCTAAGTACGAATGGGGTAAGATAATATTGCTGTTAAACGTATGATTAACCTTTGTTAAGTCTTGGTATATACTTCTCTTTCAGAACAAAATTTGTATCGTTGACGAAATTGGGAAAATGGAGTTGTTTAGCGAAAAATTTAAGAAAGCTGTAACTGAACTTTTCAAGCAGGACCTAATTATTTTAGCAACAGTTCCTGAAAAAAGATTTGGTTCATCTTTAAATTTTGTCGAAAACTTATGCAAACGTTCCGACGTGAAACTAATAACAATAGCTAGATCTAATAGAGATCAAATGGTTTCAGAAGTTTTAAATTCACTACTATCTATGAGCGACTTATAAACAATAAAGGAAGCAAATTCACTCAAATAACATAATTTATTTCTTCTATAAACTTAATAGTAGAAAATGGTTTGGTTTTTTACTCTTTTTTGGCCAGCTGCTATTTAAATGCTTGCCAACAGAAATATTAATAATGCATATAACGCATGGGTTGAACCATTCTTGAATAAGGTGAAGTAGGGAAAGGAACTGTTGGTTGCCTGAATGGAAAGTTTCGTGGATCTATTGCAAAATTCCATTTTAGCATATCATGTTGAATTTGATTCATATTGGATATGCCCATTTGAGAAAATTGGTTCATAAAGTATGCTGCTTGTTGGGAATTGACACAGCCTCCATATTTGCTAAGGTCATTACGTTGAGGCATCATTGATAAATCAGCAAGATTCGAGTCTTGCGTACTGGAGGTAGGATCATTTGTTTCAGTAGTAGAGTCTAGTTCAGTGATTTCCAGACCAGGCTCTTCTGCAGGAGTTTCCTGCATATTAATATACCTTTCGTTTGCTTTCTTCTTTCTAAGTTCACTGGAGAGAATTTCTTCAAAGCCATATAAGCATTCATTCATTTCTTTTACTTCATCAGTTAATTTTTGTCTCTTTTGAGGACTGCAATCGTCTTCTCTCAGTCGTTTGCCGAAAATGTCTTGTTCACTTTTAATTATATTCATGTATCGGTCAATATCATCGTAAAGTTTATCATGTAAGTCTTTATAAGCTAGTTGTGCACACTTTATAAGGTATGAGCTACAATTAACAAAAATCATTATTTTAGGAAGATCTTCAAATTTATAAAAAAAGTTTTCATCTTTGCTGTCTCCAGTCTCTTTAGAAATTTTTTCTAATATTCTGCAGTGTCTCTCAACCGACATTACCAAGGTTCTACTATCAAATTTTTTACGTAGTTTCCTAGATGTCTCTTGAGTTATCATTTTAGATAAATCTTTTTCAGAAATGTAAGACGTTAATTCGGCATCAAAAATAGCTGTTAGAAGAATTTTAACCAAAAAACCTCCAATATTCACGTGTCTAATTTCAATGTTATATTCATTTTCGTCATTTAAACTGTTAACTTCTGGACTTTCAATGACTTCAACAGCACCAAAGTGAGTTTCACTAATTCCGCTATCAAACATTCTCCTTGGAGTTATTTCGGCCAGTTTCTTCTCCAACAGCAGATCAGTTACTAAAGAAGTAAAGAAAATTAATCTAAATTAAATGCTGATAAATGAACGACTCGCTACAAACCTGGCATATGCTTATCATCGCCGATCACACAGTATATGACATTATTATCATTAACATATCGTACTCCACAGAAAACGACTTTTGTTTGTACATAGTTTAAAAATACTTCTTTGGCTTCTTTACTCCAGTACCCTCCTACTCCTTTTACTCCAAATAAGCAAGCCCTTAGGGCTTGAGCTTGTAATTGCATAAAACGAGTTGTTATGTGACATACATTTTTTATCTCAACAGAGGAAATCTCTCCGTAATCAACAAAGTAAATAGAGACTACTTTTGTAGATTTGACATCCAGTACGGTACCTCGCTGCCAATCTCCCTCATGATATGCAACACAACATCTTCCAGTTACGATATCTTCATTCTTCATTCTATATTGCTCTCTATTGATGGAATTGGTGTAGAAAGCTTCCAGTTCATCCATTAATGTTTTCAGAGCAACTGTCGTTCTCTCTCCCCATATTTGCAGCCAAAAGTGGGACGGATTGAGGACCATACTCACTTCAACATAAATGCTTTCAGCTTTTGAAGGAAGTGGTGCTTTTATGGAACGATAACAGGTACCAATGCGCGGTACATCTGAAGGTAAATCTCGTGCAAAATGGCAATAAACCCTCTTTAATTTCCTCTGTGGTTGAACATATGATTCTTTTGTATTCAAACAAATTTTTTCACGTCCATCATTCAAGTCAATCATTATTACAAGGCTATTTCCAGCTAGCTTAAAGAGATCTCTAAAGCTGTTACACCCGTAGTCTTCTAAGTAAATCCTTGAATCATATCTTTGTTTATAGGCCTGACAGAACTCTTCAACTGTAAGACATTCGACCTTGGTCATAGAACGAACAATTTCAACCATTCTGTTTTCAAGAATTTCAATTGGTAGAATTTGATCATTCACTTGGATTGTTTCATTTGCAAATGAACTTTCACTTATTGTTCGTGGAGGAGATTCGTTCAACAAAGAATGACTTTCTGCAGAATTTAGTGAAAACTGGCTTTGTCCTAAGCTCGACAATGAAAAATTGTGAGTGAGCTTCGATGAAGAAAAGCTATCGCTAGCTTTCGATGAAAAAAACGTTTCACTAGATACTTTAACTTCTTGATCAGAATCTTGGCTATCGTCGAAAGATGTATTTACTAATACTTTGTTACGAAGCTGTTTTTCATCAACAGAGACTTTGACTTTACTTGAAGGATCTAAAATTGAGGTTTAGCATTTTAAATTTTGTTTCTAATGCTCCTAAAAAAAACTATTATAACAATTATAATAAATGAACACATTTCACACACTCAGTCTAACATGGAACAATGAATGAACACTTTTAAACTTAGGTACTAGAAACCAAAAATAAGAACTAGAGTAAATTGCTAAAGAGTTCAGTTATAATTATTGTAATGATTATGTATTAAAAACCTTGTTCTGATAAGATAAGCGTTTCAAATATTAAATATTAATAACAATACAATAGCAATAATGGTAAGAATAATATTAAATTTAAGTTAAAGGGGCAAATTTTTTTTATGAAATTTTGAATTTATCACTATATTGTCGTATATTTGTTTATAAATCGATTTTCGGGGATTATGAAGGTGCTCTCATATCAACAATAAATCAGAATCTGTTAAGAAAAGTATATTTTTTTTTATTAAAGCAAGAAAATTAGCTTTCACTTTTTTTTTATCAAATTAAATTATTCTCTTTTGAATTGTAATAAATCTTAATAAATTATTTTAAATTTCGGTGTCATATTTCTGACTATTGCTACCTATAGGTTCTCAAAACTTGGACATTCTGAAATTTATACGACAACTGAAAAGAATAAAAAACACTAATCATGCTAAAGAGGAATAAGAAAATCTATTCAGCCATAAAGCAGTTACCTGATTTAATAGGTTCCTCTACTATATACCTTCTCCTTAACACTCCTCTTCCTTCGTCTAAAATATAATAATAGCTGACATTAATATCAGGGTATTGATATAATAATTTGCAAACTATAAGTTATTACCATCCGCAATTCTTACGTAAACCGCTTTTAAAAGAATTTCTCCATCCTTTCTATACATATGTAGAATCTCTGGCATTTTCTCACAGAGTTCTCTGACGTTTGATGATCTATGAGTGTTCAATTTTAAATCGCGTTTAAATTTTAATCTGAATGCTTCGCTAAAATCTCTCAAAGGAAGATCTTCAGGTCCTACTTCAATTAACATGTCTCTTACAGCTATAACAAATGACTTCTTCAGGAAGCATTTATGCGGTCCATTACAATCTTCTGAATCTTCTACCTTGCATATTAGCTTTACCATCTTCCCTTTCATATTTTCAACAATTTCTGTAGTTTCCTTCTCAAATGTTGTTGGCTATCGACAAGGAAAAAGATTTGGCGATTATTTAAAAAAAAATTTAATATAGAAGTTTGTTATTAATGGATGAATTAATGAGTAAATAAATATAGGTATTTTTTTTTTATTGAGTACAATTTAAGGCGTATTTCGCCAACCAAATACTTTTTACTGTCTATTACAATTGAAATGTTTAGACGGTGTTATATAAAAGGTAGTACTTTAATTCCTCTTATCTAATTCGTTCAAGAATCAATTAAAGAGTAAAAATTACGTTAAGTATAAAATTTCTAACCTTATGTCGAATTTCATGTCTCATATTTTTTCTCATTTCCATGCCAGTATTAACACGTGTTCTAAATCTTGCTGCCTTTTCTTCAGTTTTAACTCTCTTTTCTAGGTCGACTTTTTTAGTTTTCTGACCTCTGACCAGTTTGGCAATTTGTTCGTCTTTCTTAGTTGCTTGACCGTAAACAAGATAGATACCATTCAAGAATACCAGCTTCCCAACGTCTGGATTCTTTTCAAAATATTCTACCTCCGACCGATATCCTATCTTCTTGAACGGAATAATAGGACGAACATGAAGTAGTTCTCCGTATGATTTGTGCAACTCCGCAAAGGTTTGACCATGTGGTGCTGAGATTAAAATTGCACGTATTATCGACTTCATTTCTTCGGCTTCCTCCATTCTTCTAGTTTTCTTATGGACTTTCTTACCTTCAAATTAATAAACTATTATAGACAACAAGAAAAAAGAAAAAAATATGATAAAACAACAATAAAAAGTCAAAATACTTGGAATTTCGTAATATCAACTCCCCGATGTGAGTTAACTTTTTAACTTATGGATAGTCGTCATTGACTGCTGATTGGTTACATAAAAAACCCTCTTCAAACGCTGATTGGTCCACTCGTATTTAGCGCCAAAAGACATTTCGGAAAATCAATAGTAATAAAAAAAATACGAAAATGATGATACCTAATCGAAACTGGACTGCAAAAATGGCGGTTGTGTAGTTGCATATTATCTGCTACTCTGAGTCAGTGTTTTTAAAGGTAAATACAAGTAGAAGTTAGTTTCGTTTGTCTGCAATAAAATACATTGACAAATTTAGAAAAATAGTATGTAATTGTGTTCGATATGCCAGTTTATATTCTAAGTGTAGCAGTGTAGACTAGGATTGCATGAAGCCAGCGGTATTGAGTTAAGTTACTGATTGTTTAATAGAGATAACATTTTACTAACCCTCCTCTCCCATCTTTGTTTGGAGTTGTTGTATTCTAATTTATGCCACTGGTTTCATGATTTCAGAGTATACCAATGAGCGCTGAAAGAACCGACGTAAGCGAAAAAGAGAAATGGATGCAAATGATGAATCAAATGCACTTCTCCCGAACTGAAATGAACAGCTTGATTATGGATTACTTAGTAGCAGAGGGCTTCAAAGAGGCTGCTGAAAAATTCAGCATGGAGTCTGGAATTCAACCTAAAGAAGATCTAGATGAACTTGATAAAAGGATTAAGATTAGGGAGGCAATTCAAAACGGAAATTTAATTGAAGCCATGTCCATTGTGAATAATTATTATCCTGAACTGTTAGACACAAACCCTCGCTTATTTTTTCTTTTGCATCAGCAACATCTTATTGAACTGATACGAGATGGAAAAATAATGGAAGCCATTGAATATGCCCACTCTACAATGTCTGAGCAAGCAGAACAAAATTCTGAATTACGTTTAGACCTAGAAAAGACCTTGGCGTTGCTGGCATTCGAAAAACCTGAGAACTCCCCTTTTGGCGACCTTTTGAGACCAGCTCAAAGACAGCGAGTTGCTAGTGAACTAAATGCTGCTGTTCTTGAAATGGAAGATAAAGCCAATGCCACTCAGTTAACTATGTCTTTGAAACAATTATACTGGGCTCAAGATGTTCTAGAGAAGCAGAAAATTTCTTTTCCCTTTCTCTCTGATTTAACAAGTGCAACATTTCAAACTGGCAAATTGACTTAAATTTCTAGTTTTTACAATATATTATTTAATTTTTCGTTTGAATATTTTCTAGTTTGTATATTTATTTAATCGTTGCATTGCAGAATATGAGAAGATGTAAGATATCTCGGCTTAGAATGGGAAAAAAGAATTTTATACGTTGTTTCTTCGCAATCTGTTTTACAATACCTTTAATATACATTGCCTATAGTCATAATCTTGTGGCGTATATAAAAGCAAAACCTCTTCGGGATTTTCGATATCCTCTTGATATAGATATGCGCGAATTATTGAATACCATTTCTAAGGGAAAAAAGCCTATCTATCCACCTGTAAATAAATTTATTGCTCCACCTGTTCTTGAGGACGATACAAAATGTAAGGCAATGGATGGAGATGATGAGCCACTTTGGATTTTAATGATTATTAAGTCAAAGATTGATAACTTTGACATACGTAAAGCAATTCGAAGTACTTGGGGTGATGAATATCAATTTGCCGTTTTGCCCATGAGAAGAATTTTTGTTCTGGGTATACGAACACGAGATCTCCAATTGCAAAGGGAAATAGGAATAGAATCAAGTCAATACGGGGATATTGTTCAGTATTATTTCGAAGATCACTACTTTAATAATACATATAAAGTAATGGCAGGACTAAAGTGGGCTAGGACGAATTGCAGAGGTCCACAGTATATTATGATGGTTGATGATGACTTTTATGTAAATACACATAAACTTAGAGACTTTTTAGATAAACCTCTAGGAGGTGTTATTGCAGCATATGTAAACAACAACTCCATACCCATAAGGCAATGGTCTTCAAAATGGTATATCTCTCTAGAAGAATATCCATATAGATTTTGGCCAGCCCACCCTAATGGGGGATTCATTCTTATGGAATACAAAACTAGCTATGACTTGCTTACTGTTTTGGAGTACTTGAAATACTTGAGATTTGATGATGTGCTAATAGGCATTGCAGCTCTTAAAATGAATGTTCAGCTAAAACACAATGATAAAATCATTCCTGATCCAATAAAATATGAGGATGAAAAATTTTTTCAAGCTTTAGCTGTTCATGGTGTTAAATCAGCTAAAGTTCTTACAGAAATCTGGAAGAGGCAAATCTCCTATAGAAGACTAAAGTAAGATAACGTTTTAAAATATCAAAAAATCCTTTTATTCACAGTTTTCCTTTTCACATTTACAGGGCAAAATCAAAGATAAAGTGGTAATTTTAGTAGCTTTAGAATTTTAATTGACTTTTTATAGACATACAACTAAAAAATAATTGTTCGTTTTTAATCAATCGTTAATTATTAATTCGTCGATTCCCCAATCTTCATAGCTGCCGTCTGGTAAATATCGTCGAATTATTATTGGAATTTTCTTTGCCTTAAGTTCTTTCATAGCTATCGCCAGGGGATCTGTTTCCCTCTCCAATTCGACCATAATCGGAGCGCACATAGCTATCTGAAGGGCTCGTGTCCCTAACACCCGGGCTTTTTCATATTTCGTCATAAAAGGTGTAGTCATTCGTTTTGAGGGATCAACTTGCTTTCCCTCGCTTGCCGGTAAAACTTCCATTCTCTCCCCTTCAGCATGATCTTCCACATCCTCAACTGGGTCGTCATCTTCATCTAATTCGTCGTGCTCATAAGCTGCGTCTTCTTCGTCCGCCATGTTAAAAATCGTCTGCTTTACGCTATCGTATTGTAGTAAAATATTCTAGTCGTTGATCTTATGCTTGCAATGAATACTACTAGCGACACCTATTCCATCAGGCAATTATTAAAAGTTTGATAATAAATAATTTTATATGAATCCCACTTAATTAAAGAATTAAAAAAATTATACTATTAAAAAAAAAGTATATTGAGCAATAATTAAGTATTTACTTTTTGCGAAGTTTATTTGAGAGGAAATCTTTCGTGTGGGAGGATTTCGATGAAACACTAAAAAGATGGCGTCCTTGTTTTGATTTACACACTGTGCTTTTCGTTACAAATTTTCGCATAAGCCAATGAATCTCGAACTATGCACGCAAGCTTGAATTGCACCTTGTCTATGTTAATCAAGTGAGTATGTTATGGCATAATAATTCGATATGTACCTAGAGTAATATTCATCATATATTATTTTGGCTTGTGAACTTAAGATGACCGCCGTTCTATTTTTTCCCTCTGATGCTTATCAGTTTGTAAGGGACACGTAGATCGTCTGATTCATCACTTATAATAATGAATGGGGTGATGATTTCGATTTCGCAATTGCGCTTTCTGATCACCTGTCTGACTAATATGGATGGGTATCCTCTTTGGAAAAACATGTGTTTAACATTTCGAAACAAATTTAATTTAATGACTTAATTCGAACGTGAGCTATCGCTAATATCTTCTATTTTCGTGTGTATAAGTTCCGATTGAATGACTTGATAGATGAAATTGAAAAAGGATTACAAGTGGAGGATTTATGAAAATGAATAATTAATCTCTTAGTCGTCTGGCCTTTGTAGGCTTTCCATTTAGCGACATTTTCTTCAAAGCTTGTGGTTGATTGATACCTAACAGTTTATTAGTCATTTTCAATAGCATTAAAGGTTATACTCTGGTCAAGACAAATAAATGCTATTGGTTGAACAGACCATAATTAGCGAATAGGTTTGTTTGTTTGTGGAGTGAATTGTTACAAAAGCACAAAAGTTACGAGAATATTGTAATTTACTTATCGGCAACCAGTGCATTCTCTATCCACACAGGCCAAGCGAACATTTGGCAGCCGTCCAGGTCGTTTTGGCATTGTAAGTTTGTCAATTATGTCAAACGCAGACTACAACATATCCTTTCAGCGTTTTGTGAGAAAAATGGCCGCGAGTATTTTGAAGGATTCGTCTCAGGAGAATAACACTGGTCATATAAACATGGCTGCACTAGATTCAGCTGATATCCTCCGTGACACATCTTTCGCTAGCTGCGACTTCCCTGCCAATTCGACGCATAATAAACGTTCATACGACGCCAACGTTTTCGACATCTTAAAAGTACCCCCGGAAGATTTCGCTGTAAGTCTACCCCTTAATTGCTTAATTTATAGTATTTTATGTTTATAAATTGATGTTATCAACCTTTTTATTGCAGAGTCAAATAACTCTCATGTACTTGTCAGTATTCAAAAAAATTGAACCCGAGGTAAGTAATAGGATAATATGAGTTTAATTGCCAATATATGTTAATGCAATGTAGTTCGGAATACCAATAACGTTTTATTATAAACAGGAACTAATAAGTTGTGCATGGAATAATAAAGATAAATTGGAAAAAGCACCGAATATTGTTGCCTTTACGCAGTGTTTTAATCATGTTTGTTTTTTATTTTTTTTATTTTTCTCTCTCCCTTTTCTCATTCTTTCTCTTCATCTTTTCAAAATTCATATTCATATTGTATATATTATTTTCTTGAGTATAAAATATCATTTTAATCAAATCAAGGTTAACTTTTGGGTTCAAGGAGAGATCCTCAAAGCCGAGAGTGTTCGTTTACGAGCTGATATTCTTGCCCATTTCATCAAAATATCTAAAGTACGTTATTTACAGCAATAGCTGTTTATTTATCTTATCATGTTCTAATCTGTGTAAATATCTAGAACAAATTTTTTGCATACACATACAAATTCATATATATATATATATATATACAGTGTATATAACAATATGTACAAAAGGAAATTTATAGGATTATATCAAATGATTTAATTTCCTATTGTATTACTATTAAATATCTATTAAATTTTTCTATTTGCAGAAATTATTTGAAAAACAAAATCTACACGGAGTAATGGCTGTAATCTCGGCATTACAAAGTGCTCCGATTTATAGGCTTTTCAGTACGTGGACCGTAAGTACAAATAAACAAAAAGAAGAACAATTATTTGTTCTTAGATATTTAATAGTAAAAAATGATGTTGTAATAAGCTTAATTATTAATAAATATAATAGCTTATGGCCCAAAAAGAAAAAAGAACTTTCGAGAAATTAGCCGAATTATTTTCGGAAGAGAGCAATAGAACTAATTTAAGACAATTTTTGGCTAATGCTAAAAACGATTGTATTCCTTACTTGGGTATGATTTGCATTTGAACTTTGTAATATTTATATACATATATGATTACAATTCTTTTTTTTTTTTTTTTTTAAAAAAACAAATAAAAATAAAAAATAGGGTTATATCTTTCCGACTTGGTTTATATTGATGTCGCTCACCCGCATTCCGGTGGATTGGACAAAGAACCACGACGATCAGCCATTAATAATATTTTACGAACACTTGCGGATTTTCAACAATCTTCTTATTCGAATTTACAACCACTCGAACATATACAAAGCTATTTCAAAGATGTTCGATATATTGAAGAATTACAAAAGTTTGTGGAGGATGAAAATTTTAAGAAATCTCTCGCGCTGGAACCTGGTCAAGAAGCTGTTGAGAGTCAATCAGGCTATCATAGTTCAACTTTGAATTCTCGACATTCAGCTGACGACCTAGTCACGAGTAATACACCGTGTTCAAAAGAGAGAGATACCGCTCATACAATGCCTGCGAAACTCACTGCTGCCTATGCACAAGGTCAACGCCATCTTTTGGATGACAGCGAACTCGCACCGTCGTGTTCAACTTCAAAATCTGATGGTATGTAATTATAATTCAATAAAATATTCGTATATGCTGTATGACTTATACGATAGAGGAATATTACTAAAATATTCAATTTTCTTTCGTACTATTTAAAGATATCGAAAACGAAAAAAGTGATTCTGAATTTGAGTCTTTGAGATCAACGTCCTGCTTTCCTCGATCTAGAAAAAACTCGTGAGTTAATTAAAATGAATCTTTAATTAATTAATTGTGTCTTTTTTTCTTAAGAAAAATATTTTCCCCGTTTAGAAGTCGGAGAGAATGGAAATGCGACACTGATGACGTCTGTAAAGAGATATCAATGGAAGGTGTTGCGAAAAGAAAAGTACTGCTGAAGGACGGAAAGCGCCCAATGATGGTTTCTTGGGAAACTTATTGGTTGGCTTTAGTTGGTTCTAGTTTATTCTATTTCCCTCATAAAAGTTTACGGTTGTCAAAGAATCGAAAACATTTTAAAAAGAACGCATGTAATATGTCGCGAATAGCCGGTTGGAATGTGATGCCTCTTGAACAAAACGTCTTCCAAATTTACAACGGAAAAGAAGGACATTTGATTAAATTTAAATTTGATAATGTTGAAGAAAAGAACAGATGGATGGAGGCTACAAAAGCAGCTTGTGCTCAAGACAATCAAGACGAGGATTTAATAGATTTGTGCTAGACTTTTCCTTCGTGTAACTTCGTAATATTTGCATCTCAAACGCCGGAGCCGTCTACCCTTTTTTTTTTATCTAAGGAGGCAAACATATTATTTACGGTGCAAATTTTTTTTATAACTGGTTTATACGTAGCAGGCCTTGTACATGTCGCTTTAATAGGATTTTGTTCTTTGCTATTGCGGCAAATATTTTTGTATACGGTGTAAGTGTAAGAAAAGTTTATTTTTGACAAGTCGAAAAAAACATGTTGAAGTTGTTAAAATCGTTTATCTCACTAATTACGGGCACTTGTAAACCCGCCGGGCTCAATCCAGTTAAACATTCAAAACGCGTGACTCGAACTATTTAATTGACTCGCCTCGAGCCTTTTAAACGGACGCGTTTAAGGTCAAAAACATTCTTCTCTCTCTACTCGAATAATACGATACTAGCTGCCTAATGTAGGTGGAATGCTAATATGCACGCGTCGAAGAAATGATAATAATTAGCGAAAGGTAGTTGGTCGTAACGGAAGAATTCTATTGGCTGATGTTGCCCGCCAATCCGAACGTCCCGCCCCGCCCCCTATGCGCTTCAACGCTGTTCCTGCCATTGACAATCGACTCGGAGATTTGAATGACGAAACATGACGGACTACGAGATAGACGTTACATCTATAGCATCCCCCTCTTCTGTATTCAGCTGCAGCTCGGACGAAATGCAGTCAGAGGGAACTCCTTCAATAATGGGAGGAGAAGGAGAAATGATAAACAGGAAATCAGGAAACGGCAGTTCACGTAACCGGAAAATCAGTAAAGAGATAAATGACGACGACCTTCAGCGTCTTCGCTTAAAAATAAATAGTCGGGAAAGGAAAAGGATGCACGATTTAAATAGCGCTTTGGACGGCCTCCGCGAAGTGATGCCTTACTCCCATGGACCAAGCGTTCGAAAATTATCAAAAATAGCTACTCTACTATTGGCCAAGAACTACATTCTAATGTTACAAAATTCAGTGGCCGAAATGAAAAAATTAGTAAGCGACGTTAGCAACCATAGAGTTACATCTTTTCCAACAATATCACCACCAACTTCATTTGCCAATCGAACCTCAACTACGAAAGGAAATTGCCCGTGTGCCGACTGCTCTTCGACAAGTTCACCGATGCTTTTACCACCACGTTTCGCACATCCGGCCATTTTTCCACCAATTTCTTTAAAATTACCAACATCCAGTTCCCAACACAGTCCTAATTTGCCTTAAAAGAGAAAACAAGAAAAAAAACCTTCTGCATATTTTTTTTTAAAAAAAAATGAAAAAGAAAAACTTTATTTTTTCTACTAAAATTTGTTTTTTCTCTATATTTTTTTATACAATTTTATGCTTGTTTATGACATATATATTATATATCCTTTATATCATTCCATTACTATCTTATCATCCTTCTTTTCTCATCATTTAACGTACATGTTACTAATTTTCATTCGTGCATTTAAGTCCCCTTGTATTTTTTTATTTTCTATATACTTGTGTATTGTTTGTCAACCGATTTATAAAGGTAAAATACAAACATATTAACAACTTATAAAGAAAAGAATTGATCATTAAGTATGTCTGAACAAGATTGTAAACAGGCAGATGTGGTTGGAAGTTGTGGTAAGAAGATGCGGGTGTCTCAGCATGCTGAGATCGGTAGCCTGCAGAAACGTTCAGCACCCATCTGCCGATACTGAAATAGTCGTTCGGATTACTTTATTGCCACACTCGGTCATTGTTCAATAGCGTTTTTTTTCCGATTGTTCGCCATTTAACGTCAATTGGGCTTTAGGACAAGTGAGAAAGGGGTGGAGAGTTCATTTTTTTTTCTTCGCCTGTCAATGTGTAGTCCAAAAATCACATTAAGGGATTAAATGGGAGGTTTTTGAAAAAGAAGATGGGAAAAAGTAACAAGAGGAATGACACAATGAAACGATAAAGGAAGGAAGGAGCCGTATGGGCAGATGAAGAAAAGGAAGAAGAGTTACAAAAACGGACTTTCGCCCCAATTCGCGTCGATCAACCTATACAAAAAAAAAATTTGCATAACACGTTTTCTACACCGTCGACGTGATCGAGGAAGCGAGAGAAATTGATTTCAAAGCAAACTGCTGCGCTTCCTGCGCTTTCACTTAGCACATGTTCACGCTTCTGCTCGCTGTCTCCTCACCGCCCGCCATTTTTACGAGCCGGCCTATTTTGCATAATCACAAAGAGGATCGTCGTTTGACACGCCCATTATACACTACACTCGTGCCGCTAATGACAAGAAGTTGGGTAGCCAGACGTCGATTGGATAACTAATGTCTTTTATCCTCCTTTCATGGCCTTCTTTTCCTTTCAAGCTATTTATTCATTTATGCTCAAGTTTATATGTTCAAGTGATGTTTCTTTCTATTCTTTGCGCCTCCTGTTCAATAAAAGTCTTTGGAAAATGATAGTTTATTCAATGACGGTTATACCACCCGCCGCCTAAAATTGCCATGACAAGTTTTTGAAGTAGAAGCCACCCACTCGCAAATTAGCCTTTCATAGCTTAGCAATACCATTATTAATGAGTTTGTGATGCGAAGAGGACTTGAATGCGTTCAAGCTTAATGAACACGACTGGCTGCGGCATTTTTGATCCTTCTATAAGCTAAGCGAAGCGTGCGGGCGTTCTGTTTTTCAAGTGACCGCAACGCGTACGGACATTGTGGTTCGTATGCTTAAAATATGCCGAGTGGTGAACGCCATTCGACGCGTCCAGATGCCAACCTCGTGATGAAGGTCGGAGAAGATGATGAGACTATTTAGCTATTTCACTCTCCGTGACGTCTGCCCTACCGAAACGTGAACTGACGCTACCGAATCATATAACTGTAGCTTTTTTTTTTCCAATTCATCAATAGACGCCCACCTCTTGTACTAATTCCTACTTCCCATTTACTCATCTCTAGCCCCTCCCTCCCTCCCCCTTAACTATATCATTAAGTCTTTCTCTTCCTTCCTTTATTTTTTAATTTTCCAATTTGTACTACTTTATCCTTAATGCCCGTCAGGAAAGTTATTGAATTGTACTTTGATCAAAGTTAAAGAGCGAGATACAACCGTTATAGAAGACGAATGCTTAAAACGATTGAATTTCTTTCACAATAAACTAATTATATACCTGCATGAAAGTATTTCGACAACAAAGAATCAATTCGGTTGGTACATTAATTCGGACGATGTTCCCTTATCCTCTTTTTCTTCGCCGCATGATACTTTTCTTCCTAACTCGTTTGTTTTTAATTCTATCTTCTCCTTTTTATTATGGATTGCGTAAGTTTATAGAGATTACAGTAGCTCTAAACGATATTTGCGTCGTCGTGTCGAACACCAGCTTTGACGCCTTTTTCTATAGAGTCCTTTTACTGTGTCCGCTAATTACGTAAGTGAAGGTGCTAAGAGATTCTATTCGTATGTTGTATAAACGTAAGCTTATATACCTGACTAGCATTGACGTACGGAGCGTCCCTTTAACAATCTAATAGTCTTTTCAAATTCACCCTGTCGGGGGTAGGAACGACAAAGTATCATATTTCGTTTAGCATTTCTTAAACTATGCCTACCAAATATTTTTTAAACGGATTAGCAATTTTTTATTCTCTTATCATATAATCCTTATAATCCTTGGTTGACTATTTCGCATTGTTGAAACGTTACTCTTATCCTCTTTATTTTGATTGTGACGCCATCTTCATTTCATTTTAAATATAGTATCTACGATAGAATACACTATATGTATATATACACTATATATATATCAGATGGATAGCTAAATGCTTTATAATATCAAACAAACTAAGCTAAATTAGAAAGATGTGTAAAAAGTTCCTCCCATTAGACAAGAGACAAAGAGAGAAAGTGAATGAGGCTGAAAGCTAGATAGGGAAAGAGAGAGAGAGAGAGAGAGAGGGAGGAAGAAAGAAAGATACAAAAAGAGGAATTTAGTAATTTTTCAACCTTCTTAGAAGCGTATGATATAGTCGTTTTTTTTCTCATTTTCTTGTAAATAACGAAAAATATTGACAAAAGAATTCAAGTTTCATACTATTCAATTACAAACATATCTAATATTACGTAATATTGTAGTTTGTAAATGGATCTCCTACTTGCATAATCCTATATGGTTCTGTCTGATAATATTACAAGTAACGTCACCAAAAAGATAGATAGATAGAGATATAAGACAATATGAAATATTCAAAAGTTTCGTAAATGGAGCAAATAAATAGAGTATAACGTAAAGAAGAACAGGTCAGTATTAGAGTGTGTTGATTACGTATTTTTGCCTTATAATAATACTTTTAGGTATATAATATATTCAGATATGATAGGGAAGTGATGAGAAGGATAGTTAGAAGATGTTTTCTAGCTCGTTTAGTTCGTTTCTGAAGAAGAGCTTATAGAATTCGCCCAAAGCGAAATTTACAGTGACTTAGCTTAAGCGGTGGCTGGTAAAAAATGATTTTATGTAATTGAAATAGGTAATTAAGTCAAGTATCTGCCTATATAGATAAGGAAAGTCGAGATATCATTATGGAGAAAGCAAAGATATGAATAGATGAGAGAAAATATTACTTTTAAGTTTATTTTGAGTTTACATACGTTACACCTACCTGACCAATTATTAAGAAATTAGCTTAGAAAAGCGCCATCTGTCTTTTCTACAACTTCACAACCTTTAACAAGCTAAAAAGTATCTATAAATACATCAGAATAGCTAATGAGAATTTAAATAAAAGGGTAAACGAAACACTTTTTTCTCCCTCTCTCTCTTTCTCTCTCTCGCAACCATACTCCTCATTCACCCCTCCTTCTTCTCCTCCCCTAAAAGGGAGATTAAAGGCTACTTAAAGAATGATATGGCAATAGCAATTTATGACTTAGCAATTAAAGGAAACTGATTTTTCTCTTTCCTCTTTTGAGCCCTTCTCCTACAAGGGCTTTAATTTCCATTCATTCTATTAAGATGTGTTAAAGTTTAACGATATCTTTATTTGTTGTATACGTAAACAAGTTCTATTTAAATGATAAATCAATATAATAATATATTGGTTGGACCTAAATTAAGCCAAATACTAATACAAGTAATAAAAAATACTATTTATATTTATCAATAATACGAATGATAGGTTCATTTTTTCAAAGAAATGTTATTTCCTTCAACCTTCAACCACTACCCTCCTTCCCTCTCTTCCTCGCTTTTCTCTCTCTCTCTCTTTCTCCCTCTCTCTATCAACTCCCTTTCCCCTTTTAAAGATTCATTACTAGGGAAAAAAAGGAAAAAAATTAGTGTTTCTTTATAGAATAATGAATGTAATTATATTAGTTATGAATGACCTATATAAAATAAAATCGAAGAATAACTTATTTCTAATTAAAAATTGACTATTATCCACCGAATGGTGGCGCAACGACAACTCTTATATATATACAAGCCAAAAGTTTACATTGCAACATTTTTAGCGTCTTCTTCTATCAACACCTTTTACAAACTGATCCCTTTCCCATCCATCCCCTACCTTCAAGGTTGGTAAGTAGATAATATACATCAAGTATTGTTAATTATTGATATTGAAATTGTTACTTAGCTGCTTAAATTAACTTGAATAATTAATAATTAGAGAAATTTTTTTCGTTTGTCTTTGAAGAAATTAAAGTGTTTGTATTAGAAAAGCATAAGATAATCTATTAGTGTCTTCTTATAACTTTACTAATCTCCTAAGGACAAAAATACATTAAGACATCCTCTATTTTTGCTTTCTTCTTTTGCTATCTGTATTCTGTATTCATAGGCTTTAATTGATAAATTTTCACCTAATTCTGGTTGTACCATTTGGAAAATCATCCAAAATTAAACCCATCGAGCCGAAAAATAATAAGTAGGGCAATATAGGCTTGAATTTCCAGACGCTTCATCAATCCTTTGGTAGAGTTAAAGGTTCGATAAGGAAATTTACACTTTACGCTTCGGCAGAGCCAACTTCCGCCGTACAACTGCCAACGCTTTTCAAGAATACAAGGGACGATTGTAAAAGACCTAACAGCAGGACAATAACTAGCATTTTCCTTAGCAAGACAAATCAGCATGGAGCTTAACTTTAGTCAAAACTAGTCTCTATATTAGGGGCTTGTAAATTACAGCTATTTATGGGAATTTGAGCATAAGTTCGCTCTTTAATTTCAATTTTATTCATACT